ATTATCCGGTACGATTTAGGGCTCCTTTCAAAACTGCCTTTTGAATCTAAGAAAACCAACCTTCCAAACTTAACTTACGTTAAATATTTGTTTATTGATTCAAAACATTTAAATATTTAAAATTCGGAATATTTAAACATATCTTAGCAAAAGAAAATCAGTCAGTCACGCTCACGACTTTCAAATAAAGTCAAATTGAGGTAAATGAGTAAACAAACTATGGAGCGTCAGTTTTACCATTTTATACAAATACAATTCTCTTTAATGAAAAACATATTTATTAAGTTAATAAAATAATACTTTATAAGTAGGTGGATTTTTAAAACTATCTGTTGAATTTGTCCACGAAAACGGTTGCAAATTTGGCCAGAAGAACATGACTTCCTCCGCACATGCTCTTCGAGAATAAAGTACGTTAGAGGAGAAAGTTAATAGCATTCAAATAAATAGTGGAGTTTTTCTTTTAAAACAAAATTAAATAAATGTAATTATAAAAAGGTTTCAAAAATAAAATGAAGACAATATATTTGAGCTTTTCATCTAAAACAATATCAGAAATTTAAACGTACCGTCCATGAGTCCAGCTAATCACCAGAATAAAAAATGTTGAGAATTAAACCATATTCACATGACATGGGTAAACGTTTTAACTTCAGAACAAAATGGCCGGGCACGTGCTCCAGCAAAGGCGAAATACGTTATGGCAAGACGGAAGTTTGAAAAGCCTAGAGGACAGACAGAGGTCGCCAGTGTGGAGAGTATCGGGTGGGGTTTAGGGATCCTTCCACAACTGCCTTTGGAGTCAAAAAGAATAGGCCTTCTACGGTGGGATGTTAAATACGTAAAATTTGGAATATTAAAACAAACCTAAAGATAAAAACAAAAAGGATTATTTTTTTTTAAAATCTAACAAAAAAAACGTCAATCGTTCATTTGCTGTTTCCTACTCGCTCACTCTCTCACACATATTTACACCAGAATATCTAAAATTATAATAAATACCAAAAATAATTAACACAAGTAACCCTAAACTTATTATTTCTTAAAATTGTAAAACACCAACCATTTACCTTAGATTAAAAGAGGGAAGTTCGCAAAGTTATTTTAGCCTAAAAGTTCTTAATATAATAGAAAATAAAACGTACCGTCCATGGCAGTGTTGTGCTATCACTAGCTAATCATTAGAAGAAACATCAAGAATTTATAGATAATTCATGAGTCCAATAATATCTTTTCTAACATGAACGTAAAGTTGCTTCCAGGCACGTGCTCTGTCGAGGACAAGACCGTTATGACTAGACCAAGGTTTAAAAAAGGAATGAGGACAGAAAGAGTTCGCTAGTGGTGATTATCCGGTACGATTTAGGGCTCCTTTCAAAACTGCCTTTTGAATCTAAGAAAACCAACCTTCCAAACTTAACTTACGTTAAATATTTGTTTATTGATTCAAAACATTTAAATATTTAAAATTCGGAATATTTAAACATATCTTAGCAAAAGAAAATCAGTCAGTCACGCTCACGACTTTCAAATAAAGTCAAATTGAGGTAAATGAGTAAACAAACTATGGAGCGTCAGTTTTACCATTTTATACAAATACAATTCTCTTTAATGAAAAACATATTTATTAAGTTAATAAAATAATACTTTATAAGTAGGTGGATTTTTAAAACTATCTGTTGAATTTGTCCACGAAAACGGTTGCAAATTTGGCCAGAAGAACATGACTTCCTCCGCACATGCTCTTCGAGAATAAAGTACGTTAGAGGAGAAAGTTAATAGCATTCAAATAAATAGTGGAGTTTTTCTTTTAAAACAAAATTAAATAAATGTAATTATAAAAAGGTTTCAAAAATAAAATGAAGACAAGATAGTATTTTCACACTCAAGTTATCGGATTTGTTCGTTAAAATTCATTTGTGCTTTTAATCTAAAACAATATTAGAAATTTAAACGTACCGGTACTGTATGAGTTGTAGAAAATCCAGCTAATCACCAGAATATAAAATGTTGAGAATTAAAAATATTCACATGACAAGGGAAAACGTTTTAACTTCAGAACAAAATGGCTGCCGGGGACGTGCTGCTGGCAAAGTCAAGTACGTTCTGACAAGTCCAAGGTTTTGAAAGGATTGATCAGAGGAAAGAGTTCGCTAGTGAAGTTTATCAGGACGGATTAAGCGCCTGACAAACTCGGAAAAAATTAATTTGGGCCTCATTGTAACAAATAGTTTTGGCTTTCGAGTTAACTAACGTTTGGATGGTTATTATTTTTAAAAATAAAATAGTGTAATTTACCCTTTGGTCCAAGATACCACGTGCCGAATTTGGTGGGAAACAAACTAAAAATTTTGAGTCAGTCGACTACAAAAACTTCGGCAGCTAACCTGTCAAAGAACGAAATGGCTTCCGAGCATGGCGCTTCAACCAAACATCGTGAAATTTTCCTGTTTCGTTTTGGGGGTTATTTCAATGAAATTCATAGAAAAAACTTGACTAAATTGAATTTTTACACTCCACCAACAAAATATTGGGTTGTCCGGAAAATAATGCAGGATTTTGGTATTAAACAAAAAAAAAGAACGAAATGGCTTCCGAGCATGGCGCTTCAACCNCCCAATATTAGCAATTACATACATCAAAATATTCGCGTAACACACAATAATAAAAAGAAAAAAAAAGAAAACCACTCTAACTTAAAGAATGTCTATCACTCATTTTCTCTCTCTCACCCTCTCACGCATAAATTAAACCATGACATCTTTTAAAAAAATCAAATATGGGAAAATTTGAATAAATTTGGATGATAATGAAGAAAAGCTACTTTAACCTAAACCGATGATTGTTCGTCAAAAATTAGTAAAACACCAACTCTTTTTTTTAGTTTGAAATGGGGGAAGCTCATCTCAAAGTGCTTATTAACCGTTGGGGCATTGATGATTATCGACAAAACTATTGTAAACTGATCATTTTATACAAATAAAATGCCGATTTAAAAAAAATCGATCTGCTGAATTTGTCTAGGAAAATTATTTCAAATTTGTCAGATATAATAAATAAAAAGGACTCCTCAGCAAACATGCCCTTTAAGAAGAAAGAAGGTTAAGGGTAAAGCTAGCTGAGAAAAAATTTAAAAGTATTCACAAATTATTAAATAGTCAAAGTTATATTATAGAACTGTTTTTAAAAGAGATTAAACTACACACCCACCTTTATCATTTCTATTAATTATTGTTAATTCTTTTAAACCAAAATCAAATAAATCAAATTAAAAAGGTTTAAAAAGTAAAATGAAGAAAAGATGCTATTTTAACCTAAAGATCTAAGAGTTCTGTTAAAACTGGTTGAAGTTTACTTATTTACGTACCTTTTATGAGTGTTGGTGAGCTCTAAAATATATAAGTAATCATCAGAATTACAAAAACCTGTCCGAAATGTACTGATCGAAACTTCCTTAAGAAAATGGCTAAGGGGCACGTGGTTCTGGCAAAGTCAAAATACGTTATGGCAGGACGGAAGTTTGAAAAGCCAAGAGGACAGACAGAGGTCGCTAGTGGTCAGCATCGGGTGGGGTTTAGGGCTCCTTCGACAACTGCCTTTTAAGTCGAAGGAAATCGGCCTTCCAAACTTAACTTACGTTAAATATTTATTTACTGATTCAAAATATTTAAATATTTAAAATTCGGAATATTTAAACAGATCTTAGCAAAAAAAAAAAAATCAGTCACGCTCACGACTTTCACATAATGTCAAATTGAGGTAAATGAGTAAACTATGAGCGTCACAGTTTTACCATTTTATACAAATACAATGGTCTTTAAACAAAAACATATTTATTATAGTTAATAAAATAATACTTTGAGTAAGTAGATTTTTTTAAACAATCTGCTAAATTTATCCAAGAAAACTGTTTCAAATTTGGCAGATTTAAACTCCAGAAGAAAATTGCTTCTGTACGCGTGCGCTTTGAGAGGAATGTCGGAATGGTTGGGACAGAAAATGCGTTAAGACAAAAACTGGCTGAGAAGAAAATCAAAAGTATTTACAAATATTGATAATTATTCAAAACCAAATAAGTGTAATTAAAAATCGTTAAAAATTAAAATGAGGACAAGATACTATTGTAACCTAAAGAACTGAGCGTTCTGTTAAAACTGGTTTAAAGCTTATTTACGTACCTTTTATGAATGATAGTGAGTTCTACAGTATCTAGCTACCATCTGAATTTAAAAACACGGTCAGAAATATCACAAATCAAGATTTCCTTAAGGAAATGGCTACTGGGCACGTGCTTCTGGAGAAGTCAAAGTACGTTATGGCAAGAAGGAAGTTTGAAAAGCCTAGAGGACAGACAGAGGTCGCTAGTGGACAGCATCGAGGTGGGGTTTAGGGCTCCTTCAATACCTGATTTTTAAGCCAATGAAAATCAGCCTACAACGTGAGATATTAAAAAAATTCGGAATATTGAAACAACTCTCTCAAAAGACAAAAAAAATGTTTATATAACAACTCTAGCTAAAGAATGTTAACCACTAATCTTCTCTCACTTTCTCTCTCACACACACACACACACACACACTCACTTATAGACATTTTTATTTCCAATAAACATATCAGAAGCAGGAGTGCCTAAAAGATACACTCCCCCTCACTCTATCTCTCACCCCGTCACGCTCACTCACTCTCTCTTTTCTCTCAGAATCTCGCCCAGACTCTCGTTCAATCTCTCGCTCAAATGTACAGACATAGACATACTTTTATTGCCGGCAAACACGAAAACTAGTTGAGAAGTAAAAAATACTTAAGTACTGAAATTTCTTTAAAACCAACTTCAAGGTATATCGACAATTTTAATAAATTCCAAAAATAAGAAGGCAAATTTTAAAAATTTAAAGGCAAAATTTAAACACGTTTTTTCGTTAAAAATGGGTGAAACAGTTAAAGGTTACAAAAGTTGTTTTAACCTGAAAGTCTCTAGTATAATATAAAATAAAACGTACCGTCCATGGCAGGGTTTGGAACATCTAGCTATTCATCAGAAGAAACATCAAGAATTAATTAATTTATCACGAGCAAATAATAAATTTTCTAAGAACACGTGAAGCTGCTTCCAGGCACATGCTCAATCGAGGACAAGACCGTTATGAACTTACGAAGTACAGGCAAACGTTTAAAACGAGAACCAGGGTTCGCTAGTGTCTCTAACCATCCTACACTTCAAAAAAATCTAACTTAGGTATATATTTTCTAAATTTGAGAAAATTGGCCTTATGCCCTCCGTTCAAATTCATTCTCTCACACTCAAAACCCAAGTTTTTGCCAACAATTTCCTTCAAATATTAAAAAATAATAATTATTATTATTATGAAAAACTAATAAAATATTCTATAAAAAAAAGGGGTTTTTATGAGTTAAATATGCTAAATAAACTGCTGGATCTGTCCAGGTATTTTCTCAAATTCTTTCTTGAAGGAAAGTAATGACTTCCACGACGTCTCTTTAAAAAGTGAAAAATGTTACACCACAGCAAAGAAATGTAATAAATTACTGGAATTTTTGAGGGGGTTTTCGTGTTCAAACATTCCATGGAACCACAGAAAGAAGAGCATATTCAGCTAAGCTAAGTTCAGTCACAACCTTGATGAACGTTTTCAAATTCATCTGTTAAATTCGTCCAAAATATTTTTAAAAATTCGATTCAAATTTCCTTAAAAGGACGGTTTCCTAGGCAAAAAGATAATTTCTATAAAAGAAACCGTTATACTCATATATAGGTGAGTACAAAATTTTAAAATTTCAAAAATAAAACGAAGACAAAATACTAAACCTAGTTTAAGTTAATTGAAAAGTGCTTTTAACATAAAAATGTTACAAAAGTAAACAAAACAAAAATATTAAAACTACCTCCTGGCTAGTAGAATATTCCAGCTAATAATTAATCTTAATAGGGAAAAAAATAAATATACAGTTTTCTTGAAAGCTGTTTGAAATCACTTTTTGTTCTTGAGAAAAAAATAACAGACAGCTGAATTTTAAAAACTACTATTTTGTCTTTTCTTCCTTTGTTTCTAGATTTTTTTTTTATCATATGGCTAATCATGTTAAAAAATAGAACAAAAATAAAAATAGCAGTAAAGCTTTTAAATTCGGCAAGGTTTAATTCTTGAGAACAAAAAAAGATTTTTAAGTAGCTTTCAAGAGATTTTAAGGAGATTCGTTGAGAAATTAATGATTTTGTAAATCTAAGTTTGCAACATTTTTTCTTTTTTAATTTTTAAATGTACAGTTAAGCTCTTAGTTATCAATGAAATAAAATGTGTAAAAAAAATTGAATTACGACTAATCGTAAAATGCAAATGCAAAAGTTTTTAAGTTTAAGCGTGAAAATGTACAACTTATTAACTAAACTCACCCCTAAATAAATAACACCGAATTTCAAATTCCAAAGGAAATGAAATTTCCTAGAGAAGAGGAACGTTGAAACCAAATCACATGCTTATAAAAGAAAGTCCTCGATCTTAGCTCTCCTCCCTCAGTAGCTTAAAACAAAAAAAAAGAAGTTAGGTTTTTTAATAAAAATTGTCAAAACGTTCAATATTTTTAGGCTTTGAAACAAGAAAGCTATAGTAAGATAAAGCAAAGAAATAAAATATAGCAAAAATTACTTTGGGCAGTGTAATTTTATGAAGAATTATAATAAATCCTTAAGAAAATATAGATTTTTTTTCATTTATCCTTGTCTAATGCAAATTAAATAACGAACATTTCTCATGAAATAAATATTTGTTTTCTATAGTTGATAATCTCAATAAATTAGGATAAAGACTGAAAAATTATCCTCCAGGTCCTAGACCAACAGATTTTTTACAAATTAAATCATATGTTTTTAAAATTGAATACTGTCACAAAAAGTAGAAAGATTTTATGTGAAGATTAAAACGAAAATTATTAAGATTGAAAATACCACAGGAGATAAATGACCATAATTGCAATATTAAATGGTTTTATAGCTTAAACAACATGAAAAATTTCTTTTAGACCTTATTAAACTTAAAGGTTTTTGTTAAAAAAAAAAATTTACACTTTACAAGGGGGGGGGGAAATGACCTAGACTTGAAACTTGAAAAACAGCCGAGTAAAAATTTGATATTTAAAAAAAAAGAGAACAATTGAATTTTTAAACATTATGATTTTACAGTTTCATCTGAAAACTGTTTAATGAAAAAAAATCCACAATATATAAGTTTTATGACTTGAAAATGCACCAGGATCGTAGAAATGTTGCAAAATCAAAATTTTATTTTATTTAAATTTTTTTATTAATTGCAGAAAAAACTATCCTATCACGTTTCTAAAATGTTAACAATTAAATTTTTAAAAATTTCGATTTTACAGTTTCATCTGAAAAAGGTAAAAAAATTAAATTTTCCACAATATATGTTTCATGACTTCAAAACGGCCCTGGATGGTACAAATGTGGCGAAATCAAAATTTCATTTTATTAAAAACAAAAATTAATAACAGAAAAAACTATCCTATCAAGTTTTTAAAATGTTAACAATTGAATTTTTAAAAATTTTGATTTTACAGTTTCATCTGAAAAAGGTAAAAAAAATTAAATTTTCCACAATATATGTTTCATTACTTCAAAACGTCCCAGGATCGTAGAAATGTGGCAACATAAAAATTTCATTTTATTTAAAAAAATTATTAATAACAGAAAAACATAGCTCGACATTTGAGACATAAAAACCTTTGCAAACAGTGGCAGACAAAAATTTAATATTTAAAAGACAGCCCAGAGAGTAAACTTGAAAAACAGCTGAGTAAAAACTTGATATTTAAAAATAAAAGGGAACAATTGAATTTTTAAAAATTACGATTTTACAGTTTCCCTGAAAAGTTTTAATTTATAAAAAAAATTAAATTTTCCGAAATATGTGGTTAATGACTTGAAAATGGACCAGTATAGTAGAAATGTGGCAAAAACAAAATTTTATTTTATTTAGAAATTTTTATTAATTACAGAAAAAACTATCCTATCATCTTTTTAAAATGTTAACAATTGAATTTTCAAAAATTACGATTTTACAGTTTCCCCTGAAAAAGTTTTAATTTATAAAAAAAATTAAATTTTCCGAAATGTGTGTTTTATGACTTGAAAATGGACCAGTATCGTAGAAATGTGGCAAAAACCAAATTTTATTTTATTTAAAATTTTTTATTAATTATAGAAAAACTATCCTATCACGTTTTTAAAATGTTAACAATTAAATTTTTAAAAATTTCGATTTTACAGTTTCATCTGAAAATGGATAAAAAAAATTAAATTTTCCACAATATGTAAGTTTTATGACTTGAAAACGTCCCAGGATCGTAGAAATGTGGCAAAATCAAAATTTCGTTTTATTTTTAAAAAATTATTAATAACAAAAACTATCCTATCACGTTTTTAAAATGTTAACAATTGAATTTTTAAAAATTACGATTTTACTGTTTCACCTGAAAAAGTTTTAATTTAAAAAAATTTAAATTTTGCACAATATATCAGTTTAATGATTTGCAAACGGCCTAGGATCGTAGAAATGTGGTAAAATCAAAATTTTATCTTATTTAAAATTTTTTTATTAATTATAGAAAAACTATCCTATCACGTTTTTAAAATGTTAACAATTGAATTTTTAAAAATTACGATTTTACTGTTTCATCTGAAAAAAAGGATAATGAAAAAAAAAATCCACAGTATGTAAGTTTTATGAATTGAAAACGTCCCAGGATCGTAGAAATGTGGCAAAATCAAAATTTCATTTTATTTAAATAAATTATTAATAACAGAAAAACAGCTCGATATTTGAGACATAAAAACCTTTGCAAACAGTGGCAGACAAAAATTTAATATTTAAAAGACAGCCCAGAGAGTAAACTTGAAAAACAGCTGAGTAAAAATTTGATATTTAAAAATAAAAGGGAACAATTGAATTTTTAAAAATTACGATTTTACTGTTTCATCTGAAAAAGTTTTTATTTAAAAAAAAAAATTTCCCGCAATATGTAAGTTTTATGACGTGAAAACGGCCCAGGATCGTAGAAATGTAGCAAAATCAAAATTTCATTTTATTTAAAAAAAATTATTAATAACAGAAAAACATAGCTCGATATTTGAGACATTACTGACATACTGAGACTGTTACCTTTGCAAACAGTGGCAGACAAAAATTTAATATTAAAAGACAGCCCAGAAAGTAAACTTGAAAAACAGCTGTCAAAATTTGATATTTAAAAATAAAAGGGAACAATTGAATTTTTAAAAATTACGATTTTACAGTTTCCCCTGAAAAAGTTTTAATTTATAAAAAAAATTAAATTTTCCGAAATATGTGGTTTATGACTTGAAAATGGACCAGTATAGTACAATAGAAATGTGGCAAAAACAAAATTTTATTTTATTTAAAAAAATTTATTAATTACAGAAAAAACTATCCTATCACGTTTTTAAAATGTTAACAATTGAATTTTTAAAAATTACCGTTTTACAGTTTCATCTGAAAATGGTTAAAAAAAAAAAATTTCCACAATATATGTTTTATGACTTGCAAACGGCCCAGGATCGTACAAATGTGGCGAAATCAAAATTTTATTTTATTTAAAAATTTTTATTAATAACAGAAAAAACTATCCTTTCACGTTTTTAAAATGTTAACAATTGAATTTTTAAAAATTACGATTTTACTGTTTCATCTGAAAAAAGTTTAATGAAAAAAAAATCAACAATATATAAGTTTTATGACTTGAAAACGGCCCTGGATCGTAGAAATGTGGCAAAATCAACATTTCATTTTATTTAAAAAAATTATTAATAACAGAAGAACATAGCTCGATATTTGAGACATAAAAACCTTTGCAAACAATGGCGGACAAAAATTTCATATTTAAAAGACAGCCTATAGATTCATGGTGGGTTTATTGAATTGCTCAAACGCGTTTCGTCATCTTCAGTGGGGAACTGTTAACTTCCGTAACGCGTTTGAACAGTTCAACAAACGAGGGAGTGAAGACGGACCCTATGCCGGTACAGCAGTCCACCGACCCGCAGGCAGACCAACATCCCATCAATTCTAGCGCACATATTAATAAATTTATGCCAGTCTTTCCACATCACGAAGACTGTGCTAAATTTCTTAAGTTTTTTTTTTTAATTTATTCTGGGCAAATTTAATTTAAAAAGAATAATGCTTATCGACTAGTAAATTTTTTTCTACCATTCATAAGCCTAATAAATTATCTTTTTTATTTTATTTTTAGAGATTGATGATTAAAACTTAATTATAAGAAAATTAAAGTAAAAGGGGTTCGTTGAGTGATTAAACGTGAAAATTATGCTATCTGGCCGGATGAACGACCCATGACGAGGGGATTTGAAGGCAACAGGCCCTCACACCCTTTGTACCAGAAACTGCAAATTAGCCCTAAAACATGGTAAAAACAAAACTGGACAAATAAATTGAGGAACCTCACACCGGATTAATTCACCAGTTGTAAAACAATCAAAGGATTCAACATCTCATCCAGAAAAACAACGAGGGCCAGAAAATAGGCCTTTGAAAAAATAGGACAGACGTACTGTCTAGCCGCTTGGGAAAGGTCTAGGGAACCCCGAAAAATGAGCCAACAGCCTTAATTAAAGTTAGTGCACTTTCAGGGTGGGAGACCAGTCACCAGATCTCGGAAAAAAATTTATAGGAAAAAATGTCAAGTAACTGGAGCTAATTAAAATTTAAAACTATCGGGTTGTCCGGAAAATAATGCAGGATTTTAAGTTTTGATTAAAATAAATCTATATAAAATATTCTGTTTACGTTTACAGGATTACTCATTTGTATGAATGTCAACACTTATTAATCCTCTTCCAAATGATATTGTTTGTTTANGTATGGGAAATTATTTTGATTAAAGAACATTGCTTTAAAGTAACTAGTTTCTTTTTTTTTGTTTAATACCAAAATCCTGCATTATTTTCCGGACAACCCAATAAAATTGAAAATTTTCTATAAAAAAAATTAAAAACTTACCTATTTCTCCACTATAGACAGTTCAGCTTAATAAAACAATTTCACAATAAACAATTTTTTTTTAAATTACCCCACTTGCGAAATCAAGATGTCTTGACTTTGCAGTCTCGTTGCGGAATGACGCGCGTCACGACGAGAAGCAGGCTCTCAGACAGAAAACAAGTGAGCTTAGACAACTGGCAACTTGATCTATTTCACCAAACAGCCCAGTCTGGTAATACATATCAAAATTATACATTAAAAGCTATTTTTGAGCAGATTAATTGTCCGTTATTCAGTGGATTTCTAAGTTTATGTATTTTTTGAAAAGGAAAAACAAAAATCTTTATTATTTTTCCTGAGAAGCCATTTTCTACTGAGATTGAATTGGCAGGGGACAACTGGTTTTAAACCATATGACGATGGTCATTCCGATATTTATAATTTTTTTTTAAATTATAGAAATACGTAATAATAAAACTAATTTAAATGATCAACTATAGTTAAGCACAAATTTAATAATAAGTGCACAAAAAAAAAAATTAAATTAAACTCAAAATAGATTTCGATGGGAATAGGCCAGGAGTGTGTCTAAGTGGAGCTTAACTTATTAAAAACTTAAAACTTATTTTCCCGACGTTTCAAGTCAATATTGACCTTTTTTCTGACTTTCTGAGGTGAAAATGCATTTCTGCCAATGTGCCCCAGAAGCAGGGAAATTTTTTTTTTGTCTGGAGGGAATAGGGAACGTGCAGACGATCGTCCGAGAAACCTTGCGCGTCAAGCGATGGCGCGCCGATGGAATGAAACTTAAGAAAGGGATCGTGCTCACCCACACGTTTGAGGATTGGCCATACCCGATTTACGAACGGATATCGGTCTTGGGGCAAACGCCACGCAGGTGTCCAGTTTGTAAAGATTACTCAGTGTGTCGCTATGCCTTGGCCCCTTAGAAAGAGCGAGTAGCCATGGCACCCGAGATAAAGGCAGTCCACGGGTACGAGAGTGGGTTTTTGGGTACCCTATTCCGATATTTATGGGAAAAAGGAAAGGGTATTCCGATTAGAAAGGGTGTTAAAAAAAATACATAGCTATGATGAATACATAATGAATACACACTGTCAATGTTTATGAATATTTATCGAACATTTTCTTTACTGCTTCTTCCTTATTTTTACTTTTTAATAGTGAAGGGAGATAAGGGATTCACTGAACAAAACAAATTATGGAAAATTTGTATTTTCTAAGTTGGTCTTTTCTTTTGAGTGGTTTACGCCTCACTCACTCACCCACTCTCAATTCACTCTCTCATTCACCCAGCCAATCTCTCTCTCTCTCTCTTTCTCTCTCACTCTCTCTCTCTCTCTCACTTACACTCACTCAGCCACTCTCACTCTCACTCACTCACTCACTCACTCATACACACACTCTCAATCACCCACTCTCAATTCACTCTCTCATTCACCCAGCCAATCTCTCTCTCCGTTTCTCTCTCACTCTCTCTCTCACACACACACACTCACTCACACTCACTCAGCCACTCTCACTCTCACTCACTCACACACAACACACACACACACTCTCTCAGCCTCTCTCTCTCACTCACTCACACTCACTCTCACTCACACACCCTCTCTCTCTCTCTCTCTCTCTCTCTCTCTCTCTCTCTCTCTCTCTCTCTCTCTCTCTCTCTNAATATTAGTTTACATTCACTTTTACTTTTTTACATTTTGAAAAAAAAACTAGTGTAGTTGCCTTCTTTAATTTAAAGGTTATAAATTTATAATTAATTTTAGTTTTTTCATATGGACAAATTAGTATTTATCATTGTAAACTGTATTGCATGTTGTACTTTGTATATCTGAATGATCAAATAAGTAAATAAAATAACAGCCATGGTCATTGAACACGACCCCCTTCCTAAAGAGTACCAGTTAAGGCATCCTCAATTCATTATGATTCATCATAAAAAAATGTATTCAATTATAAAATATTTTCAAAGGCTGATGGAATACTTTCATAAATATTCCGCCATCGACCCTAAACACACTCATGCTGACTGTATACGCTTTATTTTACCAACAGCTCCTCACCACTCACACTAATAAATACTACTCTACACACTTAGGCAAAACACATAAAACAGATCTGTATACAATAAAAAAAATGTATTCTAAAAAGTGGAACAGGAGACACAGAAACTTACTACAATGCCTGAGAACCGTTCTCAAATCCGGCGGCATGCCTACACCATCTCTGTAAGGAACCAAGTCTTCAGACCTCCCCCAATTTTTTTAATGTCAATTATCAACTGTTTTCTTTGAGAAATAGAAATGTATACATTTATGTAGTTTTTAAGGGGACCACGGTGGCTGAGTTGTTAGATCGTCTGGTTCATATTTGCCATAATGGCATTTCTAGGTTTGAATCCTGGCATAACATGGTTTTTTAATTGATCATTATATGAAAAAAGAAAATTATTGTAAAATCGTTCCCTCTCTCTCACGAAACCATGTATGTCGGGAATTTCATTACTTATGGGGTTTCTTTTTTCAGCTGATTATTTTCATCTAAATGTCACTCCTGAATTTGTAAAATCCCACTATGAAATCGATGACTTGAACAAATTTCTCAATTCATCTAAAATCATGGCAATAATTGCTGTCAATGACAATGGTAACTTGAAGCTGTCTGAAAAGTTTTTCTTTAAGAATGTGATTTACACTTTTATAAAACTACATGACGAGTCAATCACAAATTATCTAAAAGACCTAACTCCAGGCGAAGCCACTGACTACTCGCTGTAGAAGGCCATAAAAAAATTAAAAGACCAATCGCCCAAATTCCTCCATTAAAAAAAGAGGATGGTACTTGGGCGAGAGATAGCAGAGAAAAAGCCGAATTGTTTGCTAGTTACCTTGCTGAAATCATCAAACCAAATGAAATCATCAATAGCAGCTTACTTGAAGTAACAACCACGCCACAGGAAGAAAATATAAAGCTAGTTTCACCTAAAGAAGTAGCACGAGAAATTAAAAATTTACCTGCTAAAAAGACTCCAGGATATGACCTTATCACTGGAAAAATACTAAAACAATTGCCAAAAAAGGGTATAGTTAAACTAACATACCTATTTAATGCTGCAATCAGACTAAAATATGTTCCCAGCATCTGGAAATTCGCAGAAGTCATTATGATCAAAAAAACAGGAAAACCGGCGAACGAGGTCAAATCATATAGACCAATATCGCTACTACCAACAGTGGCTAAACTCTTCGAAAAGTTATTATTAAAATGAATAAAACACATCGTTGAAAAAAAGAAAATCATTCCTGACCACCAATTTGGATTCAGAACAAGACACTCAACAATAGACCAAATTCACCGAGTAACGGANAAAAAGTAATTTTCACCTTTATGTAGATTTTTAAGGGGAGGTGGCTGAGTCGTTAAGGAGTCTGGCTCGAGAACGATTCTTAAATCCCGTAGCATGCCTACACCTTCTCTGTAAGGAGCCAAGGCATGACACACCTCTATTACGTGAGACACATTGAACAACCTTTCTCTGTATAAGGAGCACCTTATTATTATTATTCAAACTATGTACCCAATTCTATTTTGTACAAGACTTAAATTCTTAAACAAAATAAAATAAATATTATGATATTCTTTGAATTTTGAAGCAATGTCTTGGTTGGATTGGGGGAGATGTGAGATCGTTTGTTGGTATGTTTAAGAAAAATATTTTTGTACAGATTTTCTTTTTATAAGGACAAAATGTTTTTTTTCTTTCAAATTTTATCGTAGGGTTTTATCATCTCTAATCACCCTTAAATTTTTAACGCTTTTCCACTTTTATAAAAAAGGGGGGGGGGCTCTTTAATCATAAAGCCACTGACTTTTGTCTCGGAAGATGCACCGGTGGCCGACGGTGGCTGCCATTTTTACAAACGGTGGCCATGCAAGCCCAAATTATATTTCAACGGGTTTGGCAAAACTCAAAGCGTTAATCTATAAAATCTCGAAAAATAAAATAAAAATTTAAAAATCAATCCGAGGAAATTAAAAATTCTATTCACACTCGACGTCACCGTTGGCAACCGACTGTTTGGCCAAACAAAACAAAAACGGAAGAAATGCTCCGACCGACTTCGATCGCGAGTGTCTCAAATTGGCCCAGATGTCTCAAGTTGGATTAATTTATTTTTCATATTAATTTAATGAATTTCAACGAGAGACGATGGACGTCGACATAAGAAAAGATTACATCATAATTAGCGCCGGTAATTAATTTTTGTTTGAGTGACAAGTTTGAACAAATTGTTCTTTAACTTCTTATAAAATTGCATGAACATTTACTCTGTCGTATTTTACATCTGCCTGTGTAGTTTATAATTCATTTCAAAAAGCATCGTTCACTGTTCAATAGAAAATAAAATAGAAAACAATTCGTGTTGTCGAATGATTCGAATTTTCCATATAAATAAAATTTGACGTTTATTTTAGGGAATCTCGAAGAGTCCGCCATTCGTTTTATTAATTCTCTTTGTTTGTGACAAAACTACCTTCAACGTCAGTTTTAACATTTAAAAAAAATATATATAATTGATGTTTAGGTAATACAGTGTCATTTAAGGCTAAAAAGTCATAACTTGTAGGCCCGTTGTAAATATCAAGTTTTCAGACAAATTCCTGTTTAATAACAAAACTAGCTTCTTTTTTTTATATCCAGTTCTTTGTTTTACATAAACGAAGACTACACTCCCTATGTTATTAAGGTCGGGGTGTCCTGATATATGCCTCGTCTTCACGGATTCTAAGATCGGAGAAGGTGTGGCTTGTGTACAGCGGAAGAGTGTATCCGATAAACACAGAGGTGTGATGGGTCTACTGGTCACTGTCATCTGTGAAAACATCTACGCAATGTGGGCATATTCAATGATAAATTGTAGATTATGCAATGAGGAGGATTAAACATACACTCATGTTATCTTCGAATGCAAACAGCTCAATGGGGACATAACCTGGGATACAAAGAAAACCCAAGTAAAGGAATCGTAGCAACAATAGTCAATGAGCTAGTACTCTTTAAAAGAAGGATCGGATTGATAGGCTGAACTAAAGAACTAGGAAAGTGCAATAAGCCAGAAGGCTGCAGTGCTTTGGGAACACTAACTCCATCTCCTAGTCTTAACCCCACCTTCATCATCATCATGTACACCGCTGGGGTGTATGCGATCTAACACATCCTTACTAGTTCAATCTGGAAAGAACTTATCCTACCTCACGTGCACTGTGGGCCCTAAGGGACAAGATTATCTGTGGATCCTCTCGTGGTTTTGTTAGAAAGATATACTGAGTTGGAATCCCTTGGAAAATCAGTACTATTAGTCTGGGTAAATTGGACATGGGCTGGAATACGTGCAGATGAGAACGGCTCTCACTCCAGTCCATACTATCACGACCGACCCGCTGATGCTAAATGAACAATAAAGAATATGGTATAGAAAAGTTACACTGGGTCATCCAAGAAGCTCTTATATGTCAAGCCACTAGTAGGTGGTCCCCGGAGAATCTAAACTACAAAAGGATCATACTAAGGAGACTCAAAATTGGCCATATGACGTCGATACATACTTTTGTGCCAAAGCCCTTAGACTCGTGCAGTCCGGGGAGAAGCCGTCCTACCTACTGTGGGATCTAAGCTCTTCTCTTACTTTTATTCGAAAGATACAATGGGTTGGAACCCCTTAGAAAATTGGTAGCAGTTGTGTTGGGTAGCTGGACGTTTTGGACTGGAAGGAATGTGCAGACAAGGTGGCAAAAGCTCACACTACAGACCTTACTATTGTAATCGAACCTGCTGACCTTATATGAGCAATAAAGAATTCGATTAAGAAAGGTGGCAGCATCAGTGGACTGGGTTGTCCAAGAAGCTCTTACATGTTAAGAGCACGATTGGTAGGTGGCCCCTGAAGAATCTAAACTGTAAAAGGATCATCCTAACCAGACTCCGAATTGGCCAGACGAGGTTGACATAGGGAAATTACCTTTGGGCCAAAGCTCGCTTAAAAGCCCAGCATAGAAAGGTTGCACAATGAGTCCAACATAATTGAAGGGAGCCATTCCTTGGCTTCGTATAGGGAACAAGTAGGAATACCGCCTGATATAAGAATTATGTTAAATTACAAAAGTGAATATTTGGGTCCCCTATTCCAATTTCTGGAGAAAACAGGTAGTTCTGTACATATAGGTCTTTTGCTTACTATAGGTAATTTTATTGTACACATACTAAATTTAGTGTTAGATGTTTTAACTGTTTCATGAGAATGTATTTATATGCGTGAATGTGTATCTAGCACAAGAGTGTTGATGGAAGAATAATGTACTCCCTCGACCCTCAATCAAACTAGTTAATATAAGTACAGTTGCCTTCATGCATGATAAAGGTTGATTGAGGAATATCTTATATTCCATCACCCTATTTGAGTGAAAGGTATGTAAGTGGGAGGGAAGGTATTTAAGAATGAGTGATAAGAGTGTGTTTAGGTTAAAACTGGATGCTTTGGGGACTGAAATGACCTTGTAGTCAATTGCCTTTTGATCCTAACATCAATAGTGGTATGAATAAGACCAAGGTCTGAACTCGGGCCACCAAAGTGGGTAATTCTTGTGGCTTGCCACAAAAAATCTGTTAGGTTCTGCACATGTATGTACACAAGTGGGTGATCTGTAAGGATCAAATTACAGATTTATCACCCCACAGACCACAGGAGGAAATCAATTACAAAACAATTGGTGCCAAAGAAAACGAGACTCATATGCCATATAAGTCTATTATTTGGGACACTCATAAGTAATGATAAATCCTTCACTGATTCCAACAAGAAAGCCATGGTTTCCCAGAGACAACTCAATTTCTTCCGGTCTCAACTCAGTTTCTCAACTTCTTCTCCGTGCAAAAGACTAATAACCTAAGCAATTCGAAGGTGTATGAATTGATGTTTGTCGGTCAAAATGTGGGATATAAATTAAATTAAATTAATTAATCAACCTGAAATTTGATCTTTACCAATCATTTTGGTCTGCCTATCATCACTGGGTTGGTCTGCTAGGCACATTTAGGTATTACAAAAAGACCAACGCGGCATAGGCAGACCAAAATGATCAGGATGATATGAAAAAACTCACAATTTAAGTTGAATTTGAATTCCACAGTTTGTACAACAAAAGTCAATTCATATTCGTTTAAACTACTCCTGTTACTAATCTTATCCTCGCTGGGTAGGCAGACCAAAAGAATTATGAATAATTTAGAAATTATGCTATTGGCAATTAAAAATTTAAGCTAGGAAGCTTGTTTTAATTTAGTCATTACTGATCATTTTGGTCTGTCTGCCCAGTGAGGATAGGCAGATATGATAATACCGACCAAGTTTTGGGTTTATATTTAAGCTCTTTAAATGATTTACTATATTACATTTTTACTATATTTTACAAATAAACTTAATTGTTTGTAATGACTATTTCAAATAATACTTTATTTTAGGCACAAATTAGACATGTAAACTCAGAAATTATGCTAGGTTTCTTGGGAGTTTAAATTTACCCTGGCAGCTTATTTTAATTTTGTTGTTTCTGATCATTTTGGTATGCCTATTCCTCCGATGAAACTGGAGAAGTCACACAAAGTTTCTTTTAGCCATTAACAACATATGTATAAATATTAGGTAACTTTTTCAAATTGGACTTTCACCCCGAAGGGTTGTTACTTCCAAATGTGCTGGTCTATACCTGAGTGGAGTTCACCCCCCCCCCTATAAAAGAATCGCACAAATAAATACATTCACGCATTGCACTATTTCTGATTAGTCGATGGAGTAATAAGCTAATCTAAGTTAAGGTTGATGAACTACTTTCATAAATATTCCACCATTGACCCTAAACACACACACACACACACACACACACACACACACACACACACACACACACACACGCACGCACGCACGCACGCACGCACGCACGCACGCACACACACACACACACACAAACACACACGTGCGCGCACTGACTGTGTACGCTTTAGTTTACCATCTGCCCCTCACAACTCACACTAATAAATACATGCACTCAGCTGAAACACATAAAACAGATCTATATACAATAAAAATTTAAAAAACCCACGTATTCTAATAAGTGGAACAGCAGACACAGAAACTTACTACTATGCCCGACAACCGTTCTTAAATCAGGCAGTATGTCTACACCCTCTCTGTAACGAGGCCAAGGCATGACTTCAGACCTCTCCCAATTTTTTAATGTCCATTATCAACTGTTTTCTTTAAGAATGCAATTTATACATTTATGTAGTTTTTAAGGGGATCAGTGGCTGAGTCGTTAGGTCATCTGGTTTATATTTACCGTAATGGCATTTCTGTGTTTGAATCCTAGCATAACATGGTTTTTTAATTGATCATTACACGAAAAAAGAAAATTATTGTAATATTGTTTCCTCTCTCTCTTCATTACTTATTATATTATGCTTACCAATTTATGTTGTTTAAAACAGCATGGGATTTCTTTTTTTCAGCTAATTATTTTCATCTAAATGTCACTCCTGAATTTGTAAAATCCCACTATGAGATCGATGACTTGAACAAGTTTCTCGATTCATCTAAAATCATGGCGATAATTGCCGTCAACGACAATGGGAAATTGAAGCTGTCTGAAAAGGTAAACGACACAATAATACATTTTTACATTCTGTCTCCAAGGCGAATTTCAATTTTCAGACGATGCTATCTGACTGCCCAGTGAATACCGAAAACTTCTTCGCGTTTTTTAAAGTATATCCAGAAGTGATCACAGAAAAAAACTATCATCAGAATATTTTGGTGGCTTCTATGATGAGTGCACCATTGAAAACACTGTACTATTCATTGCAAAGATTGTATGCCCCTTTAATTTGCAACGTAAGTAAACAAAACTGTTATAAATATTTAGATTAGAAAAATTAGTCATTTTGCAACAGACTCCCCATTGTTGTAGGTTTTATTTGTTTCTTTTCCTTTTTTTTTTTGTATTACAAAAACTCAACACATAACACTGGGTTTTATTTTTAATTTGACTTTAAGAGTCATATTGACCCACCTGGATGGGCCATACCAGACTGACATATGAGCAAATTCTTGCCAAAGTCAAACAATAGAGATGGCCTTTATGGGGTACACGAGTATTTGTAAAATACATATTAATAGATATCAACTTAGTATCCCAAAGAATAAGGTGTAACCTGTAACCGCTTTTAAAGCACAGGTATGGTTATAATTAGCATTTAGCGGTGAATAATGTTTGGGTCTGTTTGTGATGGAATATCGAGTACCCACAAACACAACAAAGTAGTCTACTAGAATTACTGACGTAATAAATATCAAACCCGATGACTACCGGATTGTGTGAATGTATTTATTTGCATGGGTGGTTAAGTATGGACACCATCTATGGTAGAATATTGAATATTCAGACACATTAAAGTAGTCTGGGCTATTCGGTTTTATATATATACATAGTTGCAGTGTGATGGGGGGGGGGTAATTACTGATGTTATATCATAATTCTGATGACTACCAGATTGTGTGAATGTATTTATTTTCATGAGTGGTTAAGTATGGACATTGTCTGTAGTAGAATATCGAATACTCAGACACACAAGGGTAGTCTAGGTTATCCAGTTTTTTTTAAATGTATATATAGTTGCAGTCTGATAGTGGATAACCACTGCATAATGCAACCCTCATGACTCAATTGTGTGAATGTATTTATTTGCATGAGTGGTTAAGTGTGTGGAATATCAAGTACTTTTAAACACAACACAGCAGTCTAGGTTAATTAAATATATATGGACATGGCCTGTATGGTATACTGAGTACCCACAAACACACCAAAGTAGTCTAGGTTTAGTTCTATGTATATATATGCAGTGTGATAGGGGGTAGTCACTGGTTTAATATCAAAAAACCCTAGTGACTACCCAATTGTGTAAATGTATTTATCTGCATGAGTGGTTAAATGTGTATGAACACATACACAGATCTGTCGAACCAATTAGGTTAAGTTAGGATAGTGAATGCTCGATTTGTATGAATGGAGGGCTCAAGGTGAAAAACAGATTACGTTGTATGTAATGTTAGCGTGTAGTCAAAGGGCTGGGGGTCTCAGCAGTATATTGAGACCCGCCAAGCTTAGGTTAGATAATCATTTAAGTATTATGTTTATTGTAATTCACTTATGACATTTTAACCAAGTATGGAAGGGATGAACATCAAAATGGAGGTTAAAATTAAAAAAATTAAAAAATGCGATATAGAAAAAACACGACGGCTGGCAACAGCCTTACTGCAAGCTATTTTACATATGAGCCTTAAAATATAACCTTTTCTATTTTTGTTTTAGAACAATAAGTTAAATGTTAATCCTATAATTTTAAAACAAGTAAAAGAACTTGAGCATACTCTGCACAAGAGTTTTTTTCAAAAAGATTGGACAAGTGAAAATACCACAGGTAAATCTATTTATAAAACTGCATTAATTACAAAACATTAATGAAAATTATATGCAGAGGTGCTAACAATTGATGATGAAATCGCTTTTTGGAATAATGTTACCATCATCAATAGGAAGCAAGTCAAGCCGTCTGTCAAAGCTACCATCGTCGACGCTTTGAATCAACTGAACACAAGTCTAAAGTATTCTGAAAATTTTATAAGAGTTTTAATTTCAATAAACGAATTGTTTAAAAAAATTTATTTTACAGGGGATTGAATTATTCGATAATTACAGAAGCCGATGAAGCCATAGACAACATGTTTAATGCTATGGATGATATTTGGAAATTTGAGGAATGGATTTACCCAGAAGATAAGATGAAAGTCATTCTAGACCTTATCGGTACAAAAAATAGTTTGGATATTTTATTTGAATACATTTTACTTTGTTAACATTTCAGGGAACAGTATAGTTACTTCAATTCAGGAAAAGACGGGTGATAAAGAATTTTTTCATGCACTGACTGTTGAAGGCGAGGATACTCTTAAAAGAGTAAGTCAAGGCGATAATTTCATTTGATCATTTTCATTTTCAATATTTGGCACTTTTAGCACATAATCCTCTGTCATAAAATGATAGCTGCGTGTGAAAAATTTACCGGCTTCTTTTGGCCACATTTTACTGATCATCCGTGGACAAGTGGTCCATATTTGCCAGAATATTTAAAAGGATTTCATAAACGGCTTTTAGAGGTAGGACAATGTATTTTTATCTAGACATTAAGCATTGGGATTGTAATAAATTTTTTTTATATAAAAAGTGTTAATTAATTATGTATATATATTTTTTTTAAGTTGCAAAACGTCATACAGCTCCATGCCCAACTAACAAGTTTATTTACAAAAAGTGAAAAGGTTGACCTTGCCACAGATTCATATTTCCACCCCTTTAAAGGTAATGGTTTAATTTTTATTTACCTAAATAAGTTTTTTGCTATTTTTATATGATGAAGATTAAAAATGTCAACAAAAATAAATTTAAATTTACACTTTGCACTTAGATATTTTCTCAGCTTCATGGAAAAACATTGAGGCATGGTCCCTAAATCTAACCCTATCTGATCTAATCTAACCTAACGGAACTTTTACCATGAGCTTTCTTTGGTAACGCAAATTCATTGATCTGTACAAAAATATGTGTGTCCAACGCTACCATATCCATTTTTTCTTCTTTTTACAACACATGTTACACTTCTAGTGCTATGTGCTACTCTCGCTGCCCAACAGGTTGTCCCAATCTCCTTGTGGGATTATTAGGGATAGTTCATGGATTAGGGTTAAAACTAATGGATTAGGGTGAAATGAAAGAGATTTGTGGAATTTTATGATTCAGAATTTGAAGAACATCTTTCACTAAAGGAATCTAAAGATCATCGTGAATTGTGTGATTGGTCAGAAAGGAGCGTTTACAGATGATGTTTCAGAGGATTTTGGAAGGGGAAATCTGAGGAAAATGACAGTTGGAATGTTTGGAATATCACTGCTCAATGCCGTATGTCCGTAAATGGTTTAATTATTGTCTCATATATTAGTCTTTTGTTGTGAAGTGTCATTTTTGATCGTTTGTATAGTAGTCATGAGAGGATTTTATAACATCTAGTCAGTTCCTGCTTTTTTAGTCTTATATGTGGATTGTTTTGTCAATATGCTTTTTTGTTAACTACAGAAAGAGATGTAGGTATAAAGCCTGTAAGGAGCGATGTGAAGCGACAAGATATTTATTGGAGGATAGGGTAGCAATATCTGCAAAAGTGTGAATGAATGTGTTGGGATGGGTACAGTACTCAACCATGTACACTGAATATAGTATGGGACCAAGGATACTGCCCTGTAGGACTCCAGCCATTACAGGTTTGTTGTCAGAGAAGAACGTTCCCTGGTTGTTCTGAAAGAAGCAGTTATACAGGTATAATCAAAATATGAGGAAGTAGATAATGGGGGAGGATGCTTGTGAGCTTCCACAGCTGAGATGTTGGACCCTATCAATGTCACTACATCAAGGAAAACACCCAAAGATCTGTTTCATCTCAAGAAATGAAGAGATTTCGTCTACAACATGGTAGCATTGCTGGATTGAGGAGTGGTGCCTTCGGTGACGCCAACTGGTGAGATGGGATAGTGTTTTGTTCTTTTAGGATGGGAAGGATTCTTTTTAGAATTTTGAGGATGTTTTCCTAGTATAGGTATAAACGCTTACCGAGTAATAAAAATTGAGTTAAATAGTTTTACGGGGCTTTGGGATCAGAAAAATAAGTAGATCATAGGCGTTACATAGGTTTGTAAGGAACAGGATATCCATGTTAAATTGTTTAACAATAGAGAATTATGAAGCTATAGGTAACTAATTGATGTGTTTTTAGGAATCAGGCCATACTATTTCAATTATTTTACCGAACCAATATGGAACGCAGCAGTGGAAAGCTTTTATGTCAAAATTGCATCAGCAGAACAAAAAGGGGCATTCAAGTTGCAGTCTCTTTTCCAAGAAATTGGGACTAACATCCCTCAAGTATAGTTTTGTAGACTACTTAGCTATTAAGCTAAAAATTTTGTTTTTAAAATTTCATCTTTGACTTGTAAATTTCAGTTGTATCAAGAATTAAGACACTATGATCGCCTCTTGGAAAGGCCTACAGTCAAAAGTTTTTTGCATGCTGAACGGCAAGACATGCTGCAGCGAATATTGTATTATTTTTCTTCATTGAAGCCAAAGCCTCTGGAACATTCATTAGAGGTTGCTGACACTCCAGAACTTGTGAAAAATATTTATTACGTTCGTCAAGTTTTAACTAAGGTTAGTTTATCTTATTATTAGCTCTTTGTCAATCAATGAACATAAAGAAATTTTGAATAAAGAAACAAACTATTACAGATATCAGATATATCACAAATAACAAATTCTATATTTGATGATATTAAAGGCTATGATGAATTTCTCGCAATTAAGAAAGATATATACAAGTCTATCAAATCTTATGAAGATTCTTTATTTGATGAGTGGACGAGAAAAACTCAAAAAAGAAGTTTAGGGTATGTAAAAGTCATTGGTTGACCTCAAGTCTGTTCTCACACTGGCACCGACTACGTCTGGTTTTTGAATGTATTTGCACATACATTCCCAACCTAGGGAATCTAATCAACCCTCTCACACTGGAACCGACTTAATCGTGTGTGTATGTTTGTTTTGTTTTGACCTGCGACTTGATCCCAGCAGTGTTGCGTTCGACGGACGACCTATGGCCTTACTTCCTAGAAGAATAGAATTCACGAATCACGATCACTCTGCATCATGGTTTGTTCTTGAAGAAGAAAGCAAATTCATTTTTTACGGCCAAGCTTTAGACCTATTTTAAGGTCATCATCAGGGAAAAATAATCTTAAATATGCCTACAGATTGACATATTTAAGTTTTTTACAGGTGATCTCAAATTTCCTTGAAGACCAACTCAGTCCTAACATTTCTAAGGGCTGTAACCGTCCAATAGTAACACTTGACTGATGAGAGTGTTGGTGACAATAATAGTTAAGGCACTTTCCACAAACTCACTCACTCACTCAGCAACTACATCACTCTCTCTCTCTCTCTCTCTCTCTCTCTCTCTCTATTTCTTTCTTTCTTTCTTTCTTTCTTTCTTTCTTTCTTTCTTTCTCTCTCTCTCTCTCTCTCTCTCTCTCTCTCTCTCTCTCTCTCTCTCTTTTTCTTTCTTTCTTTCTCCCTCCCCGTCTCCTTCTCCTTCTCTTTCTTCCTCCTCTTCCACTTACCCACTAAATTTGCAAGATTTTTTAAATAGTGTCTGACAAAATCTCTTGCACCCAGAGGAACTAAAAAGAAACTAAAAAAAAGCTTTGAAAAAAATCTTTACAAATTCATGCAAATCACAATGGAACAACCATTACTGACAGATAAACAGCTCTGACAAGTCTGTTTCAATGTGAGACATTAGATAAGTAAGTTGCCTGCAGTCACAGTCCGACCTAGTAGATTCAAGTGTGAATGCAAGTAGACAAATTGTCTTTTCTGCTTTGAAATAAAATAAATAAATAATAATAAGACAAACTTTTTGAACTATTTTTGTGTAAACATTGTTTTTTATATTCATTAAATAATTGTTTTCTTTACTTTTAGTATTAAAACAGATGAACCAGTGGTTCAATTCGAGCAAGGCAAGCTTATGCAAGTTACATTTTCTCCGACGCTTCTTTTGTTAATTCGTGAGTCACGACAGTTATACATGCTTGGGTTACCTGTAAGCAATGAACTTATGGAAGGAGCTGCGCAAGCCAGCCATTTCATGGATCAAGCCAAAGCTTTAAACCAGGTTTGTATTATTATTATTTAATACTAACATCATACGAACTGTATAACTCCATATGCTTATAGATCGCCACTTTTCACAACACGATCGCCGACAGAATGGTGAACTCTCAAAGAGCAATGATGCTAGGTGCAGCACGAGAGTTTTCACGACTTGTTCAATCTCAAACCAAAGTCAACTGGGGTAGTGGAAAATTACTAGCTGATTATATTAAAAAACTGCAAAGTGTAGCTGATAAGCTATCCTTGCAAAACAATAAATTGGTTAAATATCACAAATTCATATTATCAAAGGTAGATAAAATTATTTTGTAGCTTTTAGAAATAAAGTACAATGGAGGCCCGCTAATCTGAATGTCCTATCCAAACAGATTTCGATTTTTTTTTTTTTTTTTTTGTAGAAAATATAATTTTTTTTCATTATTGGTCAGTTAATGTGGAGTTGACTACTCCAAACTTTACTCACTTATTTTTGCTGCACGTTCATACTAAAATTATATGCTCTTATAGGTGATGAACCTGTAATTTGGTCCTTTCTGATTTGGCCAACGTTCTTTTGGCCTGTTAGATGTGTATCGGCTAGTCGCCATATTTAGTAGTGGGTTTCCATTAAAATTATTAGTAAACACTAAATTTGGCGAGAATAATAATGATATTGAGATAAAACTACATTATCACCCCTGTCCTGCTTTATCAAACTTTAACATGTGTATACCTCACCTGCTCTGGTGTGTCTATCTGACCTGCTTTACTGTTCGCATCTTCATTATTAGTCAGTCTACTATGTCCAAATTATTTTAAAAAAATTTCCTTTAAGGGCTTGTTAACATTAAACTTCTTTAGCTTTCTCCCAGATCTTCAGTTTGTCAGAATATTATATGGGAGCCTTTGTTGATGTGGCACAAGCCACAAGGGTCTACTGCACATTAAAGTATATTCTTCCAAATACCCTCTTAATTAATCCTCCGCTCTTATTTAACAAAGCGATTCTTTCAAGTTCAACAAGGATCAGATTATTATGAGTACTGCTCTCTTCCCGTGGGAGTACCGCAGGGCAGTGCGGTCAGACCAATCCTATATATGTTTTATACTGCAGATGTTCTCCCTCCTTGCATATTTTGCCAATGGCATAGCTGTATCCTCGTCTCCGATCCTGAGATTGATTCGGGAGATCTGCATGCATATGCACAGCACATTGGTGTAAACAATGGAAATGGAAATAAAAGAAAGCACATCCATTTATACTCCAAAGCAATCCGACTGCTTTCGTAACCTTAAGTTTTACCTAGAGTCACATTTAACATGGAATCAGCATACATGTCTGAATCGACAAAACTTAAAGAGGTGCTACGGACAACCCTACAAACTTATATAAACCAAGTTATCGACGAAAAACTCATAATCTACAAATTAATACTACAACCGATTTGGACCACATAGAACTGTGGGCCAGTGCTAAACCTTCCAATACCAACGTCTCCAATCCTTTCAGTTAAAAGTCCTTCCATATTATGTCACAAATACTCCACAATGATTTAAATCCATTTATCCAAAAATTTACCAAGTACACTCTCCCTTCACCCTAATAGTCTTGCCCAAGCCTTTTCCAACAGAACCATCCGTAAAACCCAGAAGGCGTTTTATACTGCTTACAGTAAATGGTGACCTCCTTTCTGAGGAGAAGGCAGTGAAAATCAGTAAGAATAATATTGATTATTTGCTCCCCTCAATGTAAATAGTTTTATATATGTCTATGTATACTCAAATTATATGTAATACAAAAGAAAAGTTATTCAGCCAATCTTAACAGGGCTCAGCCCTATCAGTTCCACCTAGCAGGATTTTTGAATTTGGATTTATATAAGCTTGAGCTTATAAACCTGTCTCTACAACTAGCAGGACTCTTCTGTACTGTTTTTATTTCTTTTTTAAATCAATTGAATGAATTTTTAAAAATGTTGATTTATTTAAAAAAATATTTATATTTTTCAGATTGTTATCTTAATGAATGCCGATTTAATAAAACAAAAGGATCTATGGAAAACTATCATGAGAGAAATAAGAAGCGCTGTTCACGAAGTAGAAGAAGAGGTAACATAGTTCAACATAACACGTCAATCGTGTAAATCATTATTGATGTAGTCAAATGTTATTTTATGTACTAATTGATTTTTGCAACTTAGCATGACTTTTGTAATGTTTTCCCATATTTATGTTCCAGTTTACAAGTACTAAACACTGGTGTGCTCACATTGATTACCAGATTTATAAAGCGCTTGAATATCAGTATCAATTAACTCTAATAAAGCTAAATAGTGTAATGCCAGAGTTCCATCTAGAACTAGTATATAGGTGAATAAAAATTTTATGAGAGTATTTCAACTGGGGGGTTATATTAAACCTTGGGGTGTTAGTGTTTTTAAAAAAATTTACATCTGTAAGTATGTCGGGTTTGAATCCAGTGGCCCTGAATTCAAACCCAGGGCCGGCCTTTACCTTACTGTGATAATAAACTCCATAAACTTGTATTATTTGAGACTTATTTTCAAGTAAGCAATTGTACAGATTCATTTTTATTTACAGGAATCACAGAGTTGAGTATCGTCCGAGCCTTTATCAAGTCAGGAGAACTTTCTACAAGCAACTTAAAGGTCTTTTGAGCATACCGTATCAAATACAAGGAATCGGTGATACAAATATTTACCCGTCTATAATTGATCAGTGCGTAAATATATTTTTTACAATATTTTTCTTATTATTTCAAAGAAAAATTGAAATTTCAAAAATTCCAGCACTGGAGCCAAGTTCTTAAAGGTATTTGCAGATGCTGAAAATAATTTTCATAGATTGCAAGAATTCACTAGCATCTGGTACAAATGGGTGGCTTTAAGCAGTGAAAACATCGATTCGTACATGGAGTCGAATTTGTTGAAATCCGACGATTGGGTGCGTAATTTCAGAGCGTCCAAGTACTTTGGACAGCAGATTGCAACATTGCCAAGGTAAGCTAATTAATTCAATTTTTCAAGAACCTTGATGGTAAACTGTATTTTCTGTAGTTTGAAAAAAATAGGCCCATTTTGTGTGAGCATCGACGGATTGAGGAACACGATAGAAAGCCAGAACCGGAGGTATTGGGGTAGTTTGTCAGTCTGGCTCCGGGCTTCTATTCTGAAGGACGTTTCTCATATTGAAGCGTTTCACACAAAGGCCCAAACAGTTTTGCAACACCAGCCACAAAAAGTGGAAGAAATCACAGAAGCACACTACAATTATCAAAAAATCTTCGTCGAAAGTGACGAGGTGAATAAACTATATTTAATACTACCTCACCTTAAAATAACAATTTTTTCTAGTTAATTATTTATTTGCATTCAGATTTCAAACATGTTGGAGGAGTTGGACGAAAAAAATAAGCTTCTTCGTTCATGGACTAAAGAAAATATTACAACTGTTGAAGAAATTAAAACTTCATGGGCTAATTTTAAACTTATAATTACAAACTATAACCTTATCATTTCAAAAAAGGTAAACTAATTTTTATCTGCATCAGTTACCATTCAGAAAAATACTGAATATATAACATCTACTATTATTTACACACATTTGTTGAAACTCCCATTCATTGAGATGCAAAACACAAAAATCATTATTTCCTAGCTTTCAGTAACAACCTCTAGATCTACTGAGGCAGTTATTACAAACTAACACAACTATAACAAAATACTGCTTAAAACAAACAAACAATTCTACTTTTCTTTCATTAGGCAGAAACACTGAAATTGACTTTACACTCAGAAGAGGAAATTTTAAATGATGAAATGGAGAGATTCGTTCTTCATTGGCAAGAGTTGAAACCGGATGAAAATAAGCTTCTCGAACCTGGGGTGAGTGACGAATATTTCATCGCCAATATTGCAACGATTAGGGAAAGAAAGGAAAAGTGGTTTAAACTGTTGGAGAAAAAGTCTAAATTGGGGTTTGTACAATTCTTTAATTATCATTTGTTATTATTATGTAACAATAATCTTAATAAATTAATAACAACACAAGTAGATTAGGGGGACCACGATGGCTGAGTGCTTAGTGCATCGACTCGTATTTGCCACGTTACCGGTTCTGGGTTCGAATCCTGACAGAGCCCATGTTTTGTTAATAGATTATAGTATGAAAAAGGTATTGTAAAATGGTTTGACCCTTGTCCACAACACCCAATGGGGAGGGCATTAACCCGGAAATTACTTTACAAGTAGATGGACGGTCAGATTCCTGAATGTAAAGTGTGTCAATAGACACTTAGAAAATAAATAATTTTGCTACTTAACAAAGGTTTGAATAGCCTCTTTTAGGTCTTATAATTTCAATACAAGTTGAAAGCTCTTGTCAGACCAGCAAATATCTCTAGTTCTGTTTCATGTCACAAAATTGCGTATTTTCTTCTGTAATGCTGGTCAGAAGATGGTGATCATGTTCCTTATTTTCTACCAGTTCTTATGCCAGCAAACGGCCGAGCCGTGGACAATGTTTGTTTCTCAAACTGAGTGGTCAATCTTTGATAAACTTTTATGCCTTCATAAGTGAGAAATTTAATAATAAAGTGCAGCGCAATGGACCAAATATTATGGCATTTGTAAAATATAATAACAGTGCAAATTCTATAGGTTGCAAAACTAAATTCTTTCCTTATCATGAGCTTTTCAATTAAACAAAATTAATACAAATATTTTCTCTACAAGGCGACATAGCTCGTTAAAACCTATAAAAATATATTTAAAAAAGTCTCATACTGGTGTCAATTTAAAACCAGTGATTTGTGTTTTCACCTTCAGCAAGATTGTGTTTTTATATGTTTGACATTGTTTGACAAGATTGTGTTTAACTAAAGCCATCCAATTCATTTTATGTTAGCAATGTGAACAACGAAATAATTAAAATGTATAGTTTATTCATAGTCGTCCCCCTTGAATATATATTCAATCTGAGCATTAATCAAGGGGTTTATCCTTCAATTTTCAAAAAATCATTAATTGTGCCGATTTTCAAAAGTGGTAATAAAAAATGTATTGAAAACTATCGACCTATCTCTTTCAAAGTTATTAGAAAAGTATCTGTACATAAGAATTAAAGGCCTCTTAGATCAGCAAAACTTTTTTGCAGAAAACCAATTTGGTTTCACACATAATAAAAGTACTTCAGATGCAATATACTTTGTAATAAATAATATTTATGAAAAACTGGTTAAAGCAAAAAAATTGATGGGGGTTTTCTTGGACATTAGCAAGGCATTTGATTCAATAGACCATGAAATATTATTCAACAAACTTGAGAAAAAAGGCATAAGTGGTTTAGCTTTAAAATTGTTCAAAAGTTATTTTATGGATAGAATGCGAGTAGTTAAAATAAATAATTCATTATCCCCCCCCCCAAATTAAATCAAACCATGGTATTCCCCAGGGCACAGTCCTGGGACCATTATTTTTTCTGATCTATATAAAGATATTTTTGACCTTAACGTAGACTGCACAATTACTGGATTCGGTGATGACACCATCTTACTAATTGAGGATGAAACAAGTGAACAATTAATGATAAAAGCCTTTGGAAATATAAATAAAATATGAAGCTGGTATCATACAAATAAACTTTTATTGAACACAGAAAAAAAAACTAAATTAATTATATTTAGTATCCAAAACGAGAGCAATATAAATAATAATAATTTAATAATACATAACGGTGATTGCACGTTCAAAAATTGCTCTAACTGCTTTGAAATTAAACAAGTTTGTTCAATTAAATATTTAGGATTAATCATAGACAAAAACCTAAGTTGGGAAGAGCATATAACATCTATAATAAAAAGAATCCAGTCATTATTTTATAAATTTTGATTATTAAGAGATATAATTGATATCAATACCATAAAACAAGTTTATCTAGCACTTGTGCAGTCGATTTTCTCTTATGGTGTGGTAGCATGGGGTAATGCAAATTTATCTACTAAAAGACGATTACTTACAACAATTAATACAATAATTAAAATAATTTAAAAAAAACCTAGATTGTACTCCACCATTCTTTTGTATAAAGATTTTAAAGTTCATAATTTTACTTATTAAATTTTATAAAGATTGGAATAATAAATTATCAATCGCCCACAACTTCTCCACTAGAACCAAGATTGATTCCTCCATCAGTCTACAAAGATATAGAAAACCCATTTAATATTGCTATTAAATTCTGTTATACCAACAAAATTAATATATAGTTTTGCTGACCTAAAATCATTAAAAAACATATTATAAATAATATTTTATGTAACAATATGAACTTTAAATAACAATATGTAATTAAATGTACCTAAAATCATTCAAAAAAACATATTATAAATAATATTTGTGTAACAATTTTAACTTTAAATAATAATATGTAGTTCACTGCGTTGTTATTTTGAAAGAATGACTGATCACCTCACCCAGCACAAGCCATTAAGCTTTTGGATGAATGCCATTGTTATATAATACAAATCTACTGTTCATAATATAATGTATAAATACCATATCTGTAAAATTGTAAATTTTGTTAATTGGCAAAAATAAATATGAAGATTTTTTCTTTCTCTGAATTCAGGAGCACTGGATTCGAACCCAAACCCTTACAGTGATGAGTTGCCTCAACTGTTGTGGTCCCCTCAATAATATTTACCTTTAATCACTTTAAAGAATTATTTATTAAAGTGAACTGTATCAAACTTCTTTTTTTTTTGCTGCATGAGTTCATTTTCATAAAGCTTTGTCTATTTGCAGAGAAGATTTTGAAAAATTGGGATTACAGCTCTCAGAAACGATAGACTACAATGAAATTGAAAAAGAGATACTTCAGTGCGAACAGATGTGGTCACTACTCGAAGAATTTAACGACGGCAAGTTTATGGTTTATGATCGAACTTTGTACATTTAAACTAACTCCTTAGAATTTATATAGGGCTTAAAAAACTTGCTGATGAAGAATGGATCGTAATAAGAGCTAAGGCGCATTCAAAAACCAATGTGTTCTTGGAAGAATGGATTGACAAGTTGAAGAATACCAGCAGATCATCGGTCACCATCAAAATCTTACAAGACATCGATCAATACAAGGTGATCAAATTGTCTAATTGTTATTCAACTATTAATTTATTACGTGTAAATGTTTGTTGTATACAATAGGAAATTTTACCATCTCTCCAATACGTCAGAGGTGAAACATTCACCGACCAGCATTGGTCTGAAGTTTTCATGACCCTTAACACTTCACCAAAGCCGTTGGATCAAATAAAATATGGGGACTTCTTGTACAATGGACAAAATATTATAACAAATCTTGCAACTCTCCAGGTATATTAACTTACACGCACTGGTCCTTTTTCCTCTTATTCTATTTTCCACAATCGCACTTTATTTTTAAATACAAATTTATTCTTTTAATATTTACTGGATTCTTAACAAAAACAAGTTTTTTTTTATAAATAGAATATTAATTCTCGGGCTGCAAACGAAATTGTAATAAGGCAAGGACTAAACGAGTTAGATGCTTGGGAAGCTGAAGCTAAATTCACCATTTACAATCACACCGACTCCAAAGGGCAACAATTATATATGATTAAAGACTTCAAAAGTGTTATAAATAAGGTATAAAAAACTTTCATACTTCTATTAATAACAAAGTTTTGACTTATTGCATTTTCAAGGTTGGTGACAATCAATGCCTTTTACAATCCATTAAAGGATCGACAAACGTGTCACAATTTGCTGATAGAGTTACAGTTTTAGAAGAAAGACTTACGAGTCTAGACATGAATCTACATGATTTAAACCAGGTTCAAAGAAAGTAAGTACAAGTTTTTTTTTTAATGTTGAAACAATTAATATTATTATCTATAATAATGTAAATTTCTTAAAACCTTTAATAATAGCGAATAAATGTTTTGAGGTGGGCGTATCTTGAGCCGATTTTTGGTTCAGGGGCATTGGAGGAAAAGAGATTTGATCGGATCGACAAAGAATGGCGGTACATTATGCACAACCTTTCCGTAGCTCATTTTCGAGTGATTTCATTGACGAGGATAAATAATATAACGCATACGCTGCAACAGCTGCTGCAAAGTCTTCTCCAATGTCAAAAGACTTTACAAAACTACCTTGAGGTAGGTTTAATTCAAATTTAGTTTTATTACTTCTGAGTTTAAACATTGTCACTTTCTGTGCAGGAGAAGAGGCTAAGGTTCCCGCGTTTTTATTTCGTCAACGACGATGACCTCCTGGAGATTTTAGGACAAGCTAGTAAATACAATGTAATACAGAACCACCTGAAGAAGATATTCGCTGGTATACATTCTGTTGAAATAAAAAACAATAATATAACCACAATTTTCTCGGCACAAGGGGAAGCTGTACAGCTTAATAGTCCTGTCGCTATAAGTGCAAATGTTGAGGTATAGTATTAATTACGCAAGTATAACATATATCTAAAAAAGTTGATATATTAAATTTGGTTTTTCTGAGAACTGCCTGGAGCGGGCACATATATAAAAATTACAGAAGAGAGTATGTGCAATACTCAGTTTATTTATTTACTTTTTTAAATCCATTTATTTTTTAAGTCTGAGAACCCAAACTTTTATAAGAAAGGCATAACTGGGCTAGTTACATGTTAGAATGAATGCCGACTGAATAACTTTTATCTAAAATAATTTTGACAATTATTAAGCCCTATAAACCCCTATGAACTTTTCTGATTGCCTGACATATCTCTTCAGAAATTAATGCAAGTAAAATGTAATCTAAATTTCAAACTACTAACCTTGCAGCAGGCACCGTAGAGTACTGCAATTTATTTTTATTGTATTTTTACTTTGACTCGAATCAAGTGCGATAGTGTCCCTTAATCTATCATCATTCAAGACAGAACATCAAACCATGGTTCATCTTCAAACCACTCCTTCCCAGAAGCAAATTTTTTGAACCACTCACTCACTTTTGTGCACATTTTATGAGCTGTCTCGGTCAACCTAGTGCGCGCTTAAATTCATACAAATACACGCTTTTGAAGCCATAAGAAAGAAAATGTTTTATAATTTACAGTGAACTGTTCAAGTCACTTTTTCTTTATGGACCGACACAATATCCTCTTGGATGATATGATGTAAAAACTTAATACTCCTGTGTAAATAGAAATGTTAATTAACAGTATTAAAACAGTGAATAATTAAAAACTGAACAAACTTTCTGGTTACTTGGTAGTTTAGATCTCATTGTCACAGCTAAATTAATAAACTATTGTAATGTTAGTTTAGTTTTTTTATCTGTCACATTGTTTAATCTGTAGAATGGTCTTTTTCAATTGTCCTGTCATACGAAACAGTGACCACAGTACAGGTTCTAAACCACCAGAAGAAATCTCACACTATTTTATGTTGTCTATAGTAAAACATTTTCAGGAGTGGTTGGAAAACCTATCGCTTGAAGTGCAAGCCACACTAAAACTCCTAGTTATCGAGTGTCTGAAAAAGCCTGACCCTCTGAAATATCCATATCAAGTTTTATGCCTTGCGGAAAGAATTACTTTTACAAAAAATTGTGAACAGGCTATTAACACAAAAGCACTAAGCAACTTGCAGTCAATAGTTAAGGTAGATGATTTTTTCAGAATGTAAAGTTTTTAACTTACGTATATATATTTTTTTATGTAGGCACAAAGAGATGAGTATATAAAACAACTGTTAGAATGGTCAGGAAGCATCAGCAATGACAAGGATGGGTACGTTTTGCAGTTGAAATTAAAAGCTTTGTTGTTAGACACTATTTACTACTTGCAAGTACTGGAATCATTAATCCTCTCGAAAGTCGATTCGTTAAATGACTGGAGCTGGCAAAAAATATTAAGGTTAGTACTTAAACTCTTGGTAAATCAAAATATTTTGACGGAGTTGTTTTAGGTTTTATTGCCTTGAAAACAATGATATTGTTGTGAGGATGGTGGATGCAGAGTTTCAGTATACTTACGAATACCAAGGGGCTCACACGAAACTCGTTCATACAGCTCTGACAGATAAATGTTACTTGACATTGACACAGGTAAAAATACACAGAAAAAAACAAAAAGAAAAACGGACACTTGTATTTTTCATACTTTCCAGAGCCAACTTGTTGAGTAGAGTTAGTTTTTTTTTTTTTTTATAATGAAAAATAAATTTGAATAAAATGTTTATTTTTTTAATCTTTTTTTTCTTAAAAGTATGGTTTTAAGTCAAGAAGATCTCACCTGGGCAGATGTGCTAGCCAACAACAAACGTAGCTCAAGTCCTGGGTGTACTGCACTCTGTACGACAACTAGAGACGATTGTTTTATTGCTCTTACCATATTATGGAACTATCATTTAATGGCTTCCAAGTCAATTCCAGACAGTCTGTAATGTAAGGGTGAGCTTTAAAACATCAGAAGGCTTTGTGAGAATTGCTATTCTCTAGACATCCTGAATAAGGTTCTCTACTACTGGAGAGGTATCAGGTAGATTCTCGCTTGGACACTTGAACAGTGGGTGTGCTGTTCTCTTCACAGATGAGTGTCGGTTTGGTTTTGTGACAATCAGACGATCAGGATATGGAGAAGATGCTTTGTTTCATGTGCCATACATGAGTCACAGCATTCTCAAAGACAGTCAGTTATGGTATGGGGTGGAATTGATGGCCCATACCAAACTGATTGTCATACAGAATTTTGACTGTACTAAGATACATTGAGGAAGTTCTTCTGAAAGCTTTTGTCCCATTCATTCCACGGGAGGTAACTTCGTGTTAATGTATGATAATGCTTGATCGCATGTATCTTGTCACGTATTGCTTGGAGGATGTAGGGATTACCACATACGGGACATAATAAAGAGATGGGTGAAACATCGTTCACCATCTCCAGGAAGCGTTGAACAACTTCATACCTTGTTGAAGAATGGGATTTTGTTTGACAAATTGAAATGTGGTAGCTTAGTACGTTACTCTATGCTTATGAGACTAACGACCCTCTGTGAGTACAGAAGAGGTAATACTTGTTATTAAGAGTAAAACTAGGTAATAAATTGTTCCATTATTTTGGTGAATTTTCTTTCAAATCATAATTAAATAACTTTTTATTAAAACTCAGGAATTTCTGATCTCGTTTAATTTGGTTTACATTAAAATAAATATAAATACAAATAAAAAAAAAAAAATAGTTTGAAGTAAATAACAAAATGCAAATGTCGGTTTTTTTTTGTCTTTGAGTGTATATGTTTATGGTGATTATATTGAGTAATTTGTCTGTTTATTATCGAAGGCTGTTAGCATGGGGTTCGGTGGTAATCCATACGGCCCAGCAGGTACTGGAAAAACAGAATCAGTTAAAGCTCTTGGTGCATTATTAGGACGTCAAGTTCTTGTTTTTAATTGCGATGAGGTAAAACTAAAACTTCAATCCTTAAAGAATAAAATTTTGGCTAATTTATTTACTCAAATATTTTTACTGTTTTAGGGGTTAGATGTTAAATCGTTAACTCGTATAATGGTCGGACTGGTTAAATGCGGAGCTTGGGGATGCTTTGACGAGTTCAATCGTTTAGAAGAAACTACATTGTCGTTGATATCATTGCAAATACACGTTATTCAAGAGTCATTGCGAAATCATTCCTCTTCTATAATCCTTCTCGATAAAACGGTATTTCAAAAGTAACTTAACAATTACTTTTGCTTCGTTGATGACAAAATGTCGAACACACAATCTCAATTCTTATTTGAAATGTAAATTTAATTTTACAGGTTGAAGTCAACCATAACTCTGGAATATTTATTACCCTCAATCCAGCTGGAAAAGGCTACGGCGGAAGGCAAAAGCTACCGGAAAATTTGAAACAACTGTTTCGACCGGTTCTCATGTCAAAGCCGGACGATGTCGACATAGCCAATGTGATGTTATTGTGTGAAGGCTTTCAAATGGCAGATGAAATCGGTGTTAAATTGGTAACCCTATTCAATCTGGCAAAGTATTAAACGAAAAACATATTTATTCGGTATATTTATTGAGCAAGGGTTTTTTTTTGACTAAGAAGAATGTTTTTTTGTTTTGTTTTTTTCAGAAAACTGCTTTCACAACAACAACACTATGATTGGGGGTTGAGAGCGATGAAAACTGTGGTCGGAAGCTGTGGTACCGCTTTAAGAAATTTTTTATCATTAAATCAAGTTGCAGATTCCAGTGAGTATTAATGAAAATTCAAAAACTAGCTCCACAGCCACTTGCATGTTTTTCTTTTATTACTTTTTTATTTTTAAGCTTAGTAAATTAGTGCATAACATTTTTAGTATTTAGTATTGTAAGCCATTTTTTTGCATTTGTTCTAAATCAAGCTTTCAACGTCTTTTTTCCCCTTCAGATATGCTACCATATTTTGTATCAGTTATTCTTTATTCAATAATTAATTGCTTATTAATATTCAGTATTTTGTGAATAATTTAATTTATGCTATAATGTTGGAATGTACAAAATGTTCACAAATGCAATGAGTTGCAAGTGCAACATGGGGAAGAAAACGCTTTTTTTAATTATACACTAACCTTTTGTATAAACAAGTGTATAATTAATTTTTTTATCTAATGACCACACATGATTTTATGTTATAAAAATGTTATAAAAAATATGTAAACATATATGTATATATTTTTTATATTTTTGTTATGATTATTTTTTTTATAATCTAGGCATATTGCATTGTATTCTAGTTCTAGTTAATAAGTCAATAATTATAGTTAATAATTGAAAAGTATGGAGAAAGAAAACGCTTATTGTTGATTTCAGTTTAATATAATTTTTTATGCGATTAAATATCAATATTCAGTTGATTTTTTTTTTTTTTTTTTTTTTACTTATCAGTAAATTACGATATTGAAATAATTTCATTTTAAAGAATTAGCCTACAGGCGTTGTTGGCTACAACGGTTTAGGCATTGACACGGCGCTCATCACTGTAAGGTAAAAGTCCCGGGTTTGAATCCAGCGGCCCTGCATTCGTACCTAACATACTTACAAATGGGCTTGATATTTCAAAAACACCGGCACCCTGAGGTTCATATAACCTCGTATTTCAAATACCCTTGTTAAAAATAAATAAATAGTCTATCAAATTCCTTATCTATTTCAATCAAATTCCTTTTTGACATTCCTGCATAAATATGATGCAATCATATTTCACATTTTTTTAATAATCATTATTAGGTATTTTTAAGGGGGTGTTGGTTTTTTTTTTTTTTTTTTTTTTTGCGTTATGAACTATGCATATTAGCCATGACAATTCATATTTATGTGTTCAAATTTGGGGGGGTTATTGTGAAAAAAGGGCCAGAGGCGACGGTGGGAATCGAACCCACGACCGCGGCGTGAGAGTCTCTCATGCTAAACCACTCGGCTACCGCGGTCCCCGTGGGGGTGTTGGTGTTTTTGAAAAAAAGTCCATTTGTAAGTACATTGCATATCATTGGATTCGAACCCGGGACCTTTACCTTACAGTGACGAGCACCGTCTCAATGCCAAAACCGTTCTGGCCACTGATGCCCCCAATCATTATTGTTAATAAGTTTGATAATTATAGTCAATGTAATATATGTCTATTTAGATGTGGGAAAAGAAAATGCTTTAATTTGACATTAACCTTTTTTTTAATGTGTGCAAATAAATATTTAATTTCATGTGTAGAATGTTGATAAGTCATAACAAGGGAACAGATTTTGGTGTGTTATAAAAGTCAAAATATGTTTATAAATATCTTTATTTTTGACAAAATATGCATTTATTTTTTTAGTGAAATATGTAATATAAAATTAATTTGGTATGATTAAAAAATAAATAAATGAATAAAAAATACCAAACCAAATTTCATTCTTTTAAAATTGTTGGGGGTATGATAATTTTAATTTTCAAAATTGAAATCACATGCTTTGAAGTCAGTCAGCCCTTTTCAGCAGTGCAAACAAATATTTGAAGAAAAATGGGGAGAAGCATTTTTATGGGGTTGCTGTGTGTGGGGTGGTTGGGTTTCTCCATTTCTGACGGTTCATGGTGCAGTCCCTAAGACAACCATCACTCAAGGGTCATATGGTTTACGGTTTTAAAGCCAAATAAAAAATAAATACAAAAATTGATACGGTGATGATTAAGTCCATCAAACTTGACATTTTGTTTGGGTTTAAATTAATTTCTGAACCTGAAGTCCTTGAAGTCCCTTTTAAGATGTTTAGGATTTTTAAGCAGTACATATTTCATCCTCTTTTTTATTTTTTTTGTTGTCGAATTTTCCAGGTACCAGTTCTGGTTTTGTTGTCAATTCGAATACACTGATACACTAACTGACATATTTTTGGTTTCTACGAGCCCAATTATGCTTGAATGTATTTTTTTTCCATTAGATTTTGGCATTTTCAATTGATATAGCGGGTTAATCGAGTTTTGATGTAACACCCTTTATTTTGTAGAAAATCTTGCAATAATATTCCGCTCCTTTTAACTATAGGCTGAGGAAGAAGACGCAAATCTGTGAAGGTTTTTTTAAGGATTTGTGTGCACTTGGACCTTTAAAAAAAATTTTTTTTGACTGTTTTTTATTTTTAACTGTGTTTGGAGCTGAGATTGCTACAAACTTAGACAAGCAGTTTACTTTCTATTTTATTGCCATACAATTGCAAATTAAAATGGTTAAATCTTAAAAATCCCATAATATAGTAAAATATCTGCTAAAAATATATAAAATGAAGATAATATTAATAAATAAAAAATTACCCAACAATATGTAACATTAAATTGTTTCAAGTTCCTTCAAAATGTCATAAAATATTTGGCTTTTAAAAAATATGTAAACACATAAAAATGTGCACTCTAGACTCACAACAAAAGCCAATTTTACAGCAGAGCAGTTTTAAGTTTTAAACTTGAACACATACTAGTTTATGCCAAAAATGTTCATCTGCTGTACAACTCATGACCATCCAGATTGCATCTATTTGAATGCGGGACTTTTCTGTATTTGTACCACTGACTTATCTGTTTTTCACCTATTGTCAAAAATAGATTGGTTTAAAGTAATATTTATGTTTGTTAGGATTTATTAAGTTTTAATTATGTGATATTTTACAAGAGAAACTAATTATTATTAAACTATTTTGCAATATTGGGTAAGAAAATGCTAGAGCAGTAATCCTATTCTTAGTTAAGGTAATTCACACTTTTTATAATAATAATTAAGTTTATAATAATCTTAATCGACTTAAGATACATGCATTTGAGCAGTAAATGTGCGAATGTATTTCAACATACTTTATATTAAATAAAATTTAATGTTTTTTTAAATTGAAACAACAGTGGTAATTTTTTTAATGTAAACAGTTTTTTTATAATAAATTTGAATTCTCTAGTTTTTCCGAGTGTCCATAAAATTTGTCTTACTTTATTTTTGTAAGAGTGTGCAGTTCAATTTTCAGAGCTGTTGAAACCGTGTGGTTCTCAAGTTTATTATTTTGTGAAATCAAGTAATTTCAATTTAAAAAAAAAATTATGTAAATAAGAAAGGGTGTAAAGAGGAAAACCTATTTCAATATTACAGCTGTGATTTCACTAACTTTCAAAAACCATGAAATCGCCTAATGTTTTCATATCTAAATTTATTGCATTATTTGTTGTTTGTTTAATATTTGTTTGACTTGTGTTTATTATTTGTATGCTACAAATTTTATTTGGCTGTTTGGCAAGTTTGCAGGGATTTTCAAACCACCATTCAAGGCATTTCCAGTTTCTAAGTGAGTATATAACAATTCAAAATATCCGAATCGGACTAAATAACACAGTTTGAAGATGAGATAAATGTAAAAATAAATAATAGACAAACTAGTGCTGAACTGTAATTAAACCTCTTCTTATTTTCATCCTATTAAAAGAAAAAATGCTAAATTTCAATATATTTAGAAATAACAAATCGGCAAATATAATTTAAATTCTTTGTAACAACGTGGACTTCTAAAAATTTACACAACAGTTCCATTTTGCCCACTAATTAATGAAACATTCATCAATTTGTACTTCATTAATATTTATTGAAAAGTTTTATTTCTAGGGTGCGTCGGACAACAACTATTTGTTGGTGAAAGTTGGTTCAATTTTTTTAAAGAATCAAAACAAGGTATGTTACACAACATAAAACAATAATACATATTAAAGTACACTTAAAACCTCGTTTCAATATGCATTAGCACATTAATTTGTAGTAAAAGAAAAATATTCCTTTGTTCAAGTTTTTGATGAATTAAGGGCATACTCAGGGGATCCTCCAAAAGCTTGAAAAACTTTCTTTTTCTTCAAATTAATATGCTAATACACAAGTATATTGAAGCAACCAAGTGTTTTTCTTTTCTTTAAAATTGGCCTTAATCCCTGATTTGTTTTTTAATACAAAATTATTCATTAATAGATAAATTCACATTATGTTCTATTTCTAGGGAGTGAGAAATGCTTTGTATACATTTTTATTTTACAGATCATCCAATTGAAGATTCAGTAGAGTCCTCTGAATCACCGGATGAAATATCTGCTTGTGCCTTGCACATTCGAAAAGGTAGGTAATATATTTACCCTTTTTTATATACAGGGTGAGTCATTTTTTTGACGCGTTTAAATCTGACTCAAGACCAATTTCTTTTGATTTTAATATTAAAAAAAGGAAGTGAGTCAATTTTCGGTGCACCATAGGAAAATCAACGTTGGTGCGTTTAAATCTGACTCAAGGCCAATTTCTTTTGATTTTAACATTAAAAAAAGGAAGTGAGTCAATTTTCGGTGCACCATAGGAAAATCAACGTTGGTGCGTCTAATTATGACTCGGCACATTTTATTTTGTTAGTCTTGTACCAAAAAATAGGCGAGTCACTTTTCGACGCACCATTTGTTACAAATTAGTTTTAGTAGGTTGGAAGGAAAATAAACAAAACCAATATTATTAAAACATTATTCAAACACAATGTAAAAATTTAAAAAAAATCTTCACAAATTAATTAAAATTAAATAAATATAACAATCTCCTTTTTTCTGGTAAAGTAAAAAAAAAAATTAAATAAATGTAACCATCTCTTTTGTTAGCAAATCAAAAATGTTCGAAATCATAATAATTGTTCGAACAGACCTCTCTTTGCTGCAACACAGTAGCCTAGTCTATCTAAAAATACTCTTAAACCTTAATCAGATTAATTTGTGAAGATTTTTTTTTAAATTTTTACATTGTGTTTGAATAATGTTTTAATAACATTGGTTTTGTTTATTTTCCTTCCAACCTACTAAAACTAATTTGTAACGAATGGTGCGTCGAAAAGTGACGCCTATTTTTTGGTACGAGACTAACAAAATAAAATGTGCCGAGTCATAATTAGACGCACCAACCTTGATTTTCCTATGGTACACCGAAAATTGACTCACTTTCTTTTATTAACATATTAATCAAAGGAAATAAGCCTCATATCAACCCTCGGGGTGTTGGTGTTTTTGAAAAAAAGCCCATTTGTAAGTATGTTGGGTTGGAATTCAGGGTCGCTGGATTTGAACTCTGGACCTTTACCTTACAGTGATGAGCGCCATGTCAATGCCTAAACCATATATTAGCTATATTTTATATAAGTGTTTTGTAATAATTTAATAGTAAACTAAAATTTAAAATTAAAACTATTTGATTTGTAATTTATAAGTATTTGAACCAATAACTTAATCTAATCTTTATGTATAACATTTTTATATATTATGTATGCAAATTATGCCAAGAGTTGTATGATTCATTAAAATATGAATAACATTTTTAGTTCATGAGATTTCCTCCTGTGATTTGACTGTTACCATTTTGGTCTGCTTACAGACGTGTTTTGGCATTTCGCAGTCTTCATTGTGTCTGTGTGATTCGGTTAAGTCAAGTCTCTTTTATTATATTTATATATTCTGGAAAAGTGGCACACTTTGAAATTTTGATATTTGCCTTTTCAGTAATATTAATACCTATACTATTTTATAATTCAGTTATATGTTAAAACATTTGGTTAGTGTGAAAATAGAAATACCTTTNGAGGGTATTTAAACTACGAGGTTATATGAACCCTTGGGGTGTTGGTGCTTTTGAAAAAAAAAAGCCCATGTATATTCAGGGTTGCTGGAATCAAACCTGAGACCTTTACCTTACAGTGATGAGTGCCGTGTCAACTCCTAAATAGTTGCGACCACCAAAACCCCTCTTCCTTTATGACAGGAATTGCTTTACTTTTAGGACTGCGGTGGCCGAGTGGTTAGGGTGTCCGACTCGTATTTGCCATGCTAGCGGTCTTGGGTTCAAATCCCAACATAACCCATGATTTTTGATTGATTATAGTATGAAAAATGTATTGTAAAGTGGTTTGATTTTTCATCAGCGACACCCAACCGGGTCCTGGTTTGTCTTTTTAATTGAAAATAATGTTAAAAAAATTGTGTAAAGTGGTTTGAGCCTTCGTCCAGTATACCCAACGGGTTAGTTAGACATTTCAGCTCTCCTTTATGAATGACTTTATTTTTTACTTTTTAAAAATGTGGTTCCTCTTGCTTTTTTCTTTTTTTTTACTGTGGCGAATACCAGGAACTGGGGAAGTTCCCCCTGAGCACTGCAACTCTATAGCTTATTGTACTTCTTTCTAGCTCCATTTTTGGGTGCATTGCAATGTTGCAATGAGCCCATAGGTGTGTCGGTTCTTCCATCAAATAAACTCATTTTCGAAGGGAGTCGAGAACAAAATCAGGATCGTTGAGATCTGATCCCACTTCAGACTTTCTATTGATGAGTGCTGTGTCAATTTTTCATTGTGACCACCAGTCTCCTTTGTTGTAAGCAAAAAAGCCCAGAGGTGACTGGGAATCATACCCACGACCATACAGCGTGTGACTCCTTAACCACTCAGTTACCACGGTCCCCATCCTTTTGTTCTTATTATACACTCTAATCTTCTCAGCATGCTCATAATTAACTAATTCTTTTATGCAATGTCCGGTCTTGTCCCAAAAGTCCTCAGCATGGTTCAAATTATGTGCAGGCCATCGTTGAGTGCAAATATTGACCTCACAAAGGTACTGCATAACACTGGTGGCGACTTGCTGTCTTGCGCTGTAATAAACATGAATTGCTCTCCAATTGCAGGATTAAATGACATGACATATTCTTCAAGAATGTGTATCACGTAAATTTTTTTATGACGGCCTAATAAAAAAAAAAGTATTATGCTGTTTTTGCCTCCAAATAAAGTCCACACTATAACTGAACCATCTCCGAATGACCTTCTGGCAATGTGGTATTGGCTGTAGCACTCTACATCTACTTGAACTAAAGACCATCTGGTGAATGGAGAGAAAACTGATTCGCTAGAAAACATTACATACATTCATCCATTCAGTTTCTGTCCAATGTTAATGTTCCCTTGGAAACTCTAACCGGTACCAATGATGAACTCTATAAACTAATAGAAATGATAAATGATGGAGTGAGTGTGGTGTTCAATACTTTTTAAAAGGACAGTTCCTACTCACAGTAAGTTATTATTTAAAATGGTTTTTTGGCATTTACTTTGTAAGAGAGTTGAGCAGTTCTTAACATTTAATTTAGCAAGAACGAATTTAGGGGTTAGGTTTAATTTCAAACATTGGGAATTGAACCAGATTGATTTGTTACTGCTTTGACTAGCAAATTACTGTGAGTAGGAACTATCCTTTTAAAAAGTAATGATGAACTCTGGTAACCACTGGACTATTGCTGGCCTTCTGGGATGTAGACTCATTTCTACAAGTCTTACTGTTTCAATGCTAATGGACACATTCCATATGGTTGGAAGCCTTTGAGATGTTTCCAAAGCCATGGAAAAGTGATTTCTCAGTGTCCAATCTGATAAATCGGTCGTCGGCTGGTTCCCTGACTCTTGGGCATACTTGGAGTCTCCCTGCACCACTGAACGCACGACGGACTGGCGTTTCAAGCAATCCTAAAATTTGTGCTGTATAACACCAATTTCTTCCATTCTTAACTTGCACAATGGCATGGGAAATTTGCTCGCTGATCATGGGTATTTTTATAATCGTTTTCTTTCATGCCACCAACACAATAGTGAAAAAAGGCATTTTTAAATAATTAAATGCCTTTGTGATGATGTACATTGAGAGGACTTTAAATCAAATTAAGAATAAAGCGGTTTTTTCTCTTAATCGATAACAAAAACAAATACTTTCCATCTAATTATAGTTATTAAATTATTTTAAAAAAGTAAAAAAATGACTGAAACATTGCTAAATTAAAAAAAGAAATCATAAATTCAAAGTGAGCCACTTTTTTTTTCTGTAGCAGTGTATTACCATTTACATTTTCACATGGGAAAAAAAATGAAACAAAAATTTTACTCAAATGAAACCACTGTAGGCAGTTAAATACAAAATCCATCTAGACAGACAGACCAGATCAGTGATCTGATGATGTATGTACACTTTACTTCCATTGCGTCATCATTAACGCAATGAAAAACATGTGCAAAATATTATTCAGAATATGGTGGCTATCTTTTAATGTTTATCTGACATTTATTTCTTCTTTATTTTCATCTCAGACACTCAGAAATATTAGTTGAACAATTTTGGTTAACTGAAGAAAATTAAGATAATGTAATTAATTGTTTGGCATAACAGCTTCAAATAACATGCTAGCTTTTTTTGCATTGTAATAGTTTGTAGATAATTAGGCTGAATAGCGTTTTTATATTTCACTTTTGATTAATCCCTCTTTAACCGCGTGGGTTACGTTTTCCCGCATAACAAATTTGTAAAAATGACTCAATATATAAATAACATGTATAATTATTGTGTGTATATGTACACATACATAGTTGTCCGTGTTTTAATTCATGTGTAATAAGACATAAGTATTCCAAACTAATTGTTCAAAAATTCAAAACAACACTTTATTGTTATTGCATACACAAAACTTTTTATTTTTAAGTTTTATTTTATTTTTATTTCTCTCTCTCTCTCTCTCTCTCTCTCTCTCTCTCTCTCTCTCTCTCTCTCTCTCTCTCTCTCTCTCTTCTTTTTTCCTTACACACTCCTCCATTCTCTCTCACCCCCTCTCTCTATTTTCTCTATCTCTCTCCCCTCCCCAAAAATAATGCATTATTTGTCTCCTTTAAAATTCTGGCTTCTTGATTTTTTCCAAATTTAGAATACTGGAATGTTCAGAGTGCCGAAATTTGGATTAAAGAGAAAGAGCACTGCACTTTTATTAAGCTAAAAGCCAAAATGTACCTGCATGATTTACTTATTCACTTGCGTGTCTTTAGTTCAACAATTATAAAAAGGCTTACACTTTTGAACCTTTTGTCTGCTTGGTTTTGCTATATTCATGCCTCACAATAATATATTCTAAAGCTAATTTGGGTTTCATACCTTAAACAAAATTGGTGTCATGTTTTTGTAGAAAATCATTTTAAATTTTCTTATATAGAAATCGAACAAGAATTGACAGTGCAGGCAGTCCGACTAAACACTTTGTGCAAGCTCACGTTTACAGACAGTGCTAGGTTTGATCAACTCGTGAAAGACGTCTTCCCCAACGTACAATTCACAACAACCGGGTATGAGGAGATCAGGAAAATGATTTTGGAGGTGTATGCCGATATGAAATTAAAGTACAATGAACGTCAGGTTGGTTCCAGTGATTTTTGTTTTCTTTGATGAATTTTAACTAATAAAATTGTATATAGGCTAGGAAGTGCATTGAACTGTTTGAACAACTTCAGCAAAGAATGGGAGTGGTTTTAGTAGGTCCGTCTGGTTCAGGAAAGTCAACCATTATAAATATTGTTAAAGCAGTGAGTAAATACCTTTATATTTTTTTATTTTACATTTTACCAAAGTAGCATCTTTTTTTAATATGCTTACATTAATTTCAGACTTTGTCTAAACTCAGTGTTGTCATCCGGCATGATGTTATTAGCCCCAAATCTATGTCCCGGCATGAATTGCTGGGCCAGATCGATCCAGACACACGTCAGTGGAGTGACGGTGTATTGACATCAATAGCTCAACAAGTGTACAATGAACCACAAGGTTTACTTAAATTTTGTTCGATTATAGTGGATATTTTTGACTTTTCTTTTAGCATTTTCCCATTATAAGACATTCTTTTATAATTAAATAAGCTGTTTAATTTCTGTCTGTTTGAAATGTATTTTATTTCTACACTAGATATTAACTGTTGGATTCATTGTGATGGCGATGTCGATCCGGAGTGGATTGAGTCGCTGAATTCGGTTCTTGATGACAATCATCTCTTGACACTTCCTTCCGGTTGGAGAATACAATTTGGCGATAATGTTCATTTCATTTTTGAAACCCACGATCTCAGTTATGCATCACCTGCTACCATCTCCAGAATGGGTATTATTTTGTTAAGGTAACTTTCCTTTTGACAAGTGGGTTAGTTATTTGTAATGTTTTCTCATATATTGTTTGAGTATCGGAAATGAAGTCAATCAAGAAAAACTCAAAAATTGTAATCAAGCTTTTGGCCCACTTGGGTTCTTCTCTGAGGTCCACACGGATACTAAAAAAAAATTCTTTTGATGCTATTTGTTCTAATTTAAGTTATAGATTGTAGTCGTGATGAAGGCATTAAATAGGCTGAAAGTTTGACAATTTTTGCGTTTGTCTTTATTGGCTTCTTCCCTAATACACTCAAGGCCAATAAAATCATCATAATGATTTCTTCTCAGCGGAAAAGACCTAACGTCAGAGACATTGATCGATTCCTGGCTGGAAAAACTCAATGAGGACGTCAACGAAGATAATTTGATCAGGCAATATATGGAAGAATATTTTTATAAAGGTTAAGAATTCAACATTTGATTATTTCTTATTGCTTTGTCAGGTATATTTTTATGGAGCTCAAACAATCAGTTTTTAATTTTAAAATTGACCACATGAATGAAGACATTTTCCAGACCGTAAGGTGTCTCTGGTTAAGTGCCATAAAAACATACCCGGCCTTCAATAATGCAAGATCAACTTTTAAAGAAAAACTCAAAAATTCTTACAATTGTTTGATAATTTTTTGTTTGTTTGATTTTTCAGTTGTTAAATGGTTGTCAGAAAAAGGTGAATTCATAAATGATGTCTCACTCAATTCTACGATTCTCAATTGTCTTAAAACCATACAAAATATAAAGACAAAAACTGAATTTTGTTCGTGTTTGTTGAACGCATTTTTTGGAAATTTAACACAAGGGATAAAGGAAAAGTTTGTAAAAATGGTTTGTTATTTCTAAGAAATATGTAGTATTTAAAGTGCTTGAAACAAATGTACACTGGTATATCGAATATAAACGAGTCCTCTGTTTCTGACAGTGAAATTTTGAAGTGAAGACTGTTTTTAGATTATCGCTTGATAGCCAGTGATTGTGTGGTTTTTGACCTGTTCAGCGGTATTCCTCACGTCAGAGCAATAGATGCAACTCTATTATTATTAAATTTCTCCCTTATTTATGCCCAAAAATCAGTGGAAATTGTTCAAAGATTGATTCCTCAGTTCGAAGTACGGACACAGTGTAAGCGTATAGGGCTCGACTGTTTGCCTGGCATAAGAAGTTGAAGGAAGGATGTAAACAGATGGAAAATGAGGAACATAATCACTCGGATTACATAACAGACTCCATATTTTGTGACCTTGGAAGTGATTGACATCTGACTAACTGAAATGGAATAACAGATTGTAATTTTAAAGTATATGCTGGAAGGGTCCCTTGCCTTTTTACATCAGAACAGAAGTCAAGACATGTTGTAAGCATGCACTGATGCCCTGTGTGCTTATTGTCAAATCATAAGACTTGACATGCACATTCAGTGTATGCACTTAACTATTTAAAAAATAAAGCAGACAGTATTCATAAATATTTATTGTTACACTGGCCCATCTTAATATTGTAATAAACAAACAAAAAGACAAACAACAAGGCACGTCAGCTGCAACTCTACTGGGGGATGAGCTTATTTACAAGAGGACTTACCCCAAAGCTGCTTCCAGCTTCCAAAGCCTTCACATTCTTTCAGAATCCTCTTCCTGCAGCTTCCTGGATCCTTGATAGTCTACTCTTTTCATCTTGTCACAATGACCGAGTCCTCAACTGGGTGTGGCTGTTTGAGTGAATACTTGGTTTGACTGGGTGCTCTCACTGCATCCCCAACTCTGGCTGACTGAGTCCGCCCTCCTGTATGCTGCATCAAAGACACCCGACAATCGACTCATTCTGCATCGGGCTGGCTTTTGGTTCTATTTAACTCGTCTCGGCCCTGAACAGTCAACGTCATGTCTCAGCCGCTGCCTTTGACTGACCCTGTGAGCCCCTGACAGACTTACTTTGCTTTTCAAGTCTTTTATACTGGTAAAACCAGGGTAAGTGTGGAAAGGAAAACCAAAATTTTTTAGTCAACTTCCTTCTTGACCTGAGAGACTGTGCAATAATTTATAATACTCAAGAGTTTCCATTACACAGCTCCCTGGCCTCATGTCGATAAACTTCTGGAGTAGAGTATACACTCCCACACAGCTGGCGTGAACCCCAATTTTATGTTGTCCACAGCTTAATGAACTGTGTCTGCGACAACCTTTCTGCACTAAATAACTCCTTGACTTTGGCTATTTAGTGTGGCTATTTGTCTGTCACGTTTTTATGATTTTAAGGTTTATGGGAAATGTCTCTTTGCTCCCTAATCGGTGGGTGACCCGTCAAATTGTTATTTAACAATGTATGTTTGAAATTCCTAACTTATGCTAAGGTGTGGGCTGGCTTACAACACTTTGATCATCCTCTCCGTTGGGATCTAAAACCTTCGAATCCACTGGAAAATCTACTTCTATAACAACTGTTATCCTGAAAAATACTGTATACTTGGTTATTTTATAACACTAAATAATTTTTAAAAAATCTTGTTTATATTTGATTTATTTTTGTACATAAATTCTAGATATTATTGAGAATATATATCATTTTTTTTAGCTGATGGATTTAACTAATGAATATATATCGGACGGCAGTTCTGATTTTTATCTTTATTACGATGGAAACAGTGACACTATAAAAGAATATAAAACTTATGTTGAATATTCAAGGACACCGTTGAACGTAGTGTTTCCTCCGATGATGCAGTATGCAAGAGATGTGATACTCAACTGGCTGAATACGAATCAGTCGTTTATTTTAATAGGACCTGTAGGAAGTGGCAAAAGGCAAGGTATAATCGTCAAGTAATTAGGAAGTAGTAATTTTTGGTCGTTTTCAGCACACTCTTGGATCACTGTTTTGCCGAAATACATAACACAGAAGTTATAACTATCGAGTGCAGTGCCTACATCTCGCCACACCATATCCTACAGAAATTGAACGAAATTTGTTTAATTGTCTCAAACAGCTCTCGAAGAATTTACAGGCCAAAGAGCGCTGACAAAATTATAATTCACTTTTCAGATATAAACGTCGTTCAGTCTGACAAATATGGGACCAAAGTTTTGACGGAATTTTTAAGACAGGTTAATATTTTTATTAATCCAATAAATATTTGTTAAAAATATTGTAATGTTCATTGGTAGATATCAGATCACCATGGGTTTTACGATAGCTCGAATGAGTGGATTGGAATGGAAAATATTATCTTTGTCTATTCCGTCACTTCTCTCGGTGACTTGTCAACTAGATTTACATCTGGCAATCATATTTTTAACTTGAGGTAAATACTTTTATTTAATTCAACTCGTAAATCGTTTATGTATCTATTTATTATTTATTTTTTCAGGCATCCAACAAGCAATGAACTACAGGGAATTTATACTGCTTCAATGAAAAAAGTCCTCAGTGCTGCGAATGTTCCAGTAGTAACAGCAATTTTAGAAGTCTATGAATCGGTAAATATATGACTATACTTCTCATAACTTATGTTACGGCTTATGTTTTTTTTTTAAGATCTGCAAAGAATTCAACAACTCTCCTCATGGGTACAACTTTTGTCAACGGGACGTTGCCAAGTGGTGCACAAACTTGTTACGCTACGATTTGAGTGTTAATAATTACGTTTATGAGGTAATTAAACTTATTAATCTTGTATTTAACATTTCTTTACTAGTTATGTTAAAACTCAAATTGTGTAACTGAAGACGTCCTCGAGCTTACTGTGGAAGAAAACTATCAAATTAGCGGATTTCTGGAAAAATTAAATACAAGTGCACCCCGTTTCAAGACACTTAAATAATTTTGGAAAAGTCAGCTCAATTTATGGGTTTTTTCTCAAAAGAATAATAACTTACAATGAAAAATGGATTATTGGAAAAAATACCAAAAGTAAAGCAATTCCTGTCGTAAAGAAGGACTTAATATCCAACTTATTGGGTTACCAGACAGCTCAAACCCTTTACAAAACTTTTTTTAAACATTATTTTCAATTAAAAAGCTATTGGTGTTGCCGGGATTCGGACCTAGGACCACTAGCATGAAATACAAGTCAGAAGCCCTAGCTTCTTGGCCACCGTGGTGCCAAAAGTAAAGAATTTCCTGTCATAAAGAAGTGCTTGATGTCCAACCTGTTCGGTGTTGTGGACAAGAATCCAAACCACTTTAAAATATATTTTTCATATTTTAATTCATTAAAAACCATGAGTTCTGTGGAGATCGAATCCAGAACCGGTATCGCGCCAAATAAGACACAACTTAAGAATGCAAATTTCCAAGCATTAATCTATTTATTTGTTACTTAGGCTAAGACCTACTTAGATGAACTTAAATATCTTAGATCTACTTGCAAGCACAGCTAAATTGCATCAACTTCTACTTTTATAACATCCATATTTATAGAATTTACAAAACATCTTTTTACATGGAAAGTATGTATTTATATTTTCAGGCAATTGCTTATGAGGCCGTACGTTTGTTCAGGGATAAGTTATTTGAAGAAGATCAAAAAACATTTGACGAAATATTGAAGAATGTATTAACGCTTAAATTTGAAATGAATCTATCCCACTTGGATGGTTAGTGTTTCATTTGAATGTATTTAATTTTTTTTGTCAATCTAATATTTGAATTTTGTGTTGTCTGACGACAATTTCAGATATATACTTTATAAGTTACAAACATGATAGTCATGTAGCTGATACTTCTTCATTACTTCGCGTACAATCAAAGGAGTGGAAAAATATGGTTAAACAAGCAAGCCTTCAATTGGGTAAGAATTTTTTTATTGTGCTAATTTTCCAGGTATAAATGAAAAGAAATTATGACAATTAATCCGTTTATACTTAAGGTGGAGACAATTTCAGTACTTTGTTGACTCCTGATTTATTGAGGCTGACTGCTAAAACTGAATGTGCCCTCACTGAAAAAAACGGCCATATATTACTAGCCGCTAAATCAGGAGCTGGCCGGAAAACAGCAATACAAATTATAGCACAAAGGTTAAATTGCACGATATACTTTCTCAAGTTGGGTGAAAATTATAGTGTTACCAATTTTCAAAACGATATGAAGTCTGTAAGTTTTTTTTTTTAAATAATAATAAAACTACTGTTTTACTTATTAAAATTGTTTTTAGGTACTGCAAGCTGGCGGTATTAATGATGAACAAGTTCTTCTTTTAATTGAAGATTATCAAATTTTAGATCAAACCTACTTGAATATGCTGAATAGTCTTGTCTCATCAGGAGAGGTATGTTATGCAACTTGACACATATTTGCTACTCATAAATACTGTGGAACTTCCCATAAGCAGAGTCTACTTTGGAATGGGATTATTTTCTCTTATTAACACTTATGCAGGAGCCTCTGAAAAGCTATCGACCCTCTGGGGCAGCAAATTTTCTTTTAATTTTTTTGATAAATTAATATAAATAAAGTAAATGTTATAAATAAATAATATAAATATTTTGATAAATAATAAAGTTATAAAAGACAATAAATATATTTTTTTAAATACTCTTTTCTCCAAATTTGAGATCCTCCACCCCAAACAACAAGTTATGCTGCCCTGCTCTCCGCCTTTCCAATTTTTGTGAAAACCCATTTTGTTTTTTGTTTATTAAATGGTTATTATTGTATTATTATTTTACTTTTATAGTTTTCTTTTATGAATCTGTCAAATTAGATTTAATTGTTTTGCCTTTATTTGATGGATAAAGTTGAAATTATAGAATTCCTGAAACATTACTGTTGCAAGTTCACTTAAGAGTCATCTTCGTGGAAGTTGGAGTTGTTTTTCCATCTACTTCTGCTTATAAGAAACTTTTTCAATGAAAAATCTATAAATATAGTGTTCATGACTATTTGTTGTAATGACCAGTTATTAGAAGTGTCTGTTTGGGAAAGTAAAATGAACTATACATAGTTATTTGGAACATTTTATGTACTTGATATTGTTAACAATAAAATAATCAAACATTCATAAATCATTATAAAAAATTCTTTGCAGATTCTCGGGTTGTATCAACCAGAAGAAATAGAAAATGTCACAGCCCCTTTAAAATCTATAATTATGGAGGATAATTATGAACAATCGGTTGTTCAGTATTTCAGAGAACGTAAGTGCAAAAATTGTCTGAGTTTTAATTTATTTGTTCAATTAATTTCCAACTCCGATCGTATCAAAGATTTAAAAATAAGCCAACTTTGAACTTAATTTAAAAAGTTTTCAGGTATTTCTCGAAATGTTCATGTTGTATTGTGTTTCGATTATGATGATGTTGGCTTCAACGAATGGTTAAAAAACAATCCAGCTTTGTTGAAAAATTGTTATCAAATTTGGATAGAGCATTTTTCATTAGAAACTATGCGTGCTATTCCAGATGAACTGTTGAACAGGTAATCTTATCTGTGTAATACTCTTAATAATATTAATTGTTATTACTGTGATGCCTAGAGGTAGAAGACCGTCTGACAAAGATACGGCGCAAAATGATCTTATCGAAACAATAATGAAGTTGCACATATCTGCTAGGAAAGTTGTTAAGGCGACTCCTTTGTCATATTTTAACTTGATTAAATTGTACATGGCATTAAAATTGGAAAAGAACTCAAATCTGTCAGAAAGGCAGAATAGGCTGCAGGTAATATAAATTTGGAACACCTAATCAAACGTAAAATCTTTCCTGATACAATTTCTTCTCTAATTAAACAAACATAATTGAATTTCATTTCATTTTAGGCTGGAATTTCTAAAATAGTTGAAGCTCAAGAAATAGTCAAGAAGCTTAAGACTGAGGCAAATGAACAGAAAGTTCTCCTTGATGAAAAGCAAGCAAAAGGTAAACAGGTTCTAGACCAAATAAGTGAAACAATGGCTAATGCAAGTTTACAAAGAAATGACATCGAGCAATTGAGGATTAAAACAGAAGAGGAAAATAAAAAATTGCAAATTAGGTAAGGAAAAAATGTATAATCAAGTTGACAATATTTTATAAAATATAAATATTTTTTTATAATCATATAAAATAATTGTTGTTTGATATCTTGTTCTTAAAGATCAAATTTACCACATAAAGATTCAATTATTCTAATGTGATAGCATGGTGTCCATACCATTAGCCCTTGGGTTAGGTTAGCTGGGTTAGGTTGTGTTAGGGTTTGGGTTTGGAATGGTTAGGTTAAACATGATTCAATGTTTTTTCATGCAATTGTGAATTACTTTTTTCTTGTAATGTATGTAATTCTACTTTAACGAGACCGCAGTGACTGTGGGGTTAAGGCATTTGATTTGCTAAAGTTTTGAGTTCAAATCCTGCCTCTGTTAAGCTTAGGGCTTTTTACCAGATCCAAAGCCTGGAGCTTATTTAAGGGCACCAGACATGTTCCACTGTTTTTTCTTCTTTTTGGCATACCTTCGCAGACTTGTTTCTGCAGCTCTGAGTCTACATTCCTGTTAAGTAAATTCTGTTGTCACAATATGATCAGTGAATTGGCAACACTGCACGCCTTTGTTCATTTTTAAGTTAGTCATTCTTTTGTCTATTGGATGTGTTCCTGGTGTGTGTCACCTGTTGTATAACTGTGTCTTTGTAATAAAAAACGTTTAAAACTAAATAAAAATCTTATCAATTCCTCTGGAGTCTGTAGTGTCCAGGCAGCAGTCCTACTATGCCTCTGTCCTGGGAAACATTCCCATTTAACCGTTGAAACGGTGATTTATTCAAAACTTAACTTTGAATGTTAAGTATAGTAAAATAAAGTAACTCCTGTCATACAATATTGCTTAATGCCCAACCATGTTAGGTGTTGTGGACAGGGGGTCAAACCACTTTATAATATTTTTTTCATATTCTCAATTAAAAAGTCATAGGCTATGCCAGGATTTGAACGCAGGACTGCTAGCATGGCAGTACAAGATGGACACCCTAACCACTCGGCCACTGTGGTCCTAAAAGTAAAGCAATTCCTGTCATAAAGAAGGGTTTAACGACTAACCCATTGGGAGCCGCGGCCAAAGACTGAAACCACTTTACAATACTTTTTTTTTTCATTATTTTCATTTAAAAAGTCATGGGATTGCTAGAAATCAAACCCAGGACTGCTGGCGTGGCAAATATGAGTCGGACACCCTAACCCCTTAGCCACTACGGTCCCCTAAATGTCATATGTATTCTGTATAAAAAATACATTTACAAAATAAATTCTGAACTTAAATTTTGATTTCAGAAAAACAGAAATAGATAAAGAGCTAGCATCCATTGAACCACTTATAAAAGAGGCTCAAGCAGCTGTAGGAAACATAAAAGCTGAATCTTTATCAGAAATACGTTCATTGCGTGCCCCTCCAGTCATCATCAGAGATATTTTGGAAGGCGTTCTCCGTTTAATGGGGATACAGGATACTTCATGGAACAGCATGAAAACGTTTTTGGCAAAGCGGGGTGTCAAAGAAGAAATCAGGTATAAATTCAGACGTGAATCTGTTTCTCATTTCATGCGAACATTAATTCTCACTCGACCGTGTTTCAAGGTCTTTCAATGCAAGTGAAATAACGTTTGAAAATAGAAATGCAGTGGAGGAACTTTTGAAAAGTAATGCGTCCTCGTTTGAAAGTCGTAATGCTAAAAGGGCTTCAGTCGCAGCAGCTCCTTTAGCTTCTTGGGTGAAAGCAAATGTAGAATATTCTAAGGTTCTGCAGAAGATAAGACCCCTGGAAAAAGAACAAGCAAAGCTTCAGAGGTAAAAATAAAATAAATTTAAAACTGTTTTTTCGTGGTGTTTTTTTACCCGAGTTTGCAGAAATCTTGAAGCTGCAGAATTACAAATTGAAGAACTAGGTACAGGACTGAATAGCGTCGATGCAGTTGTTGCTAAGTTAAAAGATCAACTTAGTTCATCAACAAAGGAAGCAGCTGAAATAGAAGTTCATCTCAAAAACGCCCACTCTACTATTGTAGCTGCTGAAGGACTTGTTACTAAATTAGACGAAGAATTCAAAATTTGGATAAAACAAGTATAATAGATATTCAATATTTTTATCTGATTTTTGTATTGCTGTTTTACTGTGTTTTATATTACTGATTACTAATTTATATAAGCCCAAATCTGCACATGCGTGAACATAGTTGAACCTATCACTTCTGCAGTCCACCAGCGATTCCAGCCTTTGCAGTTTACAATAAATTGCAGGTAGGCCTTGAGAATCACCCCCAGGTGTTGACAGTGCGAGGACATGCTTCAATCTTAAACAACCAGCCACAAAGGTTAGCCTCTAGGGGCTATCAACAGCTATGTAATTTCAGCCGTCAACACAATCAGTTCTTGAATCCAAACCCATTCACACTTAAATACATTTTTTCTTATTTAGATACCAATCAGGGTGATGGTGGGTACCACTTGGTATTCCTTCATCAATCAACCTTTACACATATTTATAAATAATTGAGGGTTGATGGGGTACTCAATATTCTGCCACTGACCCTCTTACAGTACACATTCATGCTAATAAATACTCACACTACTCAACATGCTAGAGACACAAAACTTGTTCCCTAGAAAATCTTACAAGAAAGTTTAAAAGGGGTTATACTGGCAAAAAATCATCATAAGATCGGATAACCAAGCAGCTATTAAAGCATTAGGGTGTAAAAAATCACCTCAAAACTAGTCAGTGATGTGTGGTGATCAGTGACGGTTAATCGATATTTATTTAGAAATCGTGAGATGCAGTCTGTGCGATGTAGGTTTCAGAAAAACATTTTCTTTATCGTGCCAACGTTTCGATCTTTATTGAGATCATCTTCAGGGCCTGGGATTTACAAACATTGTTTACATATAACAATTACATTTTGGATGTGGAAAAGTGAATTTATACAATGCAAAATATATTTTTTATATTCAATCAAAGTATTTCTACTAACTCAAAGTATTTGTCTTCTGTGTAATTGTGCCATCTTGCGTGTCGTGTCGAGAGTGCCAGTGAGATTTTGCTATTTTGTGTTTATGTATGTTGGATTTTGAAGGGATGGGGAAGGAAGTCGGAATAGAAAAGACATTTTTGTATAAGGTGTCGGCTTCTTTGAGGTGAAAAGAGCCGACGAAGGGAAAAAATGTGTTGGTAATGGTTCGGTCAGATTATCCTTTCAGGATTATACAGAAAGGGATAAAATAGGAAAAGGAAAGCTAAATTGTTGGGAAATTAGACTATGTGAAAAATATTTGATGTGTGGAATGTAATGTGATGATATAGGTATGTTATCTGTATTGAATTTGATTAATGATATTGGCGTAGCTGCGACTGAGTTTACATATATCTGTTCTGTAATTGATGCTGTGTTTATCTCAGTTGATATAAACCATTTCTAAGAAATTACGTCTATGTTTGTTTTGTTCTGTATGTAATACTTTTGGATTTTTGAAGTCAAAATTGTGTTGGTGTTCAAGATGGTGGGTAGCGAGTGCTGGAGGATTTTGCTTGGTTTTTTGCAATCATAGATATGTTGCTTTACTCTCTTATACAGATATTGGGATATAAGACCGATGTAAGTTGCCGGACAGTTTACACAGTTGATCTTGTAGATTACATCAGATTTATTTGTTATTGGTGTGGGATCTTTAATTTTTGGAAAAAAGTGTTCAAATTGTTTTATAATTTTTGAAAGCTATTTTAAAGTTATCGGACAAGAGAAATGAGTTTCGTTTATGTGATAGGCCTTGGATAAATGGTATGGAAATGTATGCTGGTTTGTTTGTATTCGAAAGACTTAACGTAGTATTATTAGTAATAGTGGATGGTGTTATTGTTGAGTTGTAATTGTTGATTATTCTGTTAATTATGTGTTTAGGGTAGAGATTGTTGTGGAGGATCTGTTTGTATATCTTTATGTTTTTGTGGTAGAAGGATTCATGGCTTAAGGAAATCATTCTGTGAAGTAACCCTTTGGCTGTGTTTATTGTTGTATGAAGGGGATGGTGAGATGTAAAGTTGAGGTAGCGATAGCAACAATTTAGCTTTCCTTTTCCTATTTATCCCTTTCTATATAATCCTGAAAGGATAATCTGGCCGAACCATTACCAGCACATTTTTTCCCTTCGTTGGCTCTTTTCATCTCAAAGAAGCCGACGCCTTATACAAAAATGTCTTTTCTATACCGACATCCTTCCCAACGTATATAGACACAAAATAGCAAAATCTCACTGGCACTCTCGACACGACACGCAAGAATGGCACAATTACACAGAAGAAAACACTTTGAGTGAGTAGAAATACTTTGAATATAAAAAATATATTTTGCATTATATAAATTCACTTTTCCACATCCAAAATGTAATTGTTTTATGTAAACAATATTTGTAAATCCCAGGCCCTGAAGATGATCTCAATAAAGATCGAAACGTTGGCACGATAAAGAAAATGTTTTTCTGAACCCTGCATCACACCAGACTGCATCTCACGAAATAAAAAACTAGTCAGTGAATGCATCCAAAATTTCTAAAACCCTGGGGAACACACAATAACCAGATGATATCTTGGATACCAGGACACAGGAATTTTGGATACCAAAAAAGCAGACACGCAGGCAAGAGGAGGTTCTGCAAGACCATATACGGGGCCCTGAACTTATATTCTTGGGAAAACAAATTCAGAATCCTCCATCACAAATTGGATCCAAATAAAAGAAAAAGAGAAGTGTATAAACTCTAGGGGTGCTAGACACAGTAAACTTATGCTAAGAAAAAAAAAAACCCACCAAGACTGGCAAATCACTGCTGCATTTAGAGAGGGCCAAACTCAGAGGAGTGACAGGACTATTAACCGGCCACTGGCATCTGAGACTAACATTTCTATATACAGTAAAACGACCCTTTTCCCTCCAAGAATCGGAACATTATACCCAAATACTTTCAGCCATGCTCAAGCACTATTCTTAAATTGGGTGGCATTCCTACAAGTTCTTAATACAGAGCTAAAGAATTGTTTCCTTAATTAGGTGGGACACCTTTTTCTATACATGCCGGACAAGTCAGTGGGCTTTGGTGCAAAAGTGTCTGTGTCAACTTCACATGGCCTATTCTTAATCAGGTGAGGTTGACTCTTCTTCGAGTGAAATCCTCTGAGAGCCACCTATCGACACGATAGCTTCTCTGTTGATCCGGCCCACTGACGCTGTCATTTTCTTTTAATATTTTTTTAATTGCATTTCTAGCGTCAGAGTTCCCAATCAATGTGTTGAAATTTTGTATGATTCATATTTGTATTTGTTAAATGTTTAGTTATCTGATCTATCAACGACACTGGAAACATTGACGCCGAATTGTTTACTAGCTGCTGCTTTTATAATCTACCTGCCAGATACACCGAAACAGTTGAGATGGTAATAGAACAAAAAACGTTCTGCTTGTAGTTTGTACAAGTTTAAATTATATTTTGTTATTAACATATAGGCATCTCATTAATACCTGGAAGGATTTGGTTAAAGCAAATGCAAACTTCTCTGTCACTGAATTTATGAGCACTGAGAGAGAAATGCTTCAATGGTCGTCAGAAGGTCTTCCGGACGACGAGTATTCCCATCAAAATGCCTTAATTATTTTAAACGTACGAGGTTAATTTGGTGTTTAAGATTTGTAGTTTTAATATTTTTATCCGTTCCAGGCAATGCTGCCACCGTTTCTTTTAGATCCAGCGTCAATAGCTACCTCATGGCTGAAACATCATTTTGGAAAAGACCAAGTCGATGTTGTTGCTCAGCACAGTCCAATGTTCTTTACAAAATTGGAATTATCCGTGAGGTATATTCTACTATGAATTATTTGAATTAAACGCCCAGTTTCTAATATAATAACCAATTAAAATCACTAATAAATATTTTAATTGTTTTGTTTTTTGATAGGTTTGGGAAAACGCTGATTGTTGAAGATATAGAGCAAATACACCCAGTGTTAGAACCTGTCTTACGAAACAATTTCGTTCAGCAAGGTAAATTATATTTACGGTGTTGTATATATAAAATAAAAACGGTTTTTACTTTGTTTAGGCCCCAGAAAAATGGTTTACATTGGCCAAAAATTAGTCGACTATCACCCTAATTTTAAACTGTTTTTAACATCCAGATCTATAGGAATTGAAGCAAGTAAAAAATTAAAAGCATCGTTTCCTATACTTAACTTTGGAGCAACTATGGAAGGCCTTACACAACAAGTAATATTTTTAAAATATTATATTATATAAGAATACATAGTGTCATAAGCGAAGGCATGGTGGCAACAAGCTCTCAACTTTTTCTGAAAATGTTAATTAAATAGATAATATTAATGTTAAATATGAGATTTGAGATAAAAAGTCAATGTCGCGGATCAGATTCGAACCCACGGTCTTCGAAAGACCCCAATGTTCTGACCACCTGAGCCACCTTTACTTCGATTTTCGAGACACCAATCTTTCCATCTCAACGCATAGGTTTTTGTGCAATTATATTTTTATTGTCAAATTTATACATTGTAAGTGAAGGCCATGGGTTCGAATCCCATCCATGACATTGGCTTTTTTAATCAAGATGGAACTGAAACCTATAAAAAATATTAATATTTTAATGGGCCCTGTTGTTAGATGTTATACGTTTCTGACATTTTAAATTGTTGAATTCTTTAAAAAAAAAATCACAATTTCAAATCAACAAAAATGAAAAATGAAAATGATATCAACAAATATTTCAAGTATTACTGTATTTCATTATTGTATTTAATGATTTTGTTGTTTTATTAAGCTTATAAGTTGTGCTCTGAAAGTGGAAAAGCCTACGCTAGAAAAGCGAAGAGTAGAATTACTGCAGGAAGAGGAACAACTTAAAACTAAGCTGTATTTCTTGCAAGAAAAAGTTCTACAGGAGTTAGCTTCTTCTCAAGGAGACATACTGCAAAATCAAGTAATATTACATATTTAAAAAATATATAAAATCGAACTTCCCTGAACAGATACTTGTAATAACTGGACATCCTTTTCTGACTGGAAATTTTTGTCATTATTCCATTTGATTTCCTAAGAAAATTACTTTACCACTGGGAAGTATTGGGCATTAGTCCAGGGATTAAACCTCAGGATGTTGTCTTAATTATATACAACGGTCAGACCCTTGGTCACATAGGACCTCTAGTACAGTTGACAAAAATACGATACATAAGACGACACAAAACAAACTTAAAAATCTACAAAGACTAGTATGTCAACATATCAGAAGCAATGCATACTTTATGGCAACTGCACTCGATACTTTTGAAAGTTTCACCATTCTCCTGAGGTACAAAGAAATAAAACCAGATCTAAAGAGAAGCCATATTCGTCCTAAGAACTACTCACTTTCCCTTACAATAGATGTTTTCCATTACAAAAATGTTCCCATAAACCTAATTATCTATCGCAATCATAACCCTTGAAAAGCCTTTTACATAGGAAAAATCTTTGAAAAGCTCATTCTGAAAAGAATCCTTCCCATCCTAGAAGAACAAAACATTCTACCTCACCAATTTGGCTTTTTTAAGCACCACTCCACAATCCAGCACACCGTTTTAGATGCATCTCTTCCTCTCTTGAGCTGAAACATTAACACTCGAGTGTTTTCCTTGATGAGGCTCAAGCCTTTGATAGGGTCTGGCATCCTTGTTGTGGAAGCTCAAGAGCATACTTCCTTTCACCTTCTTCTTAAAAGACATCCTACTTGACTGACTGCTTCTTTCAGGTCAGCCAGGGAATGTTCTTCTGTCACTACTAACCTGTTAAGGCTGGAGCCCCACAAGGCAGTATCCTTAGTCCCATCTTCATACCTACACATCCAAACTCACAACTTTCTACACACTCCAATCCTATCCTAGTTATAGAAGCAATCCAACAACTGAACCTCATTACTGACCAGTGCACTCGGTGGCAGATTAAGTTGAACTAGCAAAAAAATCAACAAGTAACATTTATGATCAGAGACAAAACACATAAACAAACAAGTTAATGTATAGCCGCAATCACAAAACCTTAGAGTTTGCCTTTAAGCTGCCCTCCAGATCCTCCGACTTCCAGGCGACCCGGGGCTCCACTGACCAAATGGATATTTTTACTCTAACTTTAATATGAAGCAGGTCTATGTATCATCTTTCTCCAATTCTTTTGGCATCCTCCCCGACCATGTACCGACCTTGGCAGTCCCTATACCAAGTGTTGTGTTTGAGCAGGATGGCGACTCAAAGAAAGATTTTGTCTCTAGTGAAACTGTGACGATCAATGTGGATTCGTTGGTTCAAGTTCTCACTGAGGAGGCCCATCCTGGAACAAGGGTCTGGCCAAAACATATAGTAGATAACCTAATCCTTCTTTAGTAGTTATAAAATATTATTGTCAGTTATTTTTCTTTTCTGACTGCTGCTTTTTTTTAGAGGGTCTTTAATAATAATAATATGTGTTTTTATTGTAGCCACATAGTAAAAAACAATGTCAACAACATAAAAGTTACATTATGTTTGTTCTAATAAGTTCATGTTTTATTTATACATTTTTTAATTTTATTTACACTTTTTTTTTAATTTTATGTACACATTAAATTTTTTTATACATTTAAATTTTTTTTAATTTATACATTTTTTAAAATTTATTTATTCATTTTTCAACAAAAAGAGAAGTTTTCAAGATAAAGTCATGTTTTCCTTTACCATAACATTTTTCCTTAACTGGTCATTTTTCTTGAAAAGAAACTTTTAAAAAAAAGTGACCAAAAAAGAAATTTGGACAGAGTTGAATTGTACGGCTTGACCAAATCCTCCAACATCCAACGAATCCTTTCAAACCAAAGTTCTGCACCATATCCTCAACACTCCCTTCTACGTCACCAATCAAATGATTCATAAAGTTCTGAAAATCCCATTTGTGATGGATCCAATTTCTATGTTAAACTTTCCCTCCATCCGAAGCCACTGGCCCAAACTCTTTCCTCAACGTCCCATCCTTATAATCCTCCACATCGTCCAAACGACGATAGCCTCATGGCCCATCTTAACGCACAATCCTTTTACCATGTTTTTAATACTTAGTTTTTTTTGTTTTTTTTTAAGTGTTATTATATATTTTTTTTGCAGGAACTTCTCACTTCGCTTAATAACACAAAGGAAAGTAGCACAGCAATTATGAATTCGTTGGAGGAATCATCTGCCATTAAAAATGACATGGTTAAAGAGTGCGACGTTTACATGCCTTTGTCTGAATATGGGACGAAATTATTTTTCGCCTGTTCCGGACTTTCCAAAATAAACAACATGTATTATATATCAGTAGCGACATTTTTGAAACTGTTTGAAAAGTCCATCATTTCGTCATCAGTAAGTAATTTTTGTAGTATTAATCTGCCTTTATTCATTATAATTCATATGCATTAAACTTTTTATGAAGGGAATTAAAATTTGCTTAAATTTAATAAGGTTTATTTTGTTCTTTTTCTTTTCAGGATTTAGATATTAAACAGAAATATCAGAATCTTTTAATTACTGTATATAATTACATCAGTCGATCGTTGTTTAAAGGTGATAGATTAGCCTTCGCTCTTCATTTAGTTCATGCTACGTTACCTGAACTCTTTGGACAAAATGTAAACTGTAACTTTTCAGCTTTACACTCGATGCTTTGATTTTTGTACAATTTCCCATGTTTCATTTTGTTTTAGGAATGGGAATTATTCACAGACCGAAATGTTTCCGATGTTACAATTGAAACTCCACTTCATAAAACCGAAATGCCAAAGTGGATCGAAAATGACCGCATACGATACATTACAAAGTTACAGGTGATTATTTGTTTAAATAAAATGTATGTCACCCAAACCTAATACAAAAGTATATTTCTATCAGGTAACAAGAAAAATTCTTGCTGTTTTACAATTGGTATTGTTTTAATACCATTAATCAGTATGCATTAGTCCATAAAGAAAAATGTCTTGAACAGTGCCTTGTAAATTATAAAAAACATATTCTTTCTTGTGACTGCACAACCTATAAATTGTGTGCTTGTGTGTGAATTTTAGCTTAAGCGCTAGGGCGGCCGAGGCAGTTTGTAAAATTTGCACTGCATTTGGTGATGTATCAATAAGTGAATGCACTTCAAAAAGTTTGCTTCTAGGAGGGGATTGAAGATGAACTACGGTATGACCTGTGTTGAATTAGAAATGAATTGAGAGAAGCTATTCAACTTGATTCGAGCTTATCGACTTGGAATACATCTGAGTATATGGGCTCCTCATAAATTGTCCGATGATAACAAGCTTCAGAATCTAAACATTTGCCAATACAAAGTAGAGGAAGTTTTTGACTAGATTGTCACATGCAATGAAAAATGGTTCCTGTATCCACCAGGTCATACAAACAAAAACCGAATATTCGGTGAAAGTCCCCATCAACAACCTTTTTCCAATGTGTTACTAATCCAGTTATGCCTTTCTTATAAAAGTTTTGGGTCCCGGGACTTAAAAAATCAGTTCAGCTCATTTTCCAGCTGTTGGTAATTATGACTGTGCATATTACTGTCCATCTCTAAGAAAAAGAGACAGAAGAGGCTCTGGGGAGAACAAAGGATGTGATAGGACTTCCCAGTCAAGCTTCATTATCACTTATTTTGTCATTATAGCTGAGTTCTCGCATTGTCCTGGTGAAAAATTACACCTTTTCAGTTCTCAAAAGCAGGTTGTTTCTGGGCCAGGGCAAGAAATACTTTCTGCAATTGGCTTGAGTAGAGTTCTGCAGTGACAGTCTGGCAAAGGAGTTTGTAGTGCACAATACCTGCTATACTTCACTTAAGTATCACCTTTTGTTGGAGAATATTGGTTTTTGCGTCATGGCGGTCTTGGTGACAGCCATCGGTACGACCTTTGTTACTGTACAGTATCGTAATGTTTAGAGCCTGACGCTCATTAATGCTAGTCAATTTATGATTAATTGCTCAGCTTCACATCATCTCAAGTTGATATAAGCTAGAGTGAATGGTTTTTATTGCTTACATTGGACTCGCGAGCTCCTTATTTTTTCCCCGTAGTTATTCAAGACAGAAGGTCTACCCTGATCGACTAGAAGAACTTTTTTTTTTTAAAACAAATGCAGTTCAAATTTTACAAGCCTAAATTCATACAATAAGCACACCACGATTATGGGTTTTGAAGTCACAAGAAAGAAAATATTTTGTAATTTACAGTAAACTGTTCAAGATGCATTTTCTTTACAAACTGTCACAATATCCTTTTGGTATTACATGATGTAAAAAACTTAATCCTCCTATATAAATAGAAATGTTAATTATGGTAATAAAACAATAAAAAATGAAGACTAATTTCTTTTGTTACTAGAACTGCATGAATTTATCGATGGTTAGGGAATTTGTCTATGGGGTGATAAAACCTGAAATTCGGTCGTTACTGATCATTTTTGTCTATCCTCACTGGTTGGTCTGTTGTTTGACGCATTTCAGCAATTTGAAATCTCCAATACGTCAGAACAACCCAGCAATAGGCCAAAAATGATAGATGATGGCCAAATCTATGAAAATATTAATTTCTTTGTTGCTATTAAAACTGCATGGATTTGTCGATGGTTAGGGAATTTGTCTATGGGGTGATAAAACCTGAAATTCGGTCGGTACTGATCATTTTTGTCTATCCTCACTGGTTGGTCTGTTGTTTGACGCATTTCAGCAATTTGAAATCTCCAATACGTCAGAACAACCCAGCTATAGGCCAAAAATGATAGATGATGGCCAAATCTATGAAAATATTAATTTCTTTGTTGCTATTAAAACTGCATGGATTTGTCGATGGTTAGGGAATTTGTCTATGGGGTGATAAAACCTGAAATTCGGTCGGTACTGGTCATTTTTGTCTATCCTCACTGGTTGGTCTGTTTGTTTAACGCGTTTTTAAATCTTCAGTATGCCAGACCAACCCAGTGATAGGGCAAAAATGACCGATAACGACCAAAACTCTAATAAATAATTCAAAGGAAATCATGAAAAACTTGTATACTCTTTTAGTTTCTTTTACTTATAATTTTACTTTGATTATAGGCAATGTTACCAAACCTGTATGAAAAATTGAAGCTTGGGACTGAAACATTCTGGCTGGAATTTATGTCGACGCCTTCACCTCAGAAACCGAATCATTGTGAACTCACGCCTTTTCAACTCATACTCGTCCTGCAGGCCTTGAGACCAGACACATTGCATTCCAACTTAATATACTTTGTTCTCAACAGTTTAGGTAGCTGACATTGATATAATTTTAAAATTGAATAATGAGATGAATTATAACTAATTTGCATCTGGCTTTCTAGGCTTGTCTTCTTTGTCACCTTCTACACTGCAGTTGTACGATCTATTGCCTGAATCAGCTTCTTCTGAACCTATCCTTATAATAACATCACCGGGCAATGATCCTTCAAAAGAACTAAGTGCACTAGCATTAAATAGGTCTATTGTGTGCAAAGAGGTAAGTTTATTTATTTTTTAAATATTGGTATGATTTAAAGTGATGATGCTTGTGGTTTATTTGCAGATGGTAGTTGGCCCAGGACAAGAGAATGAAATATTAAGTGGTCTTTCTGAAGCTGCTAAAACCGGGAAATGGATCATTTTGAAAAACCTGCATCTATTAACTAGTTGGCTTCCTACATTGGAAAAAGCGATCCAAGACCTGAAACCAGTTCCCGAGTTCAGATTGTGGCTTGTGACAGAAGCGCATAGCAACTTTTCACTTGCGTTGTTGAGCTTGTCGTTGAAGATTACGTATGAAGCTCCACCAGGAGTGAAAAGAAATATTGAACGCACCTACAACGAGTGGAATTCGAACAAACTACTCGAATCATCGATTTTGGGTTCCCAGAGTATGTTTGTTCTCGCATGGTTCCATGCAATTATACAGGAACGGCGGACTTATATTCCACAAGGGTGGACTAGCTTTTATGAATTCAATGACAATGATTTATCCGTTGCGACAGCTGTCATAAAGAAACGCCTGAGAGGTTTAACATTATAACATGTATGTTTTAACGCATAATTTAATCTGCTTATGTTTCTAGAGCAAGATACAAATAAACAATGGGATTACATACACGGGCTATTTGAATCAGCAATATACGGTGGACGGGTTAATAACATTTATGACCTGCGAGTCATAGCTGCTTATCTTCTTACATTGTTTAATTCAGACGTCATACATTCCAATGGTCCATCCTTAGCACCTGGAATTGTCATCCCATCCACATCTGATATAAAAGTAAGTGCTTAATAGTTACGGTAAGCGCGCGTGATTTTCACCATAACCAGTATTGTTCTATTGTGCAACTCCATGGTTGTCTCATTTTGCCAGATCACAAAGCTTTTTCGATGACTGACATATGTATCCTTCAGGCTCAGGCTTTTCCTCTCCAAGGAGTAGTAATCTCAGTGTACATGTAGCCTTTGCACCATCAGCGTACATGTTCCACTGTATCTTATTCTTCCTAGCAATATCTGCACAGGCTGCTATTCAGAGTCTATATGCCTACCTTGTTCAGTGACTTGTTAGCAAGCCAACTATTATTCCAGTCCTAGATATAGTAGTGCTGTTACTTTCTGCAATGATCTTTGATGAACTTTGTCGCATCTGAGTTAGTCAGTGTCAGTTGAGATGGAGCCACAACTGGAGATAGAGTTCAATGATCACTATAGTCAGAATCTGGGTTAGGGTTAGAGTTGTCATCCTGGGCTACCTTCCCATTGAACGGAGGACTTATTTTAATCCATTGCCTGATGGATCCACATTTTGGCAGTTTGGTATGCCACAAAAGTGTTCAGGGTCAATAGGTTCCTCATCAAAGTTTCCTTGACTCCCCTCTGCCCTGTGCAGTCCGCATTCCAGCAATGCCAGCATGTTGTAGACGTGATCTCTTCCTCTCTTGAGCTGAAACAGTACTGCTCGGAAGCTTTCCTTGATGTGGCTCAATTCTTTGATAGGGTCTGACATCTGGGTTTGCTGTCGAAGCTCAAGAGCATACTTCGTCGAGTCAGTGTCAGTAGAGATGGAGTCAGAACTGGAGTCCAATGACAACTATAGTCAGAATTTGAGTTCGAGTCAGAGTCAGAGTCGTCATTCTGGGCTACATTCCCATTGAATAGATCAGGGGTCGGCAACCTTTTTCGGACGGCGGGCCATTTTCAAAATAAAATTTTTTATGCGGGCCGCACATTCATCAAATGTAACTTAAATAGTGCTTTTATATCATATACAAGTATAAATATTATTAAAAATAAATATAGAAAAAAATTATTTTTTATTGACATGCTATAATAACAATAATGTCAGAGAACAAAAATTTTACAATTCTTAAAAGGGAAAAAAAGAAAATACAATTCCAATTACATATGTATAAATATGTAAATATAAAATATATAAAATATTAAGGAAAATAGTTTATCTTTCATTTTATTCATTCATTAAAATTCAATGCGCTTTTTGTTCTTGAATATTGTTTGATAATTCATTTAAGTCTGGTTGTGTTTGGGATACTGAGATCCTCAACAAGTTTTGTAAATTTTCATCTGTCAACCTTGTTCTATATTTTGATTTTATGAAATTCATTCTTGAAAATGTTCGCATAAATAGGTGCTTGAAAAAATACAAATAATTGATTTTTGGCAATTTGTTTTCTGGTAGATTTGAATAAAATGCATTTTAATTATTTTCATCAAAATTATTTTTATATACATTGTTAGATTGCAAATCAATTAACTCTAGTTGTAAATTTTCTGGTGTTTTTACAATATCAAATTTTAAAGGATTTTCAAATATTAATATGTCCATTTCTTTCGCATAAAAATCTTGAAACCGATGACGAAAATTTTCATCCAGTACTTTTAGTGACAATAAAAATATTCGAAGGACACTGTTTGTCGTTTTTGGTTAAAAACGATTGCAAAGTAGGAAAATGACAATAATTATTCTTTTCAAGTTGAGAAATAAACAATTTTATTTTAAGCTGAAAACTTTTGATTTCTGTAAATAGCTTGTTGATTAACTTTACTTTGCCTTGTAGTGTTATATTTAATTCATTGAGGTAAGTTGTAATGTCCACAAAAAAAGCTAACTCGCTTATCCATTTCAAATTTGATAATTCTGGTATATTATTTCCTTTTTCTGTCAAAAACATTTCAATCTCGTTTATCAACTTGAAAAATCTTTTTAAAACTTTCCCACGGCTGAGCCATTTTATCTTGCGCAGTAAAATAGGTTTCCCACTATGCTTCTGTTAGCGCGCATTTTTGTCACCGGCTCACGCTCTAAGTTTGTTAATTTTTCCTAAAATTATATTGGGCTTTGGCGGGCCGCGCAAAAAGTTGCAAAGGGCCGCAGGTTGCCGACCCCTGGAATAGATGACTTGGGCACGCTTTTGGCAGTTTGGTATGCCACAACCGGGTTCAGGGCCGATAAGTTTTTCATCGAACTTTCTTTGTTGCCCCTCTGCCCTGTGTGTGTCTTGGAACCCAAACAAGGACAATTTTGTTGTTTTCCCCGGTGTCTGACAGTACCTTAAAGCCTAGTTCACACTTGGACTGAAAAGTTCCATGTCATTGTTAAATGAAACTCAAAATCTTGTATCACTTAGACCTGCAAATGCACCCCAGATACAAAGGGACATGTGGGGCTGAATCTCCTTTGAATCAGGAGAGTTGAGATTCAGGCCCGCAACATGTCCCCTTGTATCTAGAATGTATTGCAGGTCTACGTGATACAAGATTTTGAGTCTCATTGAAACAGGAGTCAGTGATACAATGTTGTGCAATATTGCAAGTGTGGACTTATGTACTGGGGGGCAGTCACAAGTGTGGTTGCGAGTTTCAGAGTAAGGAAATTGAATTTCTAAATCTTGTGTTTGCCATTTGCAAATGATTTTCAAAATTTTAGGTGTCATCTTTAAAAAGCTGATAATCCCATTCCACCTTCTAGCCTTAATATGTTGTTACTAAACAATTTTTGGATCCACCATCTTCGATTTCTTTTATTTCTATTTTTAATTAATAATAACAATGACTGAGAAACACCCACGAGGCCTAATTCCTGTGGCATTTTCTAAGGAACTGCCTCTATAGTATAGATGTGTGTTATTGTGGCAGGGCAGCTCCCAAAACAGATGCACAACATTGAATCAGGGCTGTTGCCAACAAATGCACGACTTTGACCCTAGTATGGACTAGGCTTAATGCAATCCCAAAAGACTCTGGACCCTACTACTGCCGTCGTAATTGCCCTTGCTGTTTCATACTATTCTTTTGTTTACGATACCTAGCCTTTTAACCTCCTTGGCACAGTGTTCAATAGCCACAGTCTCTACTTAAAAGACAATGGCATATTGCCTAATTTTATGACTTTATATGAATTAAAATCTAAACTTGCATGTTCTATCCGAAAGATGATTTCCCGGTGATATTGCACCGCCTGAAGAAATCACCCTTGCTCAATTCATTGCTTTGTACATATTCTATTTCCAGGCACAAGTAGCTTTAAAATTCTTTCTCTGAAATCACCTTTTTGACTTATTATAAACAGTTAAATTTATAAATTTAATTGCCTAAAATTTTAGGAACACCTTAGCTTAATAAGAAGACTGCCTGAGGAAGATAAACCCGAGTACTTTGGTTTGCCAAAGAATGTTGCGAGAATTTGGCAGCGTGTGACTAGCAGTAACACGGTTTTTTTATTAAAAGAATTGGACAAAAACTTGGTTGTGGGAGATACGATTGGCATGAGCAAATATTCTTCTAGTATCAGTTCTTTGGTCAAGCTATGGAAACAAATAAATCAGGTTTGCGATAACTGAATACATTCTGTTTTTTCTTCAGATATATAAATTTATTCGAATAATATATTTTCACAGCGTCTTGGGTTGATTTATAGAGATAAACCAGAAGTCAATGCAAACGATGAACCGATTGTAGCGTTTTTCTCTTTAGAATATGCATTTGCAATCGATCTTATTTCAACAATACACACTGGACTTGTCGATCTGACAAAAATAATAAAAGTCGGCATTTTTCAAACGAAAAGTTCAAAGGATATGGCAAACTCCATTTTGATAGACCAGGTAAACAAGGCAAAATGAAAGATTTTCTTGTTCGTATATCTTTGTACAATGACTATGTTTTGCATAAGTTGGACAAGCTTTATTTGATTTTTTATTTATTGTTAAAAGTGTCAATTTATTAATAAAATCACTTCAAATTAAAAATTAATAAAAATCCAAATGGCTACAGAAACAAACTATTCCTTAAAAATTAACACGTTTTTCTTAATATCTTGTGATTTATGATTTCCTTAACATAAAAATATTCAAGGTTCCTGAAGAGTGGGATAAGATTTGGAGTGGTCCGTCAAACCCTAAAGATTATCTTAAAAGTGTGATCAGAAGAGCTTTGAAAATTCAAGCGATGGTGGAAGATTTAAACAGCATCAATACCGAACCAATCGATCTAAACGACTTATTCAACGTTGAATCATTTGTAATGGCGATTAGACAACAAGCCGCAAGGTAAAATCCTAATTTAAGTGTAAATACACCTATTTAATCGTTTAAATCTCATCGTACTTATTAAAATTTAGAAAATCCCGTGTTTCAATTGAAAAAATGGAATTGATCACCGACTGGGAAAGAACGAAAGGTGATTTATTGACAGGAAATGCAGCAATAACCGGTGTACTTTTGGAAGGTGCTCTCATGAAGGACAGCCATTTAATCGCATGCACAGAAGAGTCTCCAAGTGTTGCACAAGCTCCGCCATTTGTATTGTCTTGGCAAATAGAGGTGACAATTTGATATATATTAATATTTTTATTTATAAGGTCTACAATATTTCATTTATTTTTGTTTAATAAGTAATTAAACTAAGATTTTATACAAAGATAATTGAATTGGGTTGAATAAGTCTGGAGCATTTTTTATTGATTACTGATTTATATAAGCCCAACTCTCCGTGATTCTATCACTACTAGTCCGCTAGTTTTTCTAATTTACAATAAATTACCAGCAGGCTTCAAGAATCACTCACTCCAGGTGTTGGCATTCCGTGGTCAGACCTCGGTCTTATCTGTCCAGCCTCTGATGTTGAGCTCCAGTGGCTCTCAACGGTTGTCGCAATCAGCACCAATGCAATCAGTCTCAATCCAAATCCACTCACTCTTAAATACATTCTTTCTTATTTACATCCCATTCACTCCGTACTGATATTTCTCCTTCACCCTCTACACATATAACTAATCTAATTGAGGGTCGATGTGGTACTCAATATTCCACCATCGGCCCCTCAGTGCACTTTATGCTAATAAATACATTCACTCACATTAGGTTCTATCAGTACTATATAGTATACACTATGAAACGGCCCTGTTTCCTTCACAAATTGGAACAGGGGACCCAGATACTTGCTGCTGTACCCAAGCGTTTTTGATAGTAAATTCAATAAAAATTTCAGGCACTTGTAAACAATGTATGAATCATTTTGACCCACTATTATCTGCCATGTAATATTCCATCCTCTTAGAACTTCTCAGGTGTTTGTGCGATATGAACTCCTCGATGTTTTCAGTTGTTCTCAAGAACTCAAAATAAATGAAAATCTGCAGGGTCAATTATCAGCCAATACTGGTTGTTTCTGGTCAATTCATTGGATTCAAATGGATTCTTACAATTAGAGCCTGGATTTTTATGCAATTGCATATTGTTTTTGCTAACACTTACGATCGTGGTGGTGCATCGTAAGTGGTGATCAGATATTTACCAAAATCATACTTCTGCAGTACAGAGGATCAAATTTTATTCTGCATATTTTTTGTTTACTTGAAAAATATTGCATGCATATTTGAAGAATATTGCATAAATTTGCATTTTTGAATAACATTACATAGTCATTTATATAAATAGTATTGCATAAATTTGCCTATTTGAAGAATTTGCATAAATGCTTAAATGAAGAATAGAGCAGAAATTTGCCTATTTGAAGAATTTGCACAAATGCTTAAATGAAGAATAGACCAGAAATTTGCCTATTTGAAGAATTTGCATAAATGCTTAAATGAAGAATATAGCAGAAATTTGCCTATTTGAAGAATATTGCATAACTTCTTAAATGAAGAATAGACCAGAAATTTGAAGAATATTGCATAAATGCTTAAATGAAGAATAGAGCAGAAATTTGCCTATTTGAAGAATTTGCATAAATGCTTAAATGAAGAATAGACCAGAAATTTGCATAAATGCTTAAATGAAGAATAGACCAGAAATTTGCCTATTTGCATAAATGCTTAAATGAAGAATATAGCAGAAATTTGCCTATTTGAAGAATATTGCATAACTGCTTAAATGAAGAATAGACCAGAAATTTGCCTATTTGAAGAATATTGCATAAATGCTTAAATGAAGAATAGGGCAGAAATTTGCGTATTTGAAAAATATTGCATAACTGCTTAAATGAAGAATAGAGCAGACATTTGCGTATTTGAAGAATACTGCAGAAAATTGCATATATGAAGAGTATTGAATGAATTTGCATTTTTGAATAATATTGCATAAACGCTTATATAAATAGTATTGCATAAATTTGCGTATTTGAAGAATACTGTATAAAATTGCATATATGAAGAGTATTGAATAAATTTGCATATTTGAAGAATAGAGCATAAATTTTTATACATTAATAGTATTGCATAAATTTGCATATTTGATGGTTTTGCACTAATTTGAGTATTTGAAGAATTTTGGAAACTAAAAATATTTTTGGTTACTTAAAAAGTAAAAATAAACTAGACAACCAAGAACATGAGAAGGAAAAACAAGAGCCTAAAATTTTATTGGTATACAATAGAATTCTCTTGAAATAATTGGCATCTTATTTCCAAGACTTCTGCTTTTCCTGGAAAATTAAGTTTTCTGAAGTATACAACGTAATAAACCTAATGGTCTTCTAAAATAGCAGGCTGGATTTTAATTTCAATTCAGTTTAAAGTTTTAGATGCTCATCGGTACACCTAAAACTTTTTAGACCACTTTTTTACTCACAAATATCATGGATCTTGGTGTTCTGTATGGAAATGTTACACTACTTAGCAATGTTGGGGACCGAGTATATTCAAAGAAATTTGAAACCATTTATTAAAAAACAACCACGTCAATTTTTAGACTTCTTTTAGATTTTGCCTTGTTGATGACCTTAAAATAGGTTGAAAGCTTGGCAGATAATTAAATTTTTTTTTCATCCGCTTGACCATACAGAGATCCAGATTATTCATGAATTTTAATTCAGATCATGAACTTATTAAGCCTAATTATTTATTTTGTATAATTTTTGAAATTATATGGGTTTTTTGTGACTGAAATTTTTCTGTTATGTTTCTTTTCAAATAAATATGTGCAGATTAAAATATGTCTAGATTAAAAGAATGGTTAATTATTTGTCTGGTGATGTCTCTGACATTCACCCTGCGTATTTTAATATTTTTGGAGTAAATTATATGGCATATTTGAGGATTATCCCTCCGAATCCCACCAATATATTGTATATTGTAGATAATTTGTTTAAAAAATATAAAATTACATTTTTTTATATTTGTTTTAGTCATACAACTCCAACTCGTTTTCAAGGATTGCTGTTCCTTTATATTCATCAGAAAGCAGGGAGAAATTGGTAGCAGAGCTTACGATTCCGTGCATTGACAAAGAGAAGAACCAGTGGATCAAGTCTGGAATCGCATTCTACATATTTTCATAGAGTTAAAATTGCAAGGATCGCTCTGAAATTTTGGAAAATCAGATTGCACAGCCAAAAAAAGAATAGATCGAGCAGACGGAATTTTATTCAATAGAATGTGATATAATACCGATTTGTGTCGATAATTTAACCAAATAAAAATTTTCAAAAAAATATACGGTGCATTGTGTAGATAGAAAATATATTAATCTAATGTACAAGTGAGGTTCAATCAATAAATGTCTTAAATTTTATATAAATAAAATACACCATTCATAGTGATAAACATATTATTTAGGTTAAAAACATCACCAACAATGTTAATTAAGAACAATAAAACTTATCAATGTGTTTTAAGAATGAGTTATTTGCAGTATGTTTTTTTATTTTTTATTTATTTTTAAATAACTAGTCACTCAAACTCCGTCTTCAAAAAGTTTCGCATGATTATGACAATTCTGCTGTGTGAATAAAATTCATTTCTTTTTGCAATCTCCCATATGTAGAAAATAATAATCTGAAAAGATAAATTGTATGTAAATCACTTTTATTTATTTAAAAAAAAATATATGTATAACTTACATTTGTTTTCTACACAGTTATAGCATTGCATAGAACATATACTCTCGAAAGTAAATTTGTCATTCATGATATCTTTGGCGCAGATCGGCGCCTTATCAAGGCAATTGCATTTACATTTTACTTTTGTTTTGACAGGTTTCCCATTGGCTGCTGAGAAAACTAAAAGGGAATTTTTTGTGTTAATATTTTGTTTTTAACATGAGTTATTTCCTAGTATTGAGTATTTTTTATTATCATTTAACAAGCAATTTGTCAAATGCAAATTAGGGTAGTTTTTATAGAAATCATGTTTAAAATTCAAATTATTATCTTTATATTGAATTTGATATATTTAATTAATTCATGAGGTAACTGGGCTTTATTTCTACAATTCTAAGATCAAAAATCCAAAAAGTCAACTTTTCATTGATCTATCAATTTTAATAAAGTTTCTAGCTTGACTGTTGAAATTCCAATAGCTTTAACTTTAATTTGGTCTTAATAAAAACCAGTTTGGCATCTAATTTTAGTTTGGTCCTTGCTTATATAATAGCAACGAAAGTTTTTTGTTAGAACTTACCAAGTGAAACGAGTAATAATAATAATAACACTTTCATTGTCCAACAAGAAGAAACACCGTATACGAACACTGCACAAGACTTAATGGGCTTCAAAAAGAACAGTTCTGTGGAAAATTTGCTGTTATCTGTTTATTAAGGAACTATTGTTCTGGTTTGTCTAGCAAACAAAGTTGTAAATCACATAACGCAAACAGAACTGAGCTTGAAATGCGTTACAAATATTTACAGAATGACGAGCAGTTGGTAAGTGAAATGGAAAATATTTTTTTAATTACATACAACATGATGATCAAAGGATATATAAGAACATTTCATTAAATAATCAATGTTTAGATCATAATCCAGAAGCACATTATTACTCTTAGCTGTGATCTTTTCCATGTTTTTTATTTTGTATTTTTTAAATTTATTTATGATATAATTATAATTTTATGGTGTGTACTAGATGAAGTGGTATTTAAATGTACAATTTCTTTTTAAAAAAATAAATACACTGACAGGTAAAAAATTCCACCCAATGGATTTTTTTTTTCTCGATAAAAGAAAATTCTGCTCTTAATTTGTCTCATTGTTTTTCCAATAAATATTTGTTTATGCTGTTTTAAATTTGGAAAGATCAATTACAGGTAAACACACTTAATCCTTAATCGAAAACAGGATAAATAATTTTTCACTGTTTACTTTTTTTGGCACTTAAAATGTTTATTCAGTCTCATTTAAATTCTGAAACATTAAACTGTTTAGTTTTCATCTTTGTTTTCTTAATTTCAATTTGTAAACTTAAAAATGCCGCTTAGTGGGGAGGATGTTGTGCGTGGTGTGGCACTTATCCATGATGGACGCTCCATCCGGATGCGGCTAATGCCATCGGAGTGCCCTACGAAACGCCGTTAGACTTTTGGAGAACCTGGACCCTCTAGAGTAACAGAACCACAGGGTGACCGTTTTTTGACTTTGAGAATTTATCAAAGCACCTTACTGTTGTTCAAGCGATTTATCAGCTCCAGGAAGTTGGATGCATCCAAATTTCTGAACACACTGTTTGAAGAAGATTAAATCAGTACTGACTGGGCTTTTCGCCCCCTAAGAGGATGAGAATTGACCAGAACACACAAGAGTTGCAGGGCTTGCATTTGCTCGAGAACACGCCCATTGGTCTTTGGACGATTGGTCTGCTGTACTTTTTACAAATGAGTGTAAATTTGTTCTTCACCCAGACCATACCAAAGTCCAGATTATTCGGGAGTTAAAAAATGACATCTAATATGAAATATATATCAGTTTAAACAGTTTCTAGGAAGAAATATTTTCCTTTGTCATATTGTTTGGGCTTTTGGAGAATCATCTAGATAAAAATTAATGAACGTAAAGTAAATGTTTCATTTGGTAACATCTTTAGAATATTTATTCTAAAGTTGATTTTTGAGATTTATTTTAATTTTATAAATCTTGTTTTTGAAATTCGTCCAGATATTTACAATTCAATGATGCGTCATACAGAACAGTGTTGGTGCCTGGTGGTGGAGTTGTTTTGGAAGAAGTTCTGAAGTTCTGGAACCTTCCGACCAGCCAATGATTGAAGGGAGCTTAAAGTTTGAACAGGTTTTTGCCGTTGGTGTTCTGTACTTTAATTCTATTTGTCTATTAACGATTTTTCTTTCCAAACGCAGAATCCAGTTTTGCCCGTAAAAAAAAAGCTTTCCAAAGACAACTTTTAACATATTCGTTCAAATAATCAACAAAAATGGTTGGAAAATTGGTAAATAAAGAAAACGCGTACGACGCCAACACACCGTCAGTGAAAAAGAGTACGTTTCATTTTTTTATTATTTTAGTTTTATTTTTTTTTATTGTTTATGAGGTATAAAACCGTGTCGACTTTTGAGTCCTCTGACTCTGGCTGAATGACTGAGTATTGCTGACTGACTGAGCCTTCTGAATCTGGCTGAATGATTGAGTATTGCTGACTGACTGAATTCGTCCCTTTTCTGCTGCATCCTGTACACCCGACAATCTCTTCATGTCTAGGCCCGTGACGATCGACGTTGTGCCTTGGTCATGTGTCTTGATTCAGTTGTACAGTCGACTGAATGAGCATTTTTGCTTTTCCAATCATCCTCTTTTATATTGGTTTACCAACTAGGGAAGGAAAGGCAAATTCCATTGGAGACAGTCACCATCCTCCTTGCAATGGTTGGTCATAATCTGGCCGCCAGTGCGCCACCTTAAGGTCTCTGCCCACTAGAACGTAACATACTAGGATCGTGTCAGGCACGAAAAAACAAAAAACAAAAAAAAACGCTCCGGTCGCTACTATGCCCACTGCAACGGATGAACCGCGTTCTATACCTGTATGTATCGCGTATGTAAAAACGTTTCGTAGCCGCTCTGCTTTGGCTGTCATACATTTCTTTTTTAAAAAGCGTCGTTTGTCAACTTTTGTTTTCGTGTGAGAAGTGATATTTGTTAAATAAAGTATGGCTATTAGAAAATTATCTATACGAGAATTGGCCATGATTGCCATTATTTTGGACGAGGAAGAGGAAAAAAAAAACACTAGATGCTACTGGATCCACGAAACTCTATGAAATCGAGTAACAACAACTATTCTATTAGTTGTTCATCGTCCATTTTTATTACGACACAAACACTCACAATACAATAGAACACAAACACAGATCTCTTTGTCAAATGCAAAGAACTTGTGTGGAACAGGACAGCAACGCAGTAGGCCGGATGCGCACAATGGTCACATGTCATACACGGCGCGGGCCGACACCTGCAAAATATTTTCGGTAGCCGATTGTTGACTGAATGTTCATGGCCTACACGTGTTGGCCGGTGACGGAACAGTGTAGTGGGCATTTTCTAATACTAACTGATGTAAAGAATATTTGTTTGCATGTGTCGGTATGGTTACGGTCCTAGTATGATACGTTCTAGTGGGCAAAGACCTTTATAATTAAACAGAACTCTCAATGTTTGTTCCCTACTAGGTTGGCGAGCCATTATTACAACCTGCATTATTTTTCTTACTCAAGTTTTTCAAACCCAGCTCTAAACATGGCAAATAGTCAAAATGCACCAGACAGACCGAAATGATTGGAAACCACCAGTCTATTTACCTCTTAGAAATGATGAACGATGGAGTGAGTGCGGTGTTCAGTTTTTTTTTTTTTTTTTAAATAGTTCCTACTCACAGTAAGTTGTTTTCCATCGATCCGGATTTTGAGCCCTTAACTCATCAGCAGGTTGAAGGATTTCTACAACCACGTGGTTGTTGGAAAACACAGGGCAGAGGGGCAACGAGTAGGACAGTAAAATGGCCAAGGAAAGTTTGATGAAGACACCCAGTACCCAAGTAGCCCAGGACAGAGCAAAAAGTTCATCAAGGATGCACTAGGATAATAGTTGGACACTACAGACTCCAGAGGCATATGTATAGACTACACAGACATTGCTAGGAAAAAAAGACAACGGAACATGTCATCTGTCGGTGCGAAGATTTATGTAGGCTGAGAATCCTACTGGGAGAGGAACACGCGAGTCCTTCAAAAACTTTGGGGCCTGGTGAAAACTCTGCTTAATGACGAGAACTAGAGAACAGAGGAGATACCAATAATCACGGTGCACCGGTCATAAAAAGGTCTACTCCTTTTCCTGCCTTAATATTTTAATCTGGGCTGGGCTGTTAGTGTTTCCCCCAGGTTCAAAGAACATATTCCGATTCAGAGTCGGCAAGTATCTGGCTCAGAATTTGCTCATTTTCTTTAGGTACCATTTTACTTGACAGTGACCAGTAAAGAGACCAGAATTTTTCTTAGATTTTTGTCTTCCTGTTTGAAATAATTGTTAATTATATATGTTAATTTTTAAACAAAACATTTGGGATAAAAAGGTCACTGTCACAGATGGGATTTAAGCCCATGGACTTAGAAACTGTACTGTTAATTTTGAAAATTTAATTTAATTTTTTAGTTACTTAAACTTGTAATCAAGCAGTTATTGCAAGTCTTTTAAGATATTCATATTTATTGAAGATAAATACATTTTTTTTCACTTAATCAGATGTAACCAGACCAATGTTGTTAAAGAGGCCGCTTCTCGATGTAAAAAATACGATCAAACCTTCAGAGCAGCAACTTATGAACAGCCCCAATCTGAAACTTGCCTGTAAATCTACTGTCAAGGAATTAGCTAGAGACGATTATGACGATATCATTGATGACCTAAAATATCCAGAGAACAATTTGATAGGTAAGCGCAACATTTTATTTTATTTTGTTAAATCTGTTTATATGTTGTAAATAATATATACAGGGTTTACCTCTCTGTTTGACGTTTAACCTTTGAACACACGATTAAAGTGTCCTAAGTCAATTAAAATACACATTCATACTACACTGATGGATAAATTTAATGCACTACTCAATTTATTTAGTTTAAAATTAAATTATCTTTTTACATTAGTTACAGGTTAGTAGGACATCAGTATGTTATTACCATCTTAACCTTGAGCACTGACAATCAAGTTGTACTGAGATTCTATTATTGCTAGCTGAAACCCTGTGTATATATTTTATTATTATTATTATTATTATTTGTTATAAGAATTATTTTTGTAAAAAAATTTAAATATTGGTATATATTTTTCAGATGATTTTCAAGACATCCTTCCTAGCAAATTGTTGCCAACTCATGAAGAATTGAACTGCTTCGTTTTGGGCATATATCCTCCTGGATCTGGTGAATGTAATAATTTTACCAATGAAGAAGATGAGTTATTTTTTTGTGGTAATAGAAAACAGTTGCTTTTATGATATCTGGTGTAATTTGTTATCAGTCTTTGATACTATAATTTTATATTTAAAAAATGGCATAAAATAAAGGCTTGGACGTACAGAAAGCGTTCCTTAAAAATTAATATTTTATATTATTACTACAATAATGTTATTAGTAATACTAATGAATACATTCACACAATTTGGGTAGTCACCATGTTTTTGATATTATGCCAGCGACTTCACACTGCTAATATATATAAAAGTAAATAACCTATACTACAATATTTCATCACAAACACACCCAAACATTTTTCACACTAATAAATACATTCACTCAAAATTAAGGATATTATATGAACCTATATACCAAAGGGCTCCCTATATGCGTATACATTTTGTTCTTCAGGTATTGAAACAACTACTTATTATAACCACTACTGTGCGTTAGAAGTTGTTTAAAATCTGCAAGCAGGCACAGCTTCTTCTTTGCAGCACTAATTCCTAGCATTTGTTAATATTACGTTGTCGATTGTTTTTGCTCTCTGCCTGTCAAACTTAAGAGCTTCATTTGCTCCCGTGTATTTTTTTTTTATGAACGGTTGATGACTCCCCACTGTCAAAACTGCTGCATGTGCTACTTTTTTAGTAACCAAAAAACACATTAAGTTCTGTTGAAAAAAATGTTGAGTATGAACACAGTTTAATAATTCTTCCGAAAGTTTTTGTTGCTGGCAATCTTAGATATGTAGATTATACATTAGTGTTATGTGCACGACTTGCTCAAGCATGTTAGAAAATCAAAGGTTGATGGGAGAACTTCATCTTAACAAAGTTCTAGAAGAGACATATTTTTTTATACAGAATTGTTTTCTCTGTTGAACAAAATGAAGGTTAGTCTTGAAGACATTCCAAATTTTGAAGGATGTAAAGAGAGCAAAACAAACTTTAACTTGAACGTTGTAAACAATGACATTGTAGAAAAACCATAATTTAGTGACAGCAATGTTTTGCTATCACTTCTGTGATGACATGAAAGCATTGTTTTGTATTGGAAACAAAATTTCCTCATGGTCTGAAAATGCTCGGAATCTCTCAGTAATGTTAGATCTTAAAAAAAAGGATGAAAAATAAAGCAGATAAAGTCAAGCGAGTATATAACAATGGAGACAATAGAGATTGGTCAAGATTCATTTTCAATTACTCACAATCTGCCTTGACTGTCAAAACTAAACTAATCTTATTTGTATACGGTGACCACTTTGGACAACGGAGTAGAACTGTGGGGTTCTGCGAAGCCATCCAACATCCAATACAATCCTTCCAATCAAAAGACCTTAGACAAATTGTCACAGCTACTTATTACATCACTAACCTCACTATCCACAATGACCTCAACAGTCCTTTTGTCAAAGAATCAAGAAGTCAAAAATTTTCATACCAACCTCTCGACCCATCCTAACCTTACTACCTGAGCCTTCTTTACACATTCCCATCCCGAGAATCCGCCGCATTGCCTTAGTCGACAATGGCCTTGGGACCTCTTTGCCCCTTAATCCCTCACACTGAGTGCCAGCATTGGCTGGTTCCTCATAGCATGTGTCCTCCGAGTACAGCGCTAGTGTTAGTGTTAGTTCACTAATTTCGTGGTCCGCTTTACCAATTAATACATGAAATTAATTAAGGTTTTTAGTTGAGATGAAAAAAAGCTAATGGCACAAGAGGGATTCGAACCCACGACCTTCGGCTAGATACGCCACTGCTCTACCACCTGAGCTATCGTGACCTCGATCCACTCGGACACCAACTCCCCATCTCAACCCCACCTTATGAGTTTTCCCTCCTTTTGCCATTTTTCAAATCTCGTGTAATCGGTTTGGATTCTCGACGACAATTGAAATGGTGACGGAGAGCTTTAGTGAAGTGTACTTCATTTTTAAATCATTAATTCACTAATTTCGTGGTCCGCTTGACCAATTAATACATGAAATTAATTAAGGTTTTTAGTTTAGATGAGGTCACGATAGCTCAGGTGGTAGAGCAGCGGCGTATCTAGCCGAAGGTTGTGGGTTCGAATCCCTCTCGTGCCATTAGCTTTTTTTCATCTCAACTAAAAACCTTAATTAATTTCAGTTAGTGTTAGTTTTGTGACCGTGTGAAAAAAAAAGTATTGTAATCACATTTGTAATATATACGAATATGTATAGGGTACAAATAAAAAAAAAAAAAAAAAAAAAAAAAAAAAAAAAAAAAAAAAAAAAAAAAAAAAAAAAAAAAAAAAAAAAAAAAAAAAAAAAAAAAAAAAAAAAAAAAAAAAAAAAAAAAAAAAAAAAAAAAAAAAAAAAAAAAAAAAAAAAAAAAAAAAAAAAAAAAAAAAAAAAAAAAAAAAAAAAAAAAAAAAAAAAAAAAAAAAAAAAAAAAAAAAAAAAAAAAAAAAAAAAAAAAAAAAAAAAAAAAAAAAAAAAAAAAAAAATCACGAATGGAAAAATTGTAATATGTAATATAATTGATTTTACATTTATTAACAATTCTTCTGATTTAAGTGCTGATTTGTTATTTATAACAGAAAATGATGTATTTCTTCTTGAATCAGTCAGCTTGATGGTAAAATTTAAGGTGAAAATATGCTTTCCATCGAAGATTTAGCATGAGGATTTGTTTAACCTAGAAGGGGTAATAGTAGATAATTTTGTTGATAGTGTGAGGGTTAAAGCCATAAATGTGCATTATCCATTAGTGTTATTTTAAAAATATTTTTTGAGGGGATTTCTGTTTCTAGAATAATGTAATTCTTCTACAGGAAATTGGCCAGTATGATCAATACGTTTTTACATCTTTGTTCATTTTAAGTGGCTTGTTTGAATTCTGACCTCTTTGGTCAGGTGATGGGGTTTCAACTTTTCAACTTGAAATTTGATATTAATTTTTTTTCTTACAATCTGGTTCAGAGTAAGAAAGTAATTATTCAGATATCGTGAGATGCGGTCTGGTGTGATGTAGGTTTCAAAAAAACATTTTCTTTATCTTGCCAACGTTTCGTTCTTTATTGAGATCATCTTCAGGGCCTGGGATTTACAAACATTGTTTAAATTTACGTAGGACAAGTAGGATGTGGAAAAAAGTGAATTTATACAATCCAAAAAATTTTATATTCAATCAAAGTATTTCTACTCACTCAAAGTGTTTGTTTTCTGCGTACACACGCACACAGTAAAAAAGTAAGTGCCTTTGCACACTTGTTTGTGTCCTTTTTTTGTAATACTGTATATTTATGTTTCTTGGTACCTTTTTAACTTCTGGCCGTCTTACCTAGTTGTACATTTAAAAAGTGGGGCATTTCTTATGTTGATGTTAAGTTTTAAAACTCGTCCAAAATGTTTACTGTATGATTCATAGAAAACCGTTCTTGTCTCGACAAAGCACACCTTCTTTGGGTTCCTTTGTAGCCGAAAGTTTAGAATTGTATGCATAGTAGACCAAGTTTTTCTCTACAAATGGCGGCCTTTCTTTTTTCTATGTGTATCGCATTTCTGTTTTTTAGATTTATTTTCCTATGTAAGAAAATGTTTTTTATTTTGTTTTCGGTTTTAGCAGGTCACTTTTAGTGTAGAATGAATACTACAGCTTCATTCTGTTAATTCCTGATTCTCATTTTTGTCCTCAATGTACGTAATTTCTTGTGAATGAAAGCCTATAACGTTTTCTTCCATTCCATAATTAAATTAAATTTGACGTTTAATCTCTTTCATCCATTCAATATGTTATGTTGCTATCAACACTTAGCACCTTCATTCATTAATAAAACTATTTAAAAAAAAAAAAGGACGTACTACTTTCTTCCACTCATGTCTGTCAATTATGACAGAATATAAATCTAGCTAACGGGGGGGGGGGTGTCAGTGGCCACAACGGTTAGAGCACCGACACTGGGACTCTGAAAGGGTCTGGGTTTAACATAAAAAAGATTTTTCTCTCCCAAAACAATGGGAAAAACATAATTTTAAAATAAAGGCTGCCTTTCCATCATTATTTCACTATATATTTTTTTGTTTTGTTTTTGTTTCCTTAGAGGAACCAGATCGCAGCAGATTTGATCTATCATCAGATTTAATATTGCTAGACGACATCTCAGAAGTTTCATATGAATTTATGGAAGAAGACGATAACTTCCATTGACGAGACTGATTAATTTCTTTTTTCTCCTCCCTTGCGGGGTTTTCCATTCAATGTAAGTAAATCACTATTTTCCCTTATTGTAAATTTTAAACAAAATTTTTAATTTTTTTATGGTGTCCATCCTGATTTTGTGAAACTCCGTAATAATACGATGGGTATGAAATAAATTGTCTTTTCTACCTATTGTGGAAAAGTCAATTTATTTCCTACCTATCATTTTTAAATAAAATTATCAAAGTTTGGGTGATAAGATCTTCGGAGGTCATACGGAGCAAAAATAACTTTTTGAGCTGTGCCAAGATTTTGGTGGTTTATTCCACCATTACCAGGGCCTGTTTATTAAAAAACCAAATTGACACAAATATCGGGTAACTTAAGAAGATCTTATCACCCAAACTTAACTTGCTGTAGCCGATAAACAACCAAAACAAAACAACAAATAAATACATATTCAGTTATGAGAAGTGATGAGTGTGGAGGTGATGAATGTGGATGCTTTCAAGTCAGGGTTTTGTGTTCCCAAGCACTGCAGTGTTCTGGCTTATCTTTTCCTAGATCCTTAGTTCAGTGCAATCATCATTGACTGTCATACAGATAGTTACTTTTCCTGGTTTTCTTTGAATCCCAGGTTATGTCTCCACTGAGCTGTTCACATTCGAAGATGTTATGGGTGGCTGTTTCTTCCTCCTCATTGCAAAACCTACAAATAGGGTCATCATTGAATGTACCCATGTTATATAGATGGTTTCTCAGATGTCAGTGACCGGTACATCACTCTTCTGAGTTTAGCTCTCTCCGACAGAGATTTTGTTAGTTTTGGTGAGAGTTCTTTTGACATACACTTGTGTTTTAGCACTTCTAGAGTTTAATAACTCCTTTTATCTTTTTTATCCATTCTGAGACGGAGGATTCTATTTTTGTTTTTGTCATTTTAAATATAGGTGCAGGGACCTATGGTCTTACAGATCCTCTGCCAGTGTATTTGCCTTCTCTTTACCCAAAATTCCTTTGAGTCCTGGGTACTCAAAATATGAGGCTGTTGTGATTTCCCAGGTTTTGGAGATTATGGATGCATTCACTGTATAATTTTGAGGATTTTTTGTCAGTTAACCTCTTTTAAAATTTTCTAAGGCTCAAGCGTTGTTAGTTTAGCTTGAAAGACCAATGTGTACTTCCCTAATGAATTTGAGTGCTCATGTTTTGGGCTTGTACGTAATAACCCCTGATCTGGTTCCTTAATTTGTTTTGAAGCCATCTATATACTGATTGTACCTGATTTCCTCCTGAATTCTTCTTCTCCTCCGTAGACATTTGAGACTTTATTGGATGTTGTAAAGAATGTTTCCGGGATCATGTAGTCACTCTCCATTTTTTAATAACTGATTTTATTGATTATTATGTGCCAGAAGATTTGGTTCCCATCTGATTTGATTGCTTCTGGAGCCTAAATGCCTTGCTTCTCTTTGGATAAATATTTCACATAGAGTGTAATAATAATTAAACATTTATTAAAATAATGATTATAACATCACAGTATGCATTCTGACTCTTTTTAAATTGAAGTGCTAAAAGCATCTGTGCTTTATGACCTTCAGCTAAATGTATTTTGGCATTTTTACTTCATTTTCTTTGCTGGCAGTACAGTATACAGTACACAATTGGCATGGAAAATTAGAGAAAAACCCGCTCACACTTTTAATTTAGAGTTAAGTGGAATCCTTACAACTTGTATGAAACATATATAGAATTAAATAATTTATATATACATAAGTAAATACATACATAAATTTTAATTAAATGTATAAATAAATATGGAATAAGTAAGTATGTAAATGTATAGGAAAGTAACAATAATTAAATAAGTAGATAAAGAGATGAATAAATAAATTTGTCTATGAAGACAAATCAATATATTATGTATATACAAATTATTTATCATAGAATAGCTTTTATATGTTTATGCTTCCATTGAATCAGGGTGTCGTACTTTCCTATGGATCTGCAGAGAAGATTTTTGCTTGAGGTGAGCTTACAATAAAATATTTTTGTGCGGGTTTTCACTGCGTTGTAGATCCAAGAAATTGCGGTCTATTCTTGGAGTTACTCTAGCCTGGTCCGTCTGCAAGATGTCACACGTTCTGCATTCTTCGAAGTTTTAGAATATTTGATTTGCAGGTGAGACTCCATACAGGACACGCATGTAATAGCATGGGTTTGACAACCGTGTTATATCGCCGGTATAGGGTCTCCCTCAGGTACGGCGGGGAGGTGGATGGGTAAAAAAACCAAAACTGTGTTATAAATAAGGCACTTGTTGCATACCGACATCCCTGATTCTTTGGACAGTAGTCGGTACAGAACTGTTAGCAAGTTCAGCTTTGTCAAACCTGTTCATTTCGAATGGAGTATTCTAGTGAAATGACAGGGTCGTTTTCATTGCACCTGTGATGGATCTGCCATTGTATGCTGCTTAATGTTTGGGTAGCTTGTTTTTGCTGAGTTTTGGTCCACCAGATTAATGATCCATAGGTTATTTTGGGTCTTATTGCCATAGCTAATAGGCTGTTTTCGACTTTAGTCTCCAAGCTTTGCCTAGACTTATTGGGTTCATTAACAATAGTTTGGTTTTTGATATGCTTCAAATGAATTTTTTATCAAAGATATTTAGGTATTTAACCTCATTTTTTAACTTCAGCATTTCATTAGAGAAGCATAAGCCATGTATTTCTATTTTTATTTTCTTGGTAAATGCAGTTTAGTTTTTCAGGGGCTTGCTTTAAGTCCCTGTTGTCCCTGTTTGCAGTTTGTTGAGCCCTTTTTATTTTCTAGACGCAACCCACCACTGGTCACAATAGACCCTTGTGGTCTATGTGACATGGAGCTTGCAGTCCATCCTTATAAGGAAACCTGTACCACTCTGTCAATACATTTGGGATTTCATTGCTAAACACGAATTAAAAGATGTTTTGTCGACCTTGAAGGCGGAAAAAAATATGTTACACTGAGGGGACTAAAATGCATTGGCTTTATACGATTTAATAAGATTTTTTCAAGGGACCAGCACCGAGATTTTACTTTATTATCAAATGATCCTTCAATATCCAACAAAACTTCTAACTCTATTCTACTGTTGTTTGGTGAGTCTTCTATTTTTATAGTTATTTGATGTAATGCTGGTTCACACGATTTTACGTTTTGGTCGGCAAGTTTATGTGATTTTCAATTAGTCCCTCATCTGTTTTGAGTAGAAAGGATGTTAGACTAATCAGTCTGTATGTTTTTGCCTCTCTGCAAAGTGTGGAGAACAAATGTGCAGCCGCTCCCATTCCACTCCAAAAGCACACTTATAAAATATTATTAGTATAATTATTTAGTTATGTGTATATTTTTTTTATTTTCAGGTGGAGAAAAATGGTTGCATTTACTTAATCCAGCCGCCAGCAAAGTCCCTCTAACGAACAGACTAAAATAGTTGACTTTTTTTTTTCAATCAATGTTGTTTTTACTTTTGCTATTATATTTATCATATGGTGTAATGACTAAGTACATTAAAATGAATTTTTTTTAAAGTAGTTTATTATTGTATATTATTAATTTTACAATTTGTTATGAATTTCTTATCTATTTTTATAATAATAATATGTTTGTAATGATATAGTGGTAACATTGAATGTATTTTTTATTTTTTTTATTGCCTTAGGTTTTTAATATTAGGAAGAAAACTTATTTTGGAGGTTAGGGGAGTTGAAACAAAATTCCAGGGGCAACGGTGATAAGCAAACTGACGACTGTGGGGTCTAAGAGCCAAATTTTGACTAGCTAACTGAACGGCATTTGCATGTATAAAAGAGTAGAAAATAAGGAACAGAACAATAATAATAAACATAAAACCAATAAAATTTATCACACAGGAGGTGAGGTCCAGTATATTTAAATATGCATTTCAGTTAATAATAATTTTTTTTTGTGAGAGGATTTTAATTATGTGGTTATATAACCCTCAGCGTGTCGGTGTTTTTGAAAAAAAAGCCATGCAGGGCCGCTGGATTCAACTAGTTGCCTCATCTGAACGAGGCCTTATTTCTGATTTAATATAATTATATTTTTACAATTTTATTTATTCCATTTGACCATCAAAATATTATTGTTTTATATACTATCAATTAATAAATTACACTGTTGATAGGAGGCCCTTGAAGGATGTGACTCGCAGAGGGGGGTCATCCTCACCTGATTAGGAATAGGCTGTGCGAGGTTGACACACTTTTAGGCTAAAGCCCACATATAGGGAAAGGTTGATTGTCTACAGAGCCATTCCTTGGCTCTACATAGGGAGCATGTAGGAATGAATTGTGCTTGAGCCCAGCAGTGAGTATTTGGATCCACTGTATGGATTCTGGAAACGGTTGTTTTATTGCATATTGTACTGATAGTTTTAAGTACCTATTAAGTGTCGAGAATGAATATATTTATTGGCATAATCGGCCTTTGATGGTGGAATATTGAGAAACCCATCAACCCTCTTATCGTCATGCATTTTAGGGTAAATGAGAGTGTAAGTGGTGTTGGATCTAGAAATTGATTGTGCTGAAATGACCTAGCGTTGTTAGCCCTTGTATCCCAACCTCGGCAGCTGGATGGATAAGATTGCCACCACCCGGGTTCGGTGATTATTCTCAAAGCCTGCTTGAAATTTATTATAAATTTCAAAAAACTGAAATTGCTGGTAGACTGCGAGAAGTGATCACTTAGCTTGGCATCCATATGTATATACATCCATGTGCAGAGTGGGGCTTATATAAATCAGTAAATAATAAATTGATCATTTAATTGTTATTGGAAAACAATTTGTATAATAGTTTTTTCAAAACCACTATTTTACATATCAAAAATGTAAACCATTTTGGAATAGATCTGTAAAATAGGTCCATAGCGTTTTTTAATGGTAGATTCCATGAAAATTGTAGGCACTTGGAAACAAATTTATTCAACAATATATTAACCATTTTGTAATTCTGTCCTCCCAGTACGTCTCAGATTTTGAGGCATTGAGCTTTCTGTAGTGGTAAAGTGAAATGGCCGGGCAAATACAGTGGGTAGGGTTGCACAACCAATTTCTGACGCTCTGGTGGAAAACAATATTCACACAATTAGCCAATGCCGGTCATTTTGATCAATTTGCTGACTTCGTTCCAATATGCACTAGAATTAGCAGTTTGGCTGAAAGAAGCTCATAATAAACCACCCCTTACATTCTCACCAAATGCATACCATGGGGTGTAATCTGCTTTTGGAGTTGTTAAAGGACAAACTTTTCATCTCCAGCTGTCAATTAAAAAAAAAAAAAATTTAGAATTGCAGATGCAATATATGAAGTTTATATGACAGATTCGTTTTTTCCTTCTTTTCATTAGCTAGAGGAGGCACGATGCAGCACGCTTTTCATAAGGTAAAAGTCCTATACCCGTTCACTCAGGCGACAGGTGAGACTCGACCTTCGTGTTGCCAGGCGACCATACCAAAATCGTAACTTGAGGATAAAAAACTCTTTGCACCGTTGAATTCAGGGTCATAATACCTTCGAAAAAATATAAATTGTTGAGTATCTTGCTATTTGAAATATTTAGTTTTCTGGAGAGTTAGATCAACTTTTTGGCTCAAGAGAAACTAGACAAAAATAAAATTTACATGCCTCGGAGTTTTTCACATAACCAATCAAATAAAAAAATACTAATTTATGTAAAGCCATTCTTGATCAATAAAGACCTCAATACCACACACACACCTGCAAATAATTCTATACTTTATTAAATAAATGAAAATCTCCCAGGAAAATCATGAGCTGACGAAAGTTGAAATCCGAAAGGGGGCCAAAATGGAGTGGGGAATACCTAAAGGTACGAAATCAACTCAAAACTTTGGGAAACAAAAACTGGGATTACGAATAAAGGCAAAGGTCATGCGGGAATTTCAGACAACGAGGCTGCAGAGAGCTCGTGGAACAGTTTAATTATTAATTCATTTTAATTTTAGTGATATATTGGAGGATCCCTGTGATTTTTGGAGACAGGTTAAGGCTTCAGACTTTCGGCCATTACATCCCGTGATGGTTCGATGCGCACTGTCACCTTTGGACTTTTTTTCGACGTCTAATGAGAACGGTGGCCATAATGAAAATTGACATGGCACTCATCAATGGAAGGTCTGGGGCGGGACTGGATCTCAAGGACCCTGAATTTGGTAACAACCCCATTTGAAAATGAGTTTCTTTGGTGAAAGTATACCCTGGGCTCAATTCTCACACATGTTGCGAGTCCCCAAAAGTGGAGCCAGGAAGGAGTAAAAAAAATATAAGGACCATATTGATTAATAATTGGCAAATAGAGGGAGAAAAAGTGGATGTTCTAGGCACAAAGATTATTGCAAGTCGCTGACTGCAGCCAAGAAATCAGAAGACATCTACTTCTTGGGAAGAGTGTAAAGGCAAATCTTTATAAAAAAACGTTAAGAGCAGACATTGTACGACAACAAAGGTCCTCATGGTTAAAACAATTGTATTCCCAGTAGTAACATATGGCTGCGAAAGCTGGACCATAATATCTCATAAGAAACAACCTTTTATTTGTCTCTATACTCTCCATGATGCTCTTTTAACGCGAGTTGAGGTCGTAAAGGATCTTGGTGTACTTTTTGATCAAAAGCTCAAGTTTAAACAACATATTTCTTCAATAAAAAATAGATCTATGAAGATGCTAGGTTTTATCATCCAGAACACCTATAAATTTAAAAATCCTCTATGTTTTGTCCATTTTTATAAAGCTTTTGTACAACCCATACTAGAATATGCTACACCTGTTTGGAACCCATTCTATCTAAATTATCAAAAAATTCTTCAATCTGTACAAAACAAATTTTTAAAAAAACTTTCCTACAAACTCTATCTTCCTCCGAATTCTGCCTACCCTGGAATCCGCTCTGAATTTAAACTTTTCGAACTGGCACTAAGAAGGGATTACTTTGATATTGTTTTTGTATTTAAATTAAATATTAAACAATCTCATTGATAGTCCTTATCTCCTCTCTCAACTACAGCTACATGTCCCTTCGTACTCTTTTAAAACCTATAAATTATTTTATATTGAATTCCAAAGCTCTAACTACATGCTCTCTTCTCCTCTACACAGAATGATGATCAAGAGTAACAACATCTGCAATAGCATTGACTTCTTCAATAGTTCTGTGCAATCTATGAAAAACCTTATCCTACAACCTTAGTTGAATGCTTTTATATTTCATATGTACAAAATTATTACAATTTATTTCATTTACTGGTTCAACTAATTCTCGCACTCTAGTCTTATTATATATTTACAAAGAGCATTATTTTCATTAAATATGTACCTAATTATTGTAGTTTCAATTGTCTTTCAGCTTTATTTTGTTTTCTCTGCCTTTTTTGGTTAGTAATTATGTCTTTCATTTTTGTTTTTCAGTTTTTACTCTTTAATTGTATTTATATATTTATCATTTATATTTACCATTTATATTATTACCATGTATATACGTCCTTATTCTTTTTATATATATTATTTGTATTTTTACATATATTATTATATTTTTTGTTATTGTAAAATGTCTTTTTTATAGTGGATTTCGATCCGTAAATAAATAAGGAAAGCTGAGCGAAGGAAGATAGACGTTTGGTGGCCCTGACAAGGGCTGGTGTTGTTTTGTATTATTGAGGCGATGGATGAGGCCGGGACCGTGTTGACTGTGCAGCGGTTGAAGGGACTCTGGTTGCAGCAGTTGGCCAGTAGCCAAGTCGGCTGTGTTGAAAAGCGAGTTCGCGGCTAATGCTGCGAATACCCCTTGCTGTCGCTGTCGGTGCTCAATTAGTGATTGTCGGGAACTCGTCGGGGAGACGAGACTGGACTCTGGACTCTGGAGTCAGTGGGGCAGTGCCCCTGATTATATAATGATTCTACTCTGATTGGCTGCAGAGTGGAGGGCAGACCATTCCAGAACTGGTGGCACCTAGCGGGGACCGTGGTAACTTCAGGTGGCCGGCACAGCGTTTTGAACTGTAGGAAAATTCTCAGAGTGCCTTGTACTACAGGAAAATCAAACCAGTCATACTCCAGGAAATAAAGTCGGACTGCTCATTTGAGAGAATGAAAAGTTATCCACTAAGTGTCATCACTGCTTCAACAATGTCTTCACCTTCCACCTCTGTTTATACCGGGGCTCAACCTGCTTATTTTAGACTCGTCGACGAGGTCTCAACTTTCATTAATGGAGAAAGCCGTCAGCACTAGCTACAGCAGCAAGAGTACTCGCAGCATCATCTCGCGTACTCTCAACAGCATAGGCTGCATACTGCAAGAGCCCCTTCGCGCTAACTAACGAGTCTACCGACTCCTGCTGCATCAACATCCGGCTCATCACGGGCTTCGACCATTGGATCTACTCAAAAACTTCCGGTCACTAAAATATTAAAGGCAAAGTACTTTGGCCACATAATGAGAAGACAGGATACCCTGGAGAAGAAGCTGTTTGGGAAAGTGGAAGGAAAAAGAAATAGGAGCCGACAAAGGGCAAGATCGATGATATCCTGGAGGTGACGGATTCAACCATGTGGAACGGGGTTGGTGACGGACAGGAAGCTATGGCATGGGCTCGAAGACTCGGAAACGACTTAACGAATAATCAACAATAAGGGAAATATATCAAAAAGGGTTCATGATTGGATAATGATTTAGTAGGGGTTGTCTTGAAAATGAACTTAACAATCTCGCCCAGGCATGGCGTTCAGTTTGGAAAAGGGAAGTCTTGTATACCACGAGGAAATACTTTGAAATAAGTAAAAATAATACTGCATATTAGAAAATTAAGTAAAGATTTGAAGATTTCTTAAAAAAATAAATTATAAACTGGCTGGTATATATCCGCACTATATCAGTACATGTTCCGCCATTTGCAAAAGGTCAGTCAGGCTTGCAAATTAAAAAAAAATATATATATTTCTGACCCTTTGTCCCTAGGCTGTTTTGTCAAAGAAAATGACATTTTCGGGTCATGTTTGTTTAACAAGTGGTCAGTTGCGTCCAATTTGAGCAGGGTGGATTGTGCATGGAAGTATTATGCAAATTTACCCGTTATGCGGTATAAAGTGACACGGGAGAGGACGTCTCACTCGTTTCCGTTCGACCGGCCATCAAAGGGAGTGTTAATAATAATATTAGTGTACGGGGCAGAGGAAAAGCTTTCTCAAGCGAGAACGAGTTCATTTCTCCCGATTATGGGATGAGATGGATGTGGCACGCATGCGTTTGTCCTGGGAAGCGGTGGGTTTAATTTCCACCCGCGTCCTCCCACTCGGAAGGTCTTCGGAGGGCGAGATGGTCCCTCGCCGTGTGCCCGTCTGACGTTTCAGCTGTTGGAGTAACGGTTGAGTCGAACTCGAGTGTATCGTCCATCGACTCTGACGATGAACTTGACCGGTTTCGATTTCGAGAATAAAATCAACGCGTCCGACAACTTGACGGAGAGCGAGATATGGGAAAAGTTCTCCTCGATGAGTCAGAGCAAAGCGATTTTAGCGTCGGTCCTTTTGCTCTTCTCGATGGCCACGGTCTTCGGGAACAGCCTCGTCATCGCTGCAGTCGTCCGCGAGCGTTACTTGCACACCGCGACCAATTACTTCGTCACCTCCCTCGCTTTCGCCGACTGTCTCGTCGGCCTGGTGGTGATGCCATTTTCGGCCATATACGAAGTGTTCCAACACAATTGGTTTTTCGGGCTCAACTGGTGCGACGTCTGGAGGTCTTTGGACGTCCTGTTCAGCACGGCTTCCATTTTGAACCTTTGCGTCATATCTTTGGACAGGTACTGGGCCATCACTGATCCTTTTATCTATCCGTCGCGAATGAGCGATCATCGCGCCTGCATACTCATCGCCGGAATCTGGATCTGCTCGGGAGCAATCTCGTTCCCGGCAATTCTCTGGTGGCGAGCCGTGAGGACCGAAACGGTCCCGGTCTCCAAATGCCCTTTCACAGACAATCTCGGCTACTTGATATTCTCTTCCACAATATCCTTCTATCTGCCTCTATTCGTCATGGTCTTCACCTACTACAAGATCTATAGGGCCGCCGTGGAACAGACGAGATCGTTAAAATTGGGCACCAAACAGGTCATGATGAACTTCACCAGGGGAGAAATGGAACTGACACTCAGGATCCATCGCGGCAAGGGGCTCGGGTGTGAAACCATCGACAAGGAGCTGTCTGACGACATGGACGAAGAAAAAACCTTGTCCCTCAATGGCACTTCTAAAAACCAGAAAGACCCCAACAATAAAAATAACGAGAATTTCGTCCAAGGCCGCCATCTCGGAAAGAACTTTTCCTTGAGTAGGAAACTGTCCAAATTCGCCAAAGAGAAAAAAGCCGCCAAAACTTTGGGCATAGTCATGGGAGTATTTATTATCTGCTGGCTTCCATTTTTCGTCGTCAACCTCTTGTCTGGATTTTGCACTTACTGCATTTACGAAGAGGAACTCGTGTCGGCTATAGTTACTTGGCTTGGATGGATCAACTCTGGAATGAACCCTGTCATTTACGTCTGCTGGAGCAAAGATTTCAGAAGGTGAGTACAAATCATCTTTTTTCCAAATTGGGAACACTGCAGAGGTTTCGTTTTATTTCAATTACAACCAGTTAGCTTGAACATTTCAATATGTGAAAAACGTTTTCAAGGGATCAATGTTGAAACGACGAAGCGTGGTTTTGATGCAGTTTTGCCATATTAGGTCCTTCAACTTCTATGCCTCAAATCAATTACACTTTAAGTTTCCTCAGCTTCCAGCCCTTTCCGATACTTTACTATCTATGAAGCAAACTTTGCCACTTATTTCTTGAAGGATTAATTTCGACATAGAGACCTTCAAGCAGGCAAAACCGTTTCAGTTATACATAGTTTCACCTTCGGAATGCTTGACCCAGCAGCATACTGTTTCATGTCAGAAATTCATTAGTCAATAATAATAATAAAAACACAAGAATAAAATTTTAATTAACAAAGTTAAAAAAATCATATACTTCTAAGTTATCCTTCAGGCCCAGGCTTTTCCTCTCCCAGGAGTGTCTTAGTCTACATAAACCTTCGCATCGACAGATGACAAGTTCCGCTGTCTCCTCTTCCTGGCAATATCTGCACAGGCTGCTCTTGAGTCTATATGTCTACGGAGTTTGCAGGGTCTAGTTAGCAAGCCAACTATTATTCTAGTACTAACATGCCCTTGATTTAGTAGTCCTGCCGTTAGTTTCTGCGATGGCCCTTTGATGAATTTCCCACCGGTACCCCAGCCGATTTGTCCCCGCAGTGCCGCAACCCCCGGAATTGCATTACATATCATTTTTGGAGATGAATTTGTAGATGGAGTCGAAAACGTCGATGTATTTCGATTAGATTTATCGAGTTAGGCAGAGGGATTTTGTACTTGAGAGCCTTAAAAATATGTTCCCTTTCGGAAGATTCCAATGTGTACGCCAGTATGATGTGGTTCCATCCGCCGTTGAGATTTATGGGCATTTACTGGATGGTCGAATCCCTATTTTATGTAGACGGGATGGGTGTGGTTGGGTCTCCACCTGCTTTTAGTGGTAAAGAAATTCCTATTTCCTTTGACCTTTCAATTTCAAGGTTTAGACTCTCGACGAACACCACAGATCCTCGCCTATAGGAAAAATAAAGTTCCATGGTGGAATGAAGAACCATCAAGTTATTAAAAACAGGAAAAGGCGCTCGAAGCAATTTCTTCTTCTTCCACCCACCAACAAAATGGTGGGACAACCAAAAAAATATTGCCAAATTATTCAGCTTTTTGACAGGAACAAATTTAATAATAAAATATGATCTACTATACGACAGGAATTAAATAAATAAATGAATAAAAAGTAAATACACTGACAGGCAAAAAATTCCATCCTCTTGTATGTAATATAACTTGATTTGTATATATTTTTACATATTAATCAAAGTTTCACGTTTTTAACGCTTAATAATTCTTTGCCTAAAAAAGTTAAAAAAAAAAATGTAAATAGCTAAGGAAAATGAAACGATACTGGGACTAATCCCCCTACACCACATAATAATGAGGACAGAACAAGAGAAACCTTCAACAGGAATAAAACTAAAATGGAGAGATAGCAACAAAATAATGAAAGACCATCCGATACTCATGGCCCCAAGAACAGGATGTTTGAAGTTAATCAAAACTTTCAAATAGACTTAGGTACCAAAAAAGAATGGAAACGAGAGGAAAACACCTCCTTTAAGAATGGCACCATCTTTTGGTACACAGATGGATCTAGAACACAAGAAGGTACAGGGGCAGGAGTATTCGGTCCTGGAACTCATGGGAAAATACAGTATCTTCCAGATTGACTAAAGGGTACAAAAACAAGAACAGCTGTCATGTCAGATAGCCAAGCAGCCGTCAAAACACTAAACTCAAACATCATTAGTTCAAAGATGGTGTTGAACTGCAAAACCAAATTAAACATATTAGGTACACAGAACAAAGCCAGCCTCTGCTGGGTGCCAGGACACATGGGAGAAGAAGGCAACGAGAAAGCGGACACCCTTGCAAGAAAATGGGCTGCTATACCGCTGATAGGATCAGAACCCTTCTGTGGCATAGGAACCCACAATATCAATGAGTACCTCAGATAGAAGGATAAACAGAATATTACGGAGCAATGGAACTCACACATTGGACACAAACAATCCAAGATCCTCTTAAGAAATTTCGGAAGGAAAGAAGTAATAGAATGTATCAAAAAAATCAGGAAAAAACTGCGAATCCTAACAGGATTCTTAGCAGGACACTGCAAACTAAACGGACATTTAAAGAATGTCAATAATCTCCACACATTTAAAGAAGATTGGCATAACCCAAGACGGCAGATTCTGCAAATAAGCAGAGGAGACACCAACACACCTATTAACAAACCGCTACATTTGCCCGCAGGAGGAAGTGTTGTGAGACGTACAATGTAACCATAGAAGAAATTCAACCGCTGAAACCGGGCCTACTAATCAAGTCCCTTGATGAAATAGGACTTACCGGTGTACTATGAGCACAGAACGGTGGGGGGGTTGCAATAACTCTTAAAGGAAGCAGTATATTACACCCCGACTAATATATCTACATCTAAGGAAAATGAAAAAGACGCACAGATAAAATTTGTTTTAATTAGATTTTTAATTAGCATTTCCGTATCGAATATTTCCTCCTCTTGCCTTAATTTCATCTCGAGGACGCCTCGGCATTCCTTCTACCACTCTGGAAATGTACCTTTGCTGGAAGTTAGCCAATTCTTCACCAAGAGGTGATGGACGTGCTCTTATTCGTCTTTTGAGGTTGTCCCATAAATGTTCGATGGGGTTCAACTCTGGAGGCGAGGCCAAGATGTTATGCTGTTGAAGGTACGTTTATACTAAGCGAGCGACATGTGGACGGGCACTATCGTGCATTAGAATAGGATTGTCGCTGATTTCATCGAGGATACGACACGCATGATGTTCCAAAATTTCATCCACATAGCAGTCAAAGACCCTCCACGAACAACAACCAACTCTGTCCGACTCTCCATTGAAATTCCCGCCCACACCAACACTGAGCTACATTGAAAAGGTCAGCTCTGGGAAAAATCACAGACTTCGTACCTTTCATTTCGCCTTCTCCACACTCTTTCACGTCCATCTGGAGACCATAGAACAAATTTACACTCATTTGTAAAAAGTACAGCAGACCAATTGACCAAAGACCAATGGGTGCGTTCTCGAGCAAATGCGAGCCGTGCAACTCCGTGTGGTCTGGTCGATTCTGGTTCTCTTACGGGGCGAAAAGCCATCAGTCAATACTGATTTCATCTTCTTCGAGCAGTGCGTTCAGAAATTTGGTTACCTCGAACTTCCTGGAGGTGATAAATCGCTTGAACAACAGTAAGGTGAAATTTCGCAAATTTCACAAGAGCAAAAAACGATCATCCTGTGGTTCTGTTACCCTAGGGCCTTCTTTGGTAGGATGCAGTTTTTCGAAAACGTCTAACGGCGTCTCGCAGTGTTTCGTAGAGAACTCCGATGGCTTTGGCCGCATACCTGATGGAACGTCCATCATCGATAAGTGCCACACCACGCGCAACATTCTCAGCACTAAGAGGCATTTTCAGGTTTAAAAATTGAAATTAAGAAAAACAGTTTATTGCTTCAGAATTCAAATGAGACTGAATAAACATTTTAAATTCCGTAAAAAGTAAAGAGTGAAAAATCGTTTATTCTTGTTTTCGATTAAGGATCTAATTGATATTTAAAACAGCATAAACAAATATTTATTGGAAAAACAATGAGACAAATAAATGCAGAATTTTATTTTATGGAGAAAATGAAAAAAATTAATTAGATGGAATTTTCAGCTTCTTTAATCATGTGCTGTATGTATTATAGGCATAAAGTTGATGAAATTTGACCAAATGGAAATTTTCCCTAATCGAGATGATACCAAATTGCAGAAGAAAAGACTCCCTCCTAGTCATTTTTATCATCGGTTTCTGAGATATATTCTTTGTACAGAAGTTTAACTTTATTTAAAATTGATTACGAAGAAATTAGTAACAAAATTCAGTGTTACGTATGGAGTGATTACACTAATTAACCTCCTCACGTAATCGAATCAATGTTTAGGGCTAACATATACGAAAATTTTCCAAATTTTTCCTAAGGATTCCTAAAAATTCCTAAGGGATGTGAACTTTTACATGTTTATTTCTTTGTAAATGGTTATTATCCATATCCCCGAGTTGGTCACAGTATAAGTAGAAAATGACATAAACTGATAAAGTCCCCTTCCCCTTAATTTTTACGGACGGTTCAAAATCGAAGAGGGGCACGGGATGTGCATTTTATGACCCCCAAAGAGATTATGGTGAACTGTTTCGTCTCCCAAGTTTATTCAGTGTATACACTGCTGAAGTTTTAGCTATTTCCAACGCTTTAGAGTACAGTGCGACTTTAGACTACACAAAGATTTGCATATTCACAGACAGTTTGAGTACAGTCTCCCAGCTTCGGAATTTCGGCATAAGTAATAGTAGATATGAATATATACTGACTGGTATCGCCCAGAAAATCTAAACTCTCATGAGGGGAGGTAAAGAAATATTTATATGCTGGGTCAGAGGGCATGCAGGGATTGCAGAAGGTAGATGAAATGGCCAGAGCTGCCACAATAGCAGGAACGCAGTTGAATGTACTAATAACTAAAGGGGATTTTGAAAATACTAATAATCGAAAATTTATGGAAAAATGGCAAGATTGGTATAACTCAGCGGAGGTTGGCAAACATTACCGTTCCTTGTTCCCTAAAGTGAGCAAAAAAGTTTGTAACGGAAAATTCTTCTTTTCCACTTTTTCAAAATTGAAAACGGGGCATGGCATCTGCATAAGACTGGTCTAAGGCCTAATCCGTACTGTAGTGAATGTGGTGTGATTGAGGATATAGAACATATTTTTCTATACTGTACAAAATACGGTAGTCAAAGAGAGCGTCTTTTGGATTCCCTTTCACTCGATCAATTCCATCTAATTAATTTTTTTCAAAGAGCTAGTAAAACCGTTCAATTTCAACACCATTGTTTTATCCAGCAGTATTCCCGTCTACAAATATCTTTTTAAATTTTTGAAAGTGTATAAGTTGGAAATTTAGTGGCTGTGCAGGGTGCTGGGGATGCGTGGGGCCGAGGGTCGTCGGGGGTGGTTCGTCCGGGACAGGCGGGGAAACCGGGCGCGTTAGCCCCTGTGACCTAAGGGATGTGAACTTTTACATGTTGATTTCTTTGTAAATGGTTATTATCCATATCCCCGAGTTGGTCACAGTAAAAATAGAAAATGACATAAACTGATAAAGTCCCCTTCCCCTGGTTTTCTGCTTCCCGCCACCTGTATGACCTTTGGCCGAGTATCTGTGATAAGGTCAAAAGAAAAGAAATGATACCAAAGTCTACAAAACCTCATGACAATCCGTCTACCGTCCAATTCCGTCTCTGCAGACAAATTTTGTTTCTACTAAAATTGATATTGGCATAAGTTGAAAAATGGAATTTATTAGGTTCTGAAGAAAGACATGACGCCTTTTAAACAGGAATAACTCTTTTGTTTTATATTTTCTGTCTCCTTAATTGTGTGCTATAATTACTATAGGCGTAAGTTGATCAAAATTGACCCAATGGAAATTTTCCCTAATCGAGATGATACCACAGCCGAAAAAACCTCATAACAATCCTTCTACCGTCCAATTAGTCTATTGTCTATAATGAGTAAAATCCTAGACAAATTCCTACTTAATGACATGTCCATTCATTGCAGCAACAGTATTCTGATCCCTTTTGAGTTCAGACGCTCTCCTTCCTTAACATTCATCAGTTGTTGACCTTCGTGAGGAGTGCACTTTGAACTTCCACAGCTTGAAACGGAAGGCTCGTCTTTGCCTCTCCCTGCTTAAAACCCTGACGTAGTGTCTATAAAACCTACAGCTTTATCCTAAACGAGGTCATGAGATTTTGAATCTATGCGTTGAATCGTAGAATATTTAAAAAAATACTAACTACACGGCGTTCATCCAATAGAAATCAAATTGGGTGGATTTTTTCGCCTGTCAGTGTATTTTCTGTCTCTTTGATTGTGTGCTATAATTATTATACGCATAAAGTTGATGAAAATTGACCCAATAGACATTTTTCCTAATCGAGGTGATACCAAAGCCTAAAAAACCTCGTAACAATCCTTCTACCGTCCAATTAATCTATTGTCTATAATGAGTAAAATCCTAGACAAATTCCTAGATGATGACTTCTCCATTCATTCCTGCAACAGTACTCTGCGGGGTGTCGGCTTAGGCGTTGACACCGCGCTCATCACTGTAAGGTAAAGATCCCGGGTTCGAATCTAGCGGCCCTGCATTCGAACCCGACATACTTACAAATGGGCTTTTTTTTCAAAAACACCGGCACCCTGAGGATTGATATGACCCCTGCTGTTACGACCCTCGTTAAAAAACGAAAAAAATCAGTATTCTGATCACGTTTTAGTTCAGTACTCGTTTCACATTTCAGCAGTTGTTGACCTTCGTGAGGTGCACTTTGAACTACCACAGTTTGAAACGGAAGGCTCGTCTTTGCCTCTCCCTGCTTAAAGTCCTGAAGTAACGCTTATAAAACCTACAGCTTTGTCCTAAACTAGGTCATGAGATTTCGAATCCATCCGTTGAATAGTACAATAGTTTAAAAACATACTAACTACACGGCGTTTATCCGATAGAAATCAAATTGGGTGGAATTTTTTGCCTGTCGGAATGGCGCTGGATTGATGCCCCAGGCCAAAGTTTCTGGGCGAAAATAACCCTTGGTGGTTCCTGTCCTTTAAAAAAGAAAAGAAAAATACATTTAGAGTTAAAAAAGGGGGAATAATCTTTCCTAGAATCATTAAGTAGTTGGGGTTACTTTTGCGTGCGGCCCGGCGTCCGCTATAACCGATTTTTCGTTGTAAACGGATCCATAATTCCTTATGTTTTTTCCTTATGAAATTTCAGTGGATCGGAGATTTTGTACGTTATAACCGGTGTCGTTCTAAACAATTTCTAATGTCTATTCAAAAGATGAGAAAAGTGTTCAAATAATTATTGTAGTGCCGTCCTGTCGGGTAACAGTCGTGATAACAGTTTTGTCTATTTCCACTCAAGTCGCTTAGGCCCGTTTTCCGCTTTTGCCATCACTCTAAGCCTTACAGTTTGCCATGATAGAGTTCCAAGTCTCTCAAAGCCTTAAAACTCAAAATATGTCAGTCGTCGACAATTACAACCACCCGGATAAGAAGATCATCTACGTTAAAGAGTGCGTCCGGGGGTGGGGCATAGATCCAGAAGAGATGAACAACTATTATCTGACCAGATGCTCATGCCCTAGCACGTCGGTCGGCACATGCAACGCGGGCAGTTTTTGCATCTGTGTCGACCAGTTCAAGCCCAACTACAAAGACGGCCGGCTCGTCGAGGAGAAAATGTTCGGGAACCTCATCGTATTCGAATGCGGTTGGAACACTTGCGAATGCGCTCCCAGCTGCAACAACTTCCTCGTACAGAAAGGCCCTTGCAAGACTCTGGAAATAGTCGACGTACGGAACAAAGGTAAAGGGGTTATAACTAAGGCGAGCCTCGAAGCGGGCACGTTTGTATGCGAGTACACAGGCGAGTTGATCGGTTATCAGGAAGCCGAGGACAGGCTCGCTTCCAAAGACAAGAACAACTACATACTCACTCTCAGGGAGCATTGCGAAGACTGCATCATCGACACTTGCGTCGACGCGAGGCTTTTCGGCAACATCGGACGCTACCTGAACCACTCTTGCGATCCAAACTGCATTCTCGTACCGGTTCGCACCGGCAACACAATCCCGAGGATTTGTATATTTGCAAAGCGAAACATTCGCAAAGGAGAGGAGCTCACATACCACTACAACTCTCAGAGCGAGAATTTGAGTTCAACCCGCTGTTACTGCCGTAGCAAGAAGTGTGCAGGCTTTCTTCCAAGCAGTAGCGGACTCGACTTGCGATAGACATCGCATCTATGTATTTTTTTTATTGTCAACTCACTCAATTTTATGAAATGTGTGAGAAGTCAAATGGTCCTAAGGCTATTTTTTTATTAAAATATTGTCAAAGTATATTTTAAAACTTTAAAAGTATTCTGTTTACTTGAAAAAAAAAAAAAAAAAAACAATTTCAATGATTTTTTTAAATCTTATTGTATCAGTTCATAATCCAAGTTTTAATGATTCAATCAGTATTATATAATTGAATCTCATGGATTATAAACCTTTCGTTCATATAGGCCTTATTTCGTTTTATACATTGTTTGTTTTACATTTTTTTGACATTTTATTACAACAATATATATAATATACATATATATCAAAAATGAAAATTGTTTTAATGTATGTACTTAATACATTGTTGTTAAAAAAAGTTACTCAATTTCAAAGATTTTTTTAAATCTTATTGTATCAGTTCATAATACAAGTTTTAATTATTCAATCATCAATATTATATAATTGAATCTCATGGTTTATAAACCTTTTGTTCATATAGGCCTTATTTCGTTTTATACATTGTTCATTTTACTTTTTTTGACATTTTATTACAATATATATATATATATATATATATATCAAAAATGAAAATTGTTTTAATGCATGTACTTAATACATTGTTGTTAAAAAAAAGTTACTCAATTTCAAAGATTTTTTAAAATCTTATTGTATCAGTTCATAATACAAGTTTTAATGATTCAATCAATATTATTAATTGAATCTCATGGTTTATAAATCTTTTGTTCATATAGGCCTTGTTTCGTTTTATACATTGTTCGTTTTACTTTTTTTTTGACATTTTATTACAACAAAAAAAACACAAAAAAATGAAAATTGTTTTAATGTATGTACTTAATACATTGTTGTTATGTAGGTTTAAAAAAAAATACTTATAAATGTTTACAGTGTTATTTTCAGATGAACTGGTTTGTCTTTAAACCACTTGGCCTCTCAGGCATGTTTTTTTTGTTAAATACCATATTAATATTGTACTAATGTTAGTTCATTTGTGATAATAAATGTGATTTTACTTTTAAAATGTTTGTTTTGATATTTTGTATACATGATGAAAGAAGCTATATAATGTTTATAAAAAAAGTCCGGTCCGTCACGTAATTTTATATTTCTAAAAAAATAAAATTGGTGCGTCAGATTAAATTTGGCTTGTATTATTAATGTTGCAGATTAATTATGAAGGGTGTAATGACTAAAGTTACTTGTATGATAACTTGCATTTTTTCATAACAAATCTAGGTCTAAGATTTGTTAAAAAACTGAATGGGAATGTCAACAGATTTAAACTTTTTTTTTAGCTTTCATAATTTTACTATAGCTCATACTTATATAGAGTAATAGTTTGGTCGTTTCTCATCATTTTAATCTGTGTATTCTTGGTGCTTTGGTTTTTTGCCATTTTTAATGGTGGGTTACTTACACAAGTTGGTGTATTAGGCTTAATTTTATCGTATTATTAATTTTCCTGGTATATTAGGTTGGATTTAATGACTAAAATTTCATCTCGCCGGATCCCTTTTTATTTTCATTCACATTTTTCAATCAAATCTAGTTCCAAGATTTGTTAAAAAAAAAAAAAAAAAAAAAAAAAAACGATGGACTTAGATTATGAATTATACCAATAGATTTAATAATTTTTGATCTTTTATATGTGTTACTATATCATAACACATCAGGAGGTAGTTAACAGGAAGTGGATCGTATAGGGGCATATAATGTTCTTCAAATCGGAGGAGTTCCATCGCCTTCCTTTTTTAAAGATTGCTGGTAATCTCTCAGCTTGACTCTTACCTCGTGCTTTTATCCAGTGTTTGAGTTTTTCTTTCTTGAGCCATTTTTCCAATTCTAACTTTAGCACACATTCTGGTGCACCCAGTATTGGTTCTGGTCCCATGGGTAAGAGGGTTGTATGGCTAATTGTTCAGCCTGTTCATATCCTTCTATGCCTTCATAAACTTCAGGAACACACCTAAAGGCAACCTTGTTTTTCTCCTAGGGCCATTAGACAATTTAGGCATTCCCAGACCAATTTTTGGAGCTAAAAACATATTTAGTGTTTTATAGATGCATGACTGTCCAAAAGTTTGTAGATGCTTCCTTTGTTTTATTTTGTGTGGTGTTTAGTGACCGTTAATCAATATTTATTTGGAAATCGTGAGATGCGGTCTGGTGTGATGTAGGTTTCAGAAAAACATTTTCTTTATCGTGCCAACATTTCGATCTTTATTGAGATCATCTTCAGGGCCTGGGATTTACAAACATTGTTTACATATAACAATTACATTTTGAATGTGAAAAAGTGAATTTACACAATGCAAAATATAATTCAATATATATAAAAATATATTTTGCATTGTATAAATTCACTTTTTTCCACATCCTACATGTATTTGTTAAATATAAACAATGTTTGTAAATCCCAGGCCCTGAAGATGATCTCAATAAAGATCGAAATGTTGGCACGATAAAGAACATGTTTTTCTGAAACCTACATCACACCAGACCGCATCTCACGAATTCTAAATAAATAAACTTAGTTTTATTCTTTATCACAACTTCTGTGCACAGAGATTGCATGGACCTCAGAATGGAATAGTATTGGAACCAGTTCAAGGGGTTTTGCTCTGGTAATTCATCCCTTTTACTCCTGTTCCATCTTTATTCCATCAGTATACCTTCCTGAAACTTAGGATTGCCTTTCTTTCAAAGATTTCTGTGACCAGTTGGAAGGGTCTACTGTTGAGTTTTCCAGCTCCAACTTTAAACACACTCTCTGGTGTTTGGACGGTTCCGGTCCCAATGATGAGAGGGCGCTCTCTTTTTTTGGCTAGTTGCTCAGCTTGGTAGCCTTGGGTTTTCCTAGGATCATTAGACAATTTAGGCATTCCCAGACTAGTTTTGAGCTTGAAGCATATGAAAAACACTTTACAATACCTTTTACATATTACCGATTAAAACTCCATTTTGAATTTGTTTTGAATCCAGAATAAAAAATATGATTCATAAAATCAGAAATATGATAATTTGACTCAGAAATACCTTACCCTTAACCAGTCAGCCACCACAGCCTCCCAATATCATAAATATAAAGTAATAATTGGAAATTTTTAGCAAGAAAATGTCAAAAAATTTCACATTGTAAATATGTGTGATTGTACATGGTAAATTACTACAAATTTGTGAGATGTTTTAGAAACTGCATTGTTGCATGGAGAATTTTCATCTAAAACTAATTTTTTTTTTTTGTTATTTGATGATAATTTATTGATTTTTGTTTTACAGAGCTTTTGCAAGAATACTGTGTATATGTCAAAGTGAAAAGGCAAGGCATCGTTACAGAGGTGCCCTTAGAGCAAAGTACAGCCAGGTAAATATGAAATAAATTTTTAACATTTGCGCGAGATATCTTGGAGAACTGTGATACATCAAAAGTAATTGAGAGTAATAAAGTAATTTGTTGAAAACTCACACTCCAATCCTAGAGAAGTTTTACAATAAATTTTTAATTCTATATGGATTTATTATTTATAACAATTGTCCTATGAAAGAAATGTAAGGACATTTATAGCAATTCTGTTCTTAATAGAGAATTAAAAAGTAGAGAAAAAAACTGCAAAATTTGTAATGCATTTGCTACGCTATTAAAAATATGTGGCTGGTAAGGAGGATTGTAGTTATTTTTGTGTCCTCAATTGTGTGTTGAAAGTTAATGTCTTTATTAGCATGAATATGTAGCATGAGAGGATTGATGGCGGAATAATAAGTACTCCTGAGTGAACGGTATGTAATAGGAAAGAATGTATTTAAGAGTGAGTTTTTTTATAACTCACTGTCCACCTTCAAATTGCTAATCAACTTCCATAGCCTTGCTAGGGGCTCCTGCTCGCAGATCTTGCTTCCATTTCCTCTCCTAGTTGCAAGAATCTATGCCTACACAAACCCTCACAAAAACATAGAATGTGTTCTCTGAATTCTTATTCCTGGCAGTATCTGCACAGTATTTCATCTGTTTGTACTCTTATCCGGTGCATATGCGTGCTCAGGAGTTCAACCAAAATCCTGGTTCTGTTGCGGTTGCCTTTGAGTAGAGTGTGAATTGGAGACTGATTGTGATGGGGGGCAGGGTGAAATGACCGTTGAAAACCTCTGGAGAAAAACCTCGATGGCTGGACGGATAAGAGCAAGGTCTGACACCAAAGGTGGGTGATTCTCGAGACCTGCCGGTTGTAAATTACACAAAACATTCATGTAATCGATATCATAAAAAAAAAAAAATGAATCTTCTCGAGACATAAAATAGTAAAATGACATAAATTATAGAATTTATATTAAAGGAAATTTTTGTTTCAGTGTTATGGTGCTCATTCTATGGTACTTGCACCGGCCTCTGTTACCTACTCAACAGTATGTCAGCATGATATGTATGCCATATAAAAGCAAATACTTGTGTAGTTTAAAAGCGTAAAAATAAAATTTAATTTTTTATAAAAATGAAGTGTTTAAATATTATTCATTCATTTATCTGTAAACTTACCTATGTATATATTAAGAATAAATACTTATTGTTTTTTTTAAACATTTTTTAAATTTCCTGATAAACTTTGTTAAAAAAATAATAATAATAAAATAAAACTAATCTTGATGTATAATATCTGTGTAAAACTTTTATACACTTAATAATAGTCCCTTGTGTTATTAGTACTGTTTAATATTTAAGCAAAATAAATTTGAAGTCAATTTCATATTGGCAATTTTAGTCTTTCTATGATGTCAATCTTACTTAAATTGCCCTCTCTTCTCTCTAAGCAAGACCTCTCAGATGCCACCAAATACCTCGGAGTACATGAAATAATTAGTTAATTATTAATTGTTAATAATTACCATACAATAATTATTGTGATATTGAATTAAACATTACAAATCCTTACCAGGTAATAAGAAGAAAAAAAAATTAGAGGACAAAAACATCAACATATAAATCGTGTCATAATTTGTATGTGTATATGTGCATTGAAGACCAGACTCTAAAGGAAACACATCGTTGGCATCATATTGAATGTAAAAAAAAGCATTTTTCAAATTTGTTAGATTGCCGTAATACTCTACAAGACTTATATTGTGGTAAAATTTCTAACCTCGGTGACGTCAACATTACAATCTCAATATTAGTTTCTTTCTTTTTTAATGGTTTTCAAATCAAAGCATTGATCATTGTCTACTTATCTGAAAACTCAACAACCTCGAAATACACGTTTCTATCCTCGACTGGTTTACCTCCTATTTGCATGATAGATAAAATTGTGAAAACGAATCCAGTAACATCCAAAAGAATAGTCTTGTCTGGTGTACTTCAAGGTTGTTACTCGGCCTATTCATTTTCAAAGTATTTATTAATGATATTTCCCTTCATTTTTACTCAGCTCTCCGTCTTTTCTGATGTCCTGAAGATCTGTACTTCCAAGTTCCATTCATGATGCTGATCTTCTGCAAAAATCTTTAGATAATCTTGTAGAATGGTGTTCATATGGCATGGCACTATATGCAAATGTAAAGTTGTTAGTTATAATTTTGGACAGCGTAATCTTTTAAATTGCGCCGTACAAAAATTGGACAGGCAAACTACCTTTAAAGACCTTGGAATCACGCATTCTAACATGACATTTCACTTCAATAATTAATAAGACTAATCAAATTTTAGGTTTCATACATAGAGTTACAAAATAATTTAAAATGCAGCAACAATGTTTAAGCAATAGCCTGTCCAATTTTAGAATACCTAGATAGATTCACATATACATAGATACAATAGATTATTTCTTAAGAATATTTCCCATAAATTTGCTATGCTTTCGAGTGGAAAATAGTTATGCAGAAGCACAGTGTACGAGATCAAAGCGTCTACAATATCAAGTTGTTTAAGCCAATTTAAACCACAATTACCAGAGGAAACAGCCTCTGATGTCTCATTTAATTATGTGTCCCACGGGCTTTGAATAATTAATTTATAAACTAGGAGAACCAAGGTAGCAAAAGGGACATAAACTGATTTTTTTCCCTATAAAATAGTCATAAGTTTAAGCTTTTCAAATGATGGATAAAAACCTCTTATTTTTGAGGTTCAATGGAGTTTTTATTTTATGTGTATAGTTAAGTTGGCATATTTTTGTGTTAATGATAAACAACAATTTTAAGCTCTCAAAGCCTGAAATCATCCACTAAACCTATGCTGTGTGCAAATTAATTTTTACACTGTTTCAATCTATGTAAAAAAAATCTAATGATAAAAATTGACTGTGTAAGGTTTTAATTGGGATTTCTCAGCATTTGAAGACAGTAGAAACAAAATCCTATTCTCCTATGAAGGTATTAGTTGAGACCTGGATGTGTTGCACTTTTTAGAAATAAGACACAGAAATTGCTATGATTCATATTATGTAGTAGATACATTTCTTTGGAGGAATAATAAAAATGCTAATATATTAGTCAAAAAATGCATGGTATTGTTGACGACTTATTGTCATCTTTCTGTTTAAGTCAAAGCCAAATAACCAACAATTATATCAACTAAAGCTTTCACTTTATTGTTTAACCAAAAAATAAAGCATTCTGCATATTCATTTTACCTGATAATCATTGAAAGTGTAATTACATATTTAATTTTAAAAAAATATTGTTTTACTATTTGTTATTTTATTGTTGCCATTTAAGAGATTTTTATATATTAAAAATAAGCCGTATAAAAAAAATTATTTGTAAAAGAAAAGACAGTCGTACGTTTACAAATGTAGCTTGTATTGTACTGGAAGAAAAATCCGGTTTGTACTGGACTGAAATTCTTTAAAAAGGCTGTAAACACCCTGTTTCATTATCTTGCGAGAGACTTAGAGATGATAATCTACTACGTTATTATATATGAGTATAAGATAAGAATAGAAAAAATAGTTAATTTATACGTAGTATTTTACAAGGTTTAGTTATTGCACAGTAATGAGTAAAAAAAAAAAATCCGACCTAATTTCAAAAGACAACAAAAAAGGCAAACAGCAATGTAACGTAATAATTGTATGATATTATAGGGTACATAAATTATATTATCTTTGAAAAACTAATTATTCTTTGTGCTTAATTTACATATCAAGCAGAAATGGGCTTTATACTTTAAGTTTTTGATTTTTAACTTGTCTTGTTGATACTGAGTGAGAGAGAAANTATATAGGGTGGGCGACCAAGTCCCGAGGGGTTAAATGCCTGGGTAAACTCGTACCTGATCCCTAAAAGGTCTGGGACTTGGTCAGCTCACGTGTACAGCATAAATCTCTTGGATTTTGGACTTGTTCACAAACCCCAAGATTTTGGACCATTTAATCTCGGGAAGTGATTTGGTGATGTCCTTCCTTCAAAGATTTCAAATCTAGACCTAGCATACCTATCACACTCTGCGAGGTAGTGCCTTGCCGTTTCTTCTTTTATTTCGCAAAAATGTCAAAAAAGATCTGGTAGAATACCCATTACGGAGAGGTGCCTTCTCAGTGGGCAGTGGCCCGTAAGGATACCTATCAGCCTCCTAATTCCCTTCCTTGAGATAGAGAATAGCCATTTCGATTCTGCTGGTTCGATCGCCTTAACAAACTCTTTCGATTGCCTGTGTCCAGGGGATAAATTCCACTTCCTAAGGAATTGTATCATGCCCCAGTTATTAATACTCTCTTTCGCTGTGCTCATAGAGTGAGGTAATACCGGTTGTGGCCCGACAAACGCAGTATTAGAACCTTCTTTGGCCAGGCCATCTGCCTTTTCATTGCCATGGTGTCCTTTATGTGCTGGTATCCAAATAAGGGTCACCTTATTCTCAAACCTGGAAGAGATCCTATTGATAAGATCTACGGTTTACCAGTCTAGAGTTTGACAAATCTTTTTGTAATGATCTAAGACTAGCCGGACTGTCAGAAAAAATTCTAATAATTTTTTCCTTGATTTTATTTACTATAAGTGTTCTACAACACACATCAATGGCCCAGATTTCCGCCTGAAAAATGGAGGTGTTATTATCAAGAGGGGAGGAGATGTTGATTCCTAATTTAGGTATGTAGATTCCTGCACCGCTCCCTTTACCTTTGATAAGTGAACCAGCAGTCTATGTTGCGATGGTCATCATCCAAACTATAATTATATTCTAGGGTGACTAGCTGAAAGTACTTTTTCCCCGAAGGGGTTTTAATCTTTTTATCACTAATGCTTAATAATTGGCCGTTAACATTACTCAATAGTTGAAAGATTTTCGAGTGACCTATGTTATTGCACTTATGATTCTAGCTGCCTTCGCTAAATAATCTGTAGCAGCTGATTAGTGCTCTGACCTTAACCTCAATGTGAAGAAATGTGGTATTGGTTATGATTTCAAATGCTAGGGTGGGTCTAGTTGAAAATGCTCCTGTCATCATCAAACAACCTAGTCTTTGAAATGACTTTAATTTGTTACTATTCCCTTTATTTTCTAGACCTTTCCACCATACTACAGCTGCGAACAATAATCTATGTAGAATAATTGCAGTATATAGCCATTTGGCTACCCATGGTTTGAGGCCCCATGTTTTACCGACAATTCTCCTACATTGTACCATTGATATTGTGCCTTTCCTGTATATGTTATTAATATGACCTTTCCAATCAAGTTTCCTGACACACCAAGAGAGATGATGATGATAATGATGATGAACACTTTATGTATCAATCACAAAAGATTTGGTCTCAAGTACCATTCTTACATCTAATGTGAAATACAATGGTTACTAATTTTACTCTACTTCTAATTTATTAAACATCAATTACTTCGAATAACCTTATTTTTGTGACCAATATGTTTCACCGATTCATTTTACTTTGAACTTTGTAGGTATTTCCTTAAAATTGCTTTTGAAATAAATATTCTAATTTACATAATAATTGAGCAATTAAAAAGTAAATTACTAACAAAATTAAATAAGTGAACAAAAATACTTTTCAATACAATGCAGAACAAATCATGAATTATAAATTGCTAATATAAATGTAGAAATAAAACTTCTACTCACTAAATAGTAATAAAAAAACTAAAACAAGACAAAACAACAAAATAGTTAAATTTAAGACATCAATCATAACTAGATAAGATATGATTTGTAAGTCTATACAGGAAATCTTTGATATTTTTATATAGTTTTATGTGTATAGGGATTCTCGAAAAGTTATTGCACCTTTTACACAGAATGTCCTATTAAACGTTTTGATTTTGTTTTTAACGACTTGCAGATGATAGTTTGCAAACCTAGTATCTCCATCATGAATCTGAGACCTGTACTTAAATTTCACAAATAGATATTTTGGTTTTTGAAGTTTTAAAATTTTAAAACGTTACATGATAGATTGAAATAAATTAAATCTTTAAGTTTGAGAAATTTTAGTTGCGAACAACTATTATATTTCAGGTTCAGGATATATCTGATCAATGGTCAATTTGACCTTTCTTACACTCAACGAGAAACAAACATTTTACAAT